CTTAGTCGCCGTCGTGAATCCAACAAAGATGCCGTCCTTGTCGCTGGTGGTGTTCTTCAGAACTTTGCGATAGCGACGTGTGAGAGCAGTACATGATGGCAAGGTCGGGGTTGCTGCGGTGCTCAACCTCGCACTGTTGACAATTGCATGTGCAGTTGACGCCTCCGAACATGTAGCGTGACTCTCGCGCGATTTTCAGGATGGTGTACTCCGCGAGCTCCAGCAGCTGCACCATACTGAGCTGATTGACGATTTGGTACATGTTGTCGAGCTGCGCAGGTCCTGCTTGTCGCGGTGCTTCATCATGACGTTCTCCATCCCATGTGCGTCTTCCCCGGCGCATTGTGCAAGGTGACTGGTCACTGGGGAAGGGGAGGGGGCGGCACCGTGCTTGAGAAGGATGGCTTACAAGAAAAAGATTAACAAGAAAAAAGTTAACAGGAAAAAGATTACCAAAGCAGGGTTTGCATCATCCGGCAAGCAGAAAATGTTCATGCTGCATTGGGACTGGCTCGGTCTTTTTCTGATCGCCGCTCTTGGTCCTCTGTCTGCTTTGTTTAGTCTGCGTGGTACCAACATAGATGCCGTCCATGCCAAATATGATTTTCTTCAGAGCTTTGTGAATGCGACGTGTGGGCACATGTTTGAACGGCATAGTTAGGATCGCAGTAGTTTGCGGCTTCGCACTGCTGACATGGAATGACGCACTTGACGCCACCGAACATGAAGCGGGTGGCGTTGCGCAATCTGCGCGCCACGTATTCGGCCAACTCCAGGAGCTGCGAAATGCTGAGTTGATTCACCACCTGGTACATGTCGTTGAGTTGGGCTGTCGGTACGTCTGTGCGGTGTTCTGCTTCTTCTGAATACCACGCGCTGCGTCCACGGAGCATTGGCGCTGTCGCTAGCTAGATCGAGGGGGGCCAAGAGTTGCTTAAACGCTTGAGACACAGGTGCACAATCTTAGTTAAGGTACAAATGAACTTGGAAGGGACAAAGTTTTCACAGAGATGCATCTGTTTTCGGCAGTCGCATCATACTTCCGGCATTGAATTGCATCCACAGTGTTGTACTGAGTCGAATTAGGCAAGGTTGAAGCCGAGCTGGTGGAGGTATCTTTTGTCTTCGCTGCATATGTCCTCGATGCGATTGGTGGTGTAGGCCGAGATGATCAATCGATCTGATTTCCATGGACATGTGCCGTGGAGTTTGAATGGGTTGAACTCAACCCCGGGCAACTTGAGCTCAATGTTCCGTCCGCGATGTTGTCCATTCGGAGAAAGATCTGGTCCACTGTCTTCTTCTATCCATAGGTGTCCTTGTCGAAAGGCTGATACTGGGATCACGACATTGAGGCTTCCTGGCTTGTTGTACTTGTCTCGATGAGTGCGCATGTGTATGTTGCGCAATAGGGACACCGTTGAAAACGTCGTGTGGGTGCATGCTCGCACCATGTATGCCAGTGTAGCTGCCGTCCATGGTCTCTGCCTTGTGTTAGTACGTACTCCGATGCTGCCCGCGTGGTAGTATGTGCCAACTGTATATGCTGTTGCTCGTCTGCCTGCTCGGGTGAGCGCAGATGCTCGAAGGAATTCTGAGTTGAGCTTTGTGGAGAGCCATGGAAAAACTTCAAATGGAATGTATCTTTGCTGAAGGAGTAGTTCACATTCTTGCTCCACCGGGTCATCCTTGGCTACTGAGTGTACGGGTGCATTCATGTCCAGCGGTAGCCCATGTGGTAGTCTGACCGTGTATTCCATAGCTTCGGAGTCCGTGTCTATGTCGGTCAGGACTATGGCATTTCCGGCGGCATTGGCACGCTGCTTTTTACACTTCTTAACCCGGCTACCTACCATTGTCCTTCTTGAACCAAAAAACTAAAAAGAAACAAAGGTGCAGAATAAAGCATCATAATGCATTAGAAAGTGCAGCAAGACTCATGTATTGCTGCTGTTTTTCTAGGAGATGCGCGAATCCCAATTCACCGTAGAGGTCGTCAAGCTCCTGCAGTTGTCTCTTGGCCACGTCTGCTGGGTACGAATAAGGTGCTTTCTGCTGTGGTATCCGCTGAGTCGTAGTTTTGTGGAGCCCGCTGACTGTGGTAGTCGATATCTCCAAGCTTCTCGGTGGAGGTTGTAGGTGATTCGTCGATCATCTGCGTGAATGCGGAAGCCCAGGAAGTCATCACATGCTTCATCTTCAAGTTGTACTGGCTTCTTGTAGAAATGCAACGATGCAAGTTGTTGGATATATGGATTGTTCTGGAGCTCTTCTTCATCAACGATGATGGCTCTGTTGTCGACGTACCTGCGGATCCAGAATTTGTCATAGAAGTGGGCGCTGCTGACAAACTGGCCGTACATTCGTAGCCATGTGATTTCTGTGGCCACTATTGCCCACGTAGAGAGGATGGGACTGATTTGGTTTCCCATGGACGTGCCGCAAGTCTGCTGGAAGACCTCCCCAATGGCTGTGAAAGCGCAAGCGTCAAAGCTGAACTGAATGATGGCTGGTATGTGTTCGGCTTGCACCTTGACCATGTTGGATTTGAGGCTGTATGTTGACTTGCCGGAGTGTGCGGGCGCGATCTTGTTGTGCGGGTCGACGGTGATGGTGGGGTTGTGGTCGTCGAGGAACTGGGACGTGAGGAAGTGGATGCTCTGAAGAATGTCGGATTGTGGTATCGAATTAAAGAATCCGACCAAATCGTGATTGAGAAATTTCAAGTGGCGCTCCGGGTACAGGTGCTCGTTGTTGTTGAAGAGCTGGTGTATTTCCTCCCAAAGTTGTGGCGAGCTGACGTCGCCGAAATGGTTGGGCCAGGTAATTCTCAACATCTGTTGTAACGCTAAGGCCGCGATCTTCAGCAATTTGCCGATGCACGTATTGCTATACGCGATTATGGTCCTCCCCTTGGCCCCTCGCTTTTTCCGTTTCATGAGTATGTACCCATACGGCAGGGGCTTTTCGTAGGCGAGGAGCTTGGCGTAGTGCTTTGCGACTACCTTGGGGGTGTTGCTCTGCATGTCCTGCTTGATCTCCTCCGGGTCCTTGTCTAATATTCGGAATGTCTGCTTGTCCATCCAGGTGTTGTAGGCGGCTTGGTTGTAGATGGTGGGGCAGTAGATCATGAGGTGCGCGTTGGCGTGGTCCTCGTTGTGTATGATGTAGTCGTCAGGAATCATGGCCAAAATGCTCTTTGCCAGCCTGTGTGTGATTCTTGGCTCTCGCTGAAGTTGTAGTCTATGTTGTTTCCACTCTTGCTCGAAGAAAGCGTCGAACTCGTCGAGTATGCGTTGATCTCGAGGGAATTGGTGGTGTTTGAGCCATCGCTGGAATTGGTCCTGATGTTGCTTCTTGATGCGCTGCTTGGAGGAGTAGAAGGCGTTGCCGGCTCCAACGTTGGTGAAGGCCTGGTGCGTTGTAGGTAGCTGCAATGTTTCCAAGCCAGTGACCACATGTCCTTCATGTAGCTGAGCTCCTGGGTGTTGCTTGATGAATTTGGCGCATTGACACTCTGTTGGCTTCCAGTGTCTGCCCATATCGGTGACTTTCCGCTTGTGGTTCCACAGAACTTGCTGTAGTGATGGATGCGTTGCCTCCTGGACCGTCGTGGTGGGTAGATGGTATGGTACAAGTACATGACGATGATGTCTGCTGAGTCGTACCAGGTGTTTTTGGAGATTGGTGCGAAACGAAGCATGAGATAGAAGAGGAACTTTTAGGGGCTTATTGTGCTTTGGGACCGATGCGTTCTTGAACTGCAGAACTTTGTGTAGTCGAGCTCGAGCTTTTGATCTCCACGGTTGCTCCATGTGGTTGGCGAGTCTGTAGAGCAGGGTGACGGTTTCTGCGTCGTGCTTGCCGCTGCGCAACTCTTTGGAGGCTTCAAATTCTTGTTTGGTGTCACTGGATATGGAATACAATAGTTTCCAGAATTGGGCCTGCTTGGGTAGGGCATTAACAAGGGAAGGTCTCTGTCCTTGTACTCTTCTCCGTAGTTTTTTGAAAAGCTGTCGTCCTATAGGGAATCAGGTGGATGTCGAAGGTGCGGTTGTTGGTGCTTTGGAACGAGACCATGTGCTTTCTTGACCAGCTCCTTCGTGACAAACGGGTAGTTCAGCTTGGGCTGCCATATTTGAATCAGGCTATGTTCTTCGGCCCAGGCGTCAATATACTCCGAGTGCTGCGAAAGAAGAATGGTGCTGTAGTGCAGGTAGGTCTGGGAATCATTCCAATATCGAATGGCAATCTCAGTTTTGGTTAGTTTGAGTTGTTGTAGTTGACGAAGTTTTGCAACCCTGTTGTATTCTCTCTTGGCAACAGTGATGTTGGTGGATCCGATATAACAAAAGGATGCATCTCTGGTAGCAGTCGCATAGGTTTGCTTGTTGAGCCGTGGGAATAAAAGCTTGATGTACACGGCACAAGGCTGGGAGAATTTGTCGAACGTGTAGAGTTCTGGAGCCGCGCCTTTTTATCGAAGTCGCTCTTTGAGTTGCTCTGCTGCAGGCGATTGCCGCATTCTATGAAAGGTGAATACCAAGTGAATAAGGCCAACTAACCACATCAAAACTTCTTTGTTAATAGCAGGAACATGAAAAAGCAAAAACTGCCCCCAATCCACTATCTGCTGCAGTCGCTGGAAGATGTTGGCACTTTCTTGATGTGCCAAGGGTCCTCTCAGGATCTTTTGTACGTGTCACACAGCGAGGTAGGTGACAGTCGCAATCAGCTGCTGGAGGTTCTTGGGCGATGCCTTTGGTGCTGTAGCGAGGGATATTGGGAGTCCCCATCGCGTGGCCATCTCCTGCAGCTTTGCCTTGGTGTGCTTGGCATTCTCGAGGATCGTCTGCATGGATTGTATGTGGTTGTCGACCTCCGCGTGCTTGTCTCGGGGGAGGCTTTTCTTGAGGTTCGCAACCCAGGTTGCGATCGATGGCATACTTGTCGGTGGCTCTTGTCCACTTGCGCGGATGACGTTGTGGGGCTCGGCAAGGATGTCCTCGTTGCGCTTTTGCCCGGCTCCCTTTGTGAGGCGTCTGCGCTTTGGTGGCTTTGCCGCTATCTCTGGACCATCTGTTGGCTCAGCTTGTAATGGGAGGGCTTTCTGGGGAGTGACTTCAAGTCCGGCACTGTGCAGGCGCTGCTTGTACTTCGCGGTCTGCTCTTCTAGGGCCTGCATGCGCTGAGCTGCTTGATTGTCGCTGTCGGAGGTCTTAGCGGCATAGTTGCGAACTTGCGCCCATGGCTTGATGGCGTCGAAGATGGTGTCCACGAGGGGCATCACGAAGGCTGTAGCCTCTTTGACCTTGTCTGGGGCTTTCTGACTGTTGCTCTTGTAGATGGCGTCGACGGTAGCATCAACATCGATGTCATTCTCGCGGAGCTTCTTTTGGAGCTGGGAGAGGAAGACACTCTCGGCGATGTTGCGGAGCAAAATCATGCCGGTGAACTTGCCGTGAGAAAGTCCTCGGAGACCAAATTCTTCCATGCCATGTCTGCAAAGATGTGCGACAGTGACGTCGCGAATGTCCATGCCTGCAAGGCCTTTGGCGCGGCTCCAGGCTGTTGGCTCCACGTACTTCCGAAGGGTTGACTTGAAGACGAGGTTGGTGTCGTAGTGCTCGGGGTCCTCCTTGAATTGACTGGGAAGTGGAGCTCTTGCCGTGGATGTCGGTGGGCCTGCTGCGTTTGGGGCTTCTGGAGGTGTGCTTGGCGGCGGCAGTGGCACGATTTGCGTCGACGGGCTAGCTGCTGGTGGAGGCAAGGGCGGCCATGCCGGCAAAGGTGTTTGTGGCCACCATGTTCCTTCACCTTGGCTTTGACTGGAAGCGGCGCTCGCTGCACCTCTGTTGTCTGGCTGCCACCATGCCGAGTCCTGCGATCCCTGGGACCAGTATCCGGTCCACGCATTGGCCATTCTTTTGCTAGTTTTTGGAATTACTAAAGCACACCGTCTTGACAAAAGGCTAACGGAGAAGAACAGTTGGAACAAGGAAAGAAAGAAAGGCATGTAGTGCACGTGCATCTTTTGCTGCGAAAAATGCATATCCGTGGCGTCGCAGTCTGTTGCTGGGCATATGGTAAAGGAAGATCTGCAATGTGTTGCCGAAGTCGAGATCGAGAAAGAGCTCGAGGAAGAGCTGCGATGTTTCCGCAGTTAGAGTAGTGCAAGCCGTGCTCTTCCTTGTGGGGCTATGCCTGCAGCTTTTTGGTACTGGGAGATGAGAGTATTCGCTGTGGATGGCGGTGTCATCAGCTGCTCAAATGCAATGCATGTAAAGTAAAGCAATATCTGTTGCGAGATACGCAATAAGCTTTTGCATTCGCATCTTTGAGCACCTCATCCTCCTCAGTGGCTGCGCGAGCTGTTTCATAGGACCCGCCAAGGTGTTTGCGAAGAGATCCCCATGCACGTCCGCCCACGACGATGCCTGCCAGGTTCTTGACGCTGCGTGTGGTGTTGAAGATCACTGGAATCGCCCGGGTCAGGTTGTGTTCGTCGATGTCCGACCCAGACATCTCGTGGCCTAGCGCGTAAAATATGTTGCGCCCGAATGCCGCCACTCCATGCGCGTTCATCGGACGCATGTCACGCTGCTTCAACATATGCCATAACGCCCCCACATCTGTTGCGTGCGACCAGAACAAGATCTTTTCTTGCCGTGTTGGTAGAGGAGGGTCCTGCAAAGTGAGATCCTAAGATTGCAAGAAATAGAATCTCCTCAGTGTTTCTGGCGTTGGATCTCCTCCTCTGTCCCACGTGAGGTCGTGCTCCAGGAGAACTCCGGAGTTGATTCTGAACTCTGCTGCAGCGCAGAGTGCGTCCACATACTGCTTGGTAGAGTCATGTATGGGGAACTGCTGGATCTCAATATTCCGCCAGTTTACTCGGAATTGCTTGATGTTCTTGCTGAATGTGATCTTTGATGGCATCCGTGGGGTCTCGTAGAGCTTGGGGTCAATCTTAGGTCCTTGCGTAGATGACGCCTTCGGTGCTGCAGTAGTGCCAATGTTGCTAGAGCCCGATGCCTTTGAGCGCTTCACTGTCCTGGGAGTGCGAGATCTGGATGTTGTCCTGGGAGTACGAGATCTGGATCTTGTCTTGGGAGTGTGCGATCTGGATTTTAAAATCGCCCTCGGTCTGGAAGGTCTGGAGTTGCTGCGACCTCGCCTTGTAGGACTACGTTTTGGGGATCTTGAATCCACACGCTTCTTCCGCACTAACAATGGTCTGGAGGGTCCGGATGATGCGCTATGCGATGTCATTGGCAGTGCTGGTAATCCTGAGGTAGGTCTGGGTGTAGGTGAGGCTTCTCCTGCTCCAAGCTGATCACTTCTTTGGAAGTAAGGTCGAGGGGACATGGTGCGTCCCTCGTGCTTGCGAAATGCAGAAAACGGTTGAGCCTTCCGCTTGGCCTTCGCGCCGGATCCAGCTGCACTCTGCTCGGTGTCCTCTGCCGTAGAGTCTTGCGTCACTCCCTGTGGGTTGGCTGCCTGGAGTGCCCGGAGCTCTTCTTGACTGAATAATAGGCTCGGGAATCTCCTTGTTGCCGCGGTCGTGGCTCGAGCTTCTTTGCGGATTCTTTTCAAAGGCGGTCTCCCTTGTTCAGTAGCAGAAGCAGAAGTTGCCGCCGATGGTGCCGAGGATACTGATCCACCGCTCAATGCTGCAAACGCCTGCAGCAGGTCTTCGGGCTGCGCATTTTTGATCTGGATACTGGATATTGATCTCCATGGCGTGGAGGACAAGACACCGTATTTGTTGCACTTAAACCCAAGACCAAAAACACCAAACCAAAAGAAAACATACTGAAAGCCCAGTGTCACGCATTAGCAATTACTAGTATCAAGCGAAAACCTAGCACTGATCAATCAAACTTCAATCAGACTTCAAAACATGTCATCTTTCAAGATTGTGAGCTTGAAGCTGCTGGTCATCGAGATCATCAAGTGCTTTCCAGTCTCAAAACATATGCTTTCCGCTCTGTTGGTGGTTGAGGCCTGTTATGAACCTAGCCAAGAATCACTCGTCCCACTCGGGGCACAATTTCAAGGGATACTGCCTCGAGAGCAGCGGTAATGGCGCCGTGACGGATAAAGCCATGCCCATTTCACACTCGAACACCCAGGCTTCCCTGGTAGAATGTTCATTGGTGGTCAATTTCACTCAGCGAAGACTTCAGCTGAGACATCAAATAAGAAATGCTGATGGGTATTTCAAAAGGCTCATGGTTGCCTTGTTGCAAAGGTCAAAAACCAGCACAATGTACAGCCAAGGGACACCTGGAACCTGCGACATGTACCACGCATCTGCAATAATTACCACAGTTGAAGTGAGATTGCAAGCTGCGAATAATCTTCGCCCATGCCAATCTCTGCAGGTACAGGAGTGTACGTCTACACTCCCTTCCACCTGTGCTCTATAGCTTCGTTGGCATGGCTAAGAGCACAGGTGCCATGCCCCCTGCACAATCAAAGCTCTAACCTCAATGTCACTCTCCCGTTGTAGTTTGGGTTTCCCACACACACACACACACACACACACACGCACACACACACACACAGCGGCTTGGCTTTGGAGTCTCAGTCTGACGCAAAGGATACACCAGTACCGGCCGCAATCAACGCGAGAAGAAGCAACAACTAAAGACTCCAACAACGTACAGTAGCACCCGGTCGCATCCAGACAGCAGCATGCTTGCACATGATCACGGCCCAGATCTGATTCAGCTCATGCACAATGTCTGATACTCCGAGCCAGCATAGATGCCATGCGTGTGCACATCTCGTAATGTCAACCAGATACTGAACTGACTAGGGTACAAAGGGAAAAGATTGAGTTTGCCCCTTGCAAGTCCAAAAAAGCCATATCCAGAGCCTCAAGCATGCCAATCGACCCAAAGAATAACCCAACAGAATTACAATTTGCCATGGAGCATAACTGCGCATGGCTCCAGATTAGCCAAACCAGCATATGCAGCATAGGTGTCACTCGTCTACAAGGCCTCAGGTAACAGTGCTAATGCGAACGTTGCATTATCCAGCTCTTGAGGACCAAGCAACAACAAAATTTCATGTGAGACCAATCATAGCCTCCACTGACTATGTCCGCTTGGGAATAAACGCAACAGTCACTTGCAGTTACAAATCCTGAAGGGCAGCCCTTTTTTGGGAGGAATTCACGAGCTCCAGTAGTTGTCGGACGCTAAGCAAGCACTGCATCCAGTTGACGTCTGCGCAAGGAATACAAGATAAGATAGCTCGCGGATGTAATGGACGAGTGGTGCGAGATAACAGCCCCTATATGGAGAGGTGTCCTCGTGCTTACGGCAATGAGCACTGTCTGGGACTCTGATGCTCCACATCAGTTTGATCCAAACAGTGGCCAGGATTCACAGCGAATGTCGTCCCAGTAGGAAAGATGCAGTCCGGCGATGATCAAGTAGGCAACAACCGTGCCCGCTCTTCAAGTATTGACAAAGAATCATTAGGCAAATTCTAGACGTGTCAACAGTTGAAAGGGATACCAATGTTAGTCAAGGTAGCAATCGCACATATCCGTGCAAAAAGCAGATGTCACGGCTCAGGAACCAGCATCCGAAGCCTCAGAATCACGTGCAAGTCAAACCAGATACGGATTGTGCTCGATGTCGTGTGTATCTTTTGGCTGTGGCAAAGATACGGAATTGCCAGCCTGAAGCAAAGCCGAGGCACAGCAAGGGCAGCTTTGTAATGTCCAGACTGTGTTGTCCTACCATGCCAAAACAACATGCCAAACTAACATGCCGTGAAACATGCTCATGCTACAGCAAAACATGCAGCAAGACTACCAGGCATTTCCAGTTGCTTCGGTTGTGACAACAAGTGACCGTATCCCCAAGATGATTTAGAATAAAACACGGCGGTATGACAGCATGTGAGTCTTGGTTGTGTAGGGATCATCAGGTTGCTTGATGGTGACCTTTGCATCCACACTCAGTCGATGTATCTGTACAGCCCAAGCACTGCAACCAGTTCTCCGAGTATGCTCTCATTGCCAGGGAGACCCGTGAAATCAACCAGCATGCTCGCAGCGTCGAGCAGATGGCTGGCACCCGAAGCCCGATCCATTTCATGCGTAGCACGCAACTCCGCGAGCTCAGGAAGTAGCACTGGCTCGAGCTCGGAGGCGGCGTCACTCAGAGGCGATGCTGGGTCATCGTGCATCCATGATGCACCGTCGCTAGAGCAAGCTCGGGGAGGTCGTTTTATTTTCTGCAGGAGCTCCGGCCAAAGCAGATTCTCGCACTGCAGGAACTGCAGGAGGCAGGACATCATGCTCAGCGCAGCAAACTGTGCATGGTCGAGGTTCCTGCAGATGTCATCCGTCGCAGGCGACAGACGAAGCACCAGAGGTCGAGGAGCTGCCGGAGCTGCGGCAGGGTGTGCCCTATCAGGTCGTTGGTCTGCACAGTTTGTTGGAGCAGTTTGAGGAGGATCACGAAGTGCACGAGCTCAAGACCCTCGCCGAGCGCATGGGCTATGGTGTAAAGCCCAATCAACCGGCCCGCTTCTCGGAAGCTGAGCCGCTGAGCCGCCGACCGCTGACGGAGTCTCACTGAGTCCAAATGGAAGAAGAGGGCGCAAGAAGAGAAGCCCAGGAAACCAGGAGTGTCTTGGATCGTCAAGTGGCTCCTGCATCTACAGAATCGCAGCAAGTGCTCATGCTGCCCAGGGCTTCGCAAGTCCTCTTCTCGGATTGGGCTGCCATAGATGCAGATGTCACACCTTGCGGCGGCATTTTCATGCAAACTGCATACAGACCACAGCTCCTTCCCCGATGGAGATATTCTGCGGCTGAGGTATCCAGGCTGGAGGCAATGATCTCTTGGCACGACTCCGCCAGAGACGAGTCACAATTGAGTGAACGTCCTGTTCTGGTTTCACACAGCTGTTTGAAGTTGAAGTCTGTGGCACTGGTGCTTGGGATTGACTGGGTTGTCCGTTGCAGATACTTGCACAAGCGCTTGGTTCCTGACAAGACGCTCTGCTACTGTAGCGTCTCTTCGAGGGTTCCATACATCCAGGCGGTGCTGGTTTCGTGATCCCTTATGACTCCAGTTTGAACTGCTCTGCCACTGTAAAGTGGAGCGAGGTTCCAAATGCAACTGCCATGCACTCCCTTAGCCTGAACATGCCGACAGGCAGTCCTCCCGCCACCAAACAGCAGCTCGCTAACTAACTTCCTTGCAGTGTCTGCATCCCTTAGCGGTATCTGCCTGAGCTAGCTGTTTATCAGCAGTAAGGGGGGTGTCGAAGGGTACTGAACTATCAGGATTCCTCCTACCCACTGCCACCATTGCTACCACTGCCACCACTGCTACCACTGCTACCACTGCTACCACTGCTACCACTGCTACCACCGCTGCTGCTGCTGCTACTACTACTACTACTACTACTACTACTACTACTACTACTACTACTACTACTACTACTACTACTACTACTATGGCTCAAGCCATTTTGGCTCAAGTTTCGGCTCACAGCTACTGACTCTACCTAGCAGCGGGCTTCAGTAACGGTTTCCCTAGCCTTGGGATCTTCTGTCCTTATCCTTGACTCCCTCATCGTAATTTGTTCCCTTTGGACAATAACCTGCGAAACTTCGGAGGGCTTGCCCGCGGTCTCCCCCATAAAACCCTTCACCTCTCACTCTCGTCGTCGGTCGGTCACTGCCTTTATTTGCACGCACTGTCTTCTCTGTCCCTTGCCCGCACTGTTTTATCTTTACGCACTGTCCTTTCTGTCCCTTGCCCGCACTGTTTCTCTTTCTTTATCCTTCCTCTACTGCACTATCCTTGCATTCTCCTTGCTGTGCACTGGTTTTTCCTTGCTACACTTGCCCTGCACTGTTTTTACGTCTACTTTGCTTGCTCCTGCCAGAGCCTGTCTCTGCTCTGCATTGTAACCTCTTGTGGCCGACAGAGGAACTGAGAGACACTCAACATGTCCGCAGAACCCGAAACTCAACTGCTGCCAGGGGCCATTGGGTACCGAGCTCCGAGTGCAGAAGCCCCTAGTGCCAGGAACGAGGGGGGCAGGACCCTGATGGACCTGGAAGAAGGTGAAGAGCTGGGTTGCGATGACGATGCAAGCTCTACGCAGCCTGGCACTCCTGCAGGGGCAGGTTGAGATAGTCACCCGACGTCTGGGAATGTGGCTTTCGGACTTGGGGTTTGGGGACCGCCGCCCCCCACTGAGGACGACCCAGTTCATCCTGGATTTCGCCGATTGAGCAACCCGCCTCCTGTAACCCCGCTCCTGACGGTGTCGCTCGGAGAAGAGCTTAAAGAACCGGCAGGGGAGATCATTGACCCGAGTGTCCCTGCAGCTTTTGCACCGGGGACCCCTAAAATTGGAGACGCATCAGGACCCACTGAGGACTCTGTGGAAGTGCCGGTTCCGTCACTTCCAATCCCGCAACAGGTCCCGACCTTTGACCTCTCGCGCAGTGATGACGAGGCCGACACCGCCCACGGCTGGTGTTACCCACCCTTCCCCCTTCCCCCACCCTAAGCCCCTAATGATCGCGAGGCACACGCAGGCCCTCGAAAGTTATGCTGGTAGGGGGACGGTGGGGCGCCCAAGGCTGGGGGACTTCATTCCCAACGACGGGCAGGTAGCAGAGGTTCGCAGCACACGTGAACCCAACCTCTCCTCCTCTGACAATGATAGACCTGGTAGCAAGAAGTTGAGGCTTGCAGGACCGCAAGAGGTCAGCTTGGGTGACGAACTTACCGATGCGAGCATGGAGGAGCCCCCTCTCCCTCCACCCCAGGGTGCTCCACATCCTTACAACTTACACGCCCGTTAGAGCTGGACGAGGGCCGAGACCTGCTCAGCCAGGAGCCGGCTGGATGGAGGCTCTCCAACAGATCCATCAAAGTCTGCAGGACCTTCATGCCAAGGCTGACACGAGCAAGGACTCACAGGACCGTGCTCATGCAGAGGTTGGTCTCAGGTCAGACATGCACCAGCAGGAAGTCCGTACTGAGGCTCTTGAAGCCACCACTACGGAACACACGCAGCTGCACGAGGGCACGCTCCTCCGTGTGGCTGCCCTTGAGCGTCAAGTACAGGACCTTCAGCAGCAGGACCGTGAGCGCTCCCGCTCACCCACGCCGGCAGGTAGGGACGGGGCCGGTCCCCCTCGATGACCAGGAGCCCTCGTGATGACCGCGATCCATCGGAGGACCTGGAACTCGTAATTGGGGGCTGGAATGAAGCCCGACGTGCAGATGTCGAGCATGAGGTCCGACAGATTTTCCAGCGCTTGCACATCGAGGACAGACTGCTTGAGGTCATTGTTCCGTATGTTCGGGTTAATGTGTGTCGTGTCTCCCTCAAATTCCCACCAACAGCCCAGAACATCCGTGCCCAGCGCGCCTTCCAAACTCACACGCTGGAAAAACTGAAAGGAACCAAGTTCATGTCCGGCATTGCGGGAAGTAAGAACAACGTCTTGTGGATGACCACGAACAGAACCCCAGAGGATCGTAATAAGATACGCAGCCTCGTCCAGACTAAGGAGTTCTACATCCATGTTAAGTATGGAGACAACAGAAAGCGAGAGACTCCAGAGATCGACTGGCGAGGACGGGTCTACGTAGGAAGGGTCCAGGCCCTGGCGGAAGCCTCCCGGTTGCCTACGGATGCCGACCCGGCTGACGTTTACTTGAGTGATAGCCGGGGAGATCATACGGGGTGGGTTCTCTTGGCAAATAGGTTTGAGCAGATCACCGGCCTCCCAAAGGCTGAGCTGGCCAAACTCTGGGAAAACGGGCCGCATCTCGACATGAGGGCAGGCCGTTGACTCTCTGCTCAGCCACCCCAAAGGACGCCGTTCCATGTTGCCACGTGGAACGTTAGAGGAAAGAGCCTGGATCACTTCAGTAACTCTGCGGACCTACTCAATATGAGCGGGTTCGACCTAATTGGACTGCAGGAACTGGGAGGTTGTGTGGATGTTGAGTCAGGTAAGTGGGAGAATCGTGTCATTTGGATTGAAAATCAGTCGTTTACATTTGTGGTCGGCAACCCTGCAGGTAGCCACCACTGTCAGGGTATAGGGTTCCCCACACACCTCACACCGCACGTGGCACACATTTCAATACAGCCCTGTGGCATGTGCGTACAGTTCCGAATTAACGGAGTTTCTACCTTTGCTTTGTCAGTGCACCTGCCCTACCTGAATAGGCAAGACTCTCAGGACGTGTGGCAGGACCAAATTCAGTGCATGCGCCGGCTCCTTGGGAACACCCGGTATTATGATAACGTTTTCATCATGGCTGATCTGAACTATGAGATGCTTCATGTTACAGCTGAATCGTCGGATGAACGTAGCGCTCTGCTGAATTTGCTTGAGCGCGACCTTGGTCTGACGCACACCATACCATCGACTTACACCTGGAGCAACACTCGAGGGTCAACGTCACACATTGATTACATTTTGTACCGTGTTCCCCACCAGGAAACTTGGGATATGCAGGTGATCGAGGAATCGGACCGAGTCCTGGACTCGGATCATCGCTTGGTTACTCTGTGTGTTGGCCTTTGCAGAGGGCGTAGAAAACGCCAACGTCAGCACCGCACTAAGTGCGGCAAATGGCTGGTCGATTACACGAAAGCTGTCCCTCTTCTTAACGACATGGCCGTGAATGCTGACCTGGGAGCCCGTGCCCTGGTGGAAGCTGACTTCCTTGATGTTGCCCGCCGGTCCTGCTTCAGGCCTCGCCGGTTCCGCTTTGTGGATACTAGCGAAATCAAGGGGCTCATTTCAGAAAGGAAACGCTCGAAAAGCGTGAGCTCGGCAGGGAAGTCGTCCAGAAGCGAGCTGCGGCCAAAAAGGCCTGGCGAACAGAACTACTGGACCGTGCCTCAGCAGGAGACTATCAGGTCATCAGCTACTTCAGACGTAAACAGAGTCTCTCTGCGTCACAACTTGAATACTGTCTGAGGGTTGGGGGAACTGGCCCCGGGTGGGAGGGCTACAGGCCTTTTACAGGCAGAAGTATGCCCCGGAGGAACCCGCCAAGCTGACGTCCCCCATGCACCTGTATGATACCACAGTGGGAGATCGGATGCCAGGACCGCCCCTTATCACAAGGGAAGAGCTTGAGTACGTCCTGACTCTCACTAAAAGTGGGAAGAGTTGTGGCAATGATGCCGTTCCGTATGAGTTTTGGTCTGCTGTTCTCCAATCTGAAGCATGTGAGCATCTTCTGGAGTTCTTGAACGATATACTGCTAGGTACTGTGGAGCTTCCGGTGAACTGGACTCTGTCGCAGATCGTGCTGCTCCCTAAGACTAGGGAGCCACGCGAGCCCAAAGAGTATCGCCCCATCGTGCTAGCAGCTACGCTTAGCAAACTCTTCACCAAAGCGCTTCTGTTGCGCCTCCGAACAGTGTTTCCCCGCATGGGTAGCGGGCAGCTATCCTCGCAGGTGGGGGCCCAGGCTCTTGATGGATCAGTCGCATTAAAACATGTGATTCACTTGTCGCGCCAATGGGGCCTTCCGTTGCTGGCGTGCAAATTAGACATTCAAGCCGCTTTCGATACGCTGAGTCATGAGTCGGTAGCCAGATTTTTGTCATCCCTGGGCGCACGACAAGAAGCTCGGTTACTGTTGCAACTTATTACTCAGTCAGAGGTATCTTTGAGCTTTGCGAATGTCACGTGGCGGCAGCGCCTCAAAAGAGGGGTATTGCAGGGGTCTGCGTATAGTGCAGAACTGTTTGCACGCACCTTAGATCACTACCTGACTCCCCTTTTGGAGGAATGGCGCGGTACGGAAGCTACTTGGGTCAGGGCAAGTGATGGTGCCCCTTTGTTTGCGATAATTTTCGCAGACGACATCTTATTGCTCGCCACAAGCACGGAACAACTCTCGCGCATGTTGAATTCACTGCAGGACTGTCTTCAGGCTATAGGTCTTCACTTGGCACGACCCAAATGCCAGCTGATACGATCGCCTGATCTTCGACCTGAGCCCGTCCAACCTAGGGGATTCCCCGAGCCCATCAAGGAAGTCGACTCCTTCGTGTTCCTCGGCATCTTGGTAGGGTTTGCAGTCACGTGTCAGATGACGCTTGCTGCTCGGTTGAGAATGGCTACAAACTCATTCTTCGGATATATGGGTTTTCTGGCCCGCGCGAAGGGACCCCTCGCTAAGAGGTTGCACCTGCTAGACTACTTTGTGACCAGCAGGTGGCGGTGGCTTTCAGCCGCGGTTCGCCCTCTCTTTGCTGTCGCGCAGCAACTGAGAACGCTGCACACACATCTTCTAGTTTCGATGACTCGTTTAGCGCACGATCCATTGCAAACGTCGAGCGAGAATTGGATCGCTCGGCGCCGTGGCGCCCGCATTGCGGCGCAAGCCTGTGGACACCGACCATGGGACGCTATCCATTTTAATTCTTTCATGAATTACTGGGGGCACGCAGCCCGTCTGGAACCAGGACTGCTGCGTCCGATCCAGATTGCGATTTAGGTACGTGACGAAGCATGGCGCCGGGCTTATCCTACTGAACGCAGGAAGGTCGGGCGTTGGCCTAACGCAGCCTACAGTCTGACCCTTCTGTGGCGGCGGTGCAAACTAGCTCATGATCCCCCGGCATGGGAACTGGCTGCAGCCAACAGGCAGCGCTGGCGGGAGTTCACGCTTGAGGTTTTTCAGATTAAGAACCTCCTACCCGACTCCTTTTATCCCAACCTGCACCAGGTTGACCTCTGCCACAGGTGCCTCCTGAGAACCGGGGATCGCTTCTGGCTCCTACCTCAGACCCACCCTCCCATTGACCCCCCGTATCAGTCGTCCTATCAGGTCACTGAGAACTCCGAGTGTCAGGACGAGGTCTCCTGCTTTTGTGTTGCCTGCGATGGCAGCAAAAAAGGCAGGAAGCTTGGTGGAGGAGTGGCCATTATGCCCCTGTATGGGGAAGTGCCACAGGACGTCGTAGTGTGTGGTTACCCTTTCCAAGGAGCTCCCTTCACAAACATCAGGGCTGAACTCCTGGCAGCCATCAAAGCTGTCGAAGAGTGTCTTCAAATCCTGGACAAGTTCCCTGGGGCTGCGGTTATCCTAATTACGGACTCGGCATATGTCCTGCAGGTCTTGGAAGGAGGTGCGGTCGGCTTTGCACATGTTTCGCTACAGGCAGGACTATGCATGCTTTGGCACAAGTGTCGTGGCCGGGTCCGAGCTAAACATGTTCACTCACACAAGGGACATGCCCTGAACGAGATAGCAGATAAGGCCGCCAAGGAAGCCCTGGACCATCCGCCGAGCCGCAACTTCGTTAGGAGGATGGACTACTCTCAGGCCTACATGCCTCGCACTGACGAGCCTGGACCACCGCCGGAGTGCTTCTGGTAGCCCCTGGCCGCCTTGCAAGTAGAAGACTCTCTGTGCGCCATCCTGGAACACCCTACTCTCGGTAACGGCCCTAATGAGACTTCGAAAGATGGTGGCGTAATCCCGCTGAGTGATTCAATGCCTTGCTTTCAGCGCTGTTACCTCTTTCCGAGGGAGAGGCTGTGCTTGACTCCGGGCTTCTAGCACATGCTTTCTTGTGAGCGACGCATAAACTAACGTAGTCATGTAGTCATGTGCGTGCAACGTAGCCCATGGCACACCTCCGTAGTGGGTCTGGCCGCACGCTCTGCAGCAAACGTGGTCCCAGGACATGACCCATGCCGCCTTGCTGTGCTGCTTTGTAATCATCCTGCTGTAAGTTGACGTTGTCCGTAGATAGCCACTAGTAACTTCATGAGCCTTGGTTGCACTGAAGCTTGCTGATGGAACCCCTTCCTTTTGCTGTCCCGCATTGATTTGCAGAGGGGAGGGGGGGGGCAGGACGGGCAAATAAATATCCAAGTGCCTCAGAAGCCGGCCTTCTGCTTGCTCCGCAGCGCGCCGCCTCGAAGCCCTGCAATCCCCTGTCGAACAGGTCCCGCTGGTCTCTGCCATGGACACTGCGCTGGCCCCTCCGATGCCGCTGCCGATGCCTGGGATGACCGCAGCTGCCGCTGCAGATGCGTGGGATATCCCGGGACTTGTCAAGCAAGTCATCACTGTCGCGGTGACCTTAGCTGTGGTTGCAGTCGTGAGGGAGGTGCACAACTGGGTGAATAAGCCGTCAAGCCCTCTGACGAATACCCCGACAACGACCCCAACTCCGGAGTTGACCTCGGCCGGGAAAGCTGCCAGACTGACTCACAGCACAGCGGGAAGCAAAGACACAGCCGGATACTCCTGGTGCTGGTGCTGGAGCCCCGCAGTCGTTGCCTGAAAGCAACACCGAAGCTGCCAAACAAGGGGGCGCAAGCTGCCCCAGAACACGCCCACGACGGCTTCGACGCCGCCAGCGAAGCCAAGCCCTGAGGCACTTGTTGCTGCGCTGCAAGGTTGCCAAAAGGAGATCAAGAACATGCAGGCGGCCTTCAGCAAACAGGTCGAGGATGTGGCGGCCGCCGAGCAAAGCTTGCGAGCGGTGGTGGACAAGCAGATCGAGGACGCCAGCTCCTTTCAAACAGCAGTGATGAAGCAGCTTGAGGAGCTTGCCACCGCGGTGGGGCAGGCTAAGCAAATCAAGCACGATGTCACGGCGGTCAACGGAGATGTGAAGATGATCTCACAGCGCACGACTGGGATCGAGGGCATACTTGGGATATTGATGCCTCAAGTGAAAAGCCTCGTCTCCTCAGTCACCACTTTGTCGACAAACGTTGACAGCATCCGCCAGATGACCGACAGCCACTGGAAGGAGGTGGTCAAGCAGATCGGGGCGATGGTCCAGACCATCAAGAACCACCATACGCAGTGGGAGCAAACCACTGACAAAAACCAGCAATATTTGGTGGACGGCGTGAAGGAAGTCATCAAGAAGGTGACGTCATGTGATTATGACAGCTTCACCGCGCTGAGCAAACAGCTGGACCAACTGGGGCAAGAATTGCTCGCCTCAGCGAGCTATATACAGGGGGAAACCGGAACGCTCAAGGACGGGCTCTACAACCTCGCAGTGGCCCTGGGCAGCACAGCAGAGCAAGTTGCCACCGTCAAGGAGTACTGTGAGAGACCGCCGGTGCCCCTGATGTCAAGCGCTCCGCCACCTCCTGCGTATGAGGCCCCAGCAGTGATCTCGCACGCTCACCCAGGAGATCGGCGCCAACTACACCTCCAGACGGCCAGCCCCCAGACGCACGCCCCTCCGGTGCAGACAGGAACTCATGGAGGGCAAGCGTCTGTCTATGTTGACCTGGCGGAGGGCAGGCGTGTGAACATCCCGCTGTTCCGCTGAACGCAAACCGCCCCGGAATTTTGGGACTCGCTACACCGGCTCATGTGTCATCTTCTGCGTTGAAGTAGTGCTAGCAACTTTTATGTCACTGGTGCACATAGCAGCCTGGCCTCGAGTCCTGAGTATTTGCAGTCCCCGAGAAGTTTGATAACAGCTGGCTCAGGAGCACTGGGCACGTACTGCCTGCATGCTCCTTGCGCTGACTGTTGCATGTTCTTTTGCGGACTGGAATTCATGCTGGACTTTACTTGCCACAATCTTGCTGACGCAGCCGTCGTCCTGTCTTGCCGTTTGGCTCTACTGCGATTCATTGTGGCTTTTGTTGTGCTCTGATTGCGTGCAAGATTTTACGGCTGAGTCCTTTTGCCCGTCACACAGTCCGGCAGATCTCATGAGGTGGGCTCTACCCACTGCCCTTCTGCCCTTGATCATGTGCGAACTGTGCAAGGAATTCGTTGCTGGACTGGCTGGACTTCTGCCCTGATGCACAAAGTAACTGACCGCTGCGTGTGCCATGAACATGTACATGACTGACTTAGTAGCATGTAACATGTCCATCTTACAAGTTGTGCCCACACACCAGCAGGTAGCAGCGCCGGCTCAAAGGGAGAACGCAAGCGTGCCACATAAGCACCAACACACCACAAGTGAGAGCATGCCCAAAGGAGTCCACGAAGTGGAAACCCGTGCGACCCAACTGCTCCGTGCCCTTGATGCCTCCGAAAGCCCTCCCCCTGCCTTGAACCTTGAACCTGAGCCCAATCCTTGCCCTGATTCCCCACAAACGCTGGTCGTCGCAGCCTAGGCCCAACGGTTGTATTGTTTTTGGTATTTCCCCTCGTTCTAGTGACCTTACGGCCCCTACAAAAGCCTTCCCGATCCTCACCCGGCTTTTAACAACCTTTGTCAGGCTGCATCTGCCTCAGCTTTCCTTTTGTTGCGTGGCTATTCGGACAGGCGGCAAACTACAGGTTCATAAGGATTTGGGCACCTCCGGATTGAGCGCTGTCTTTTCGGGCTCGGGGACTGGGTGTTGTGGTTTTTGGATTAGTGACTCCGAGGGTCGTGTTTTTGAGGAGTTTGAGGGAGCTTTCCTGCCAGGTCACACGGTAGACGAAAACCTTTGACGCGAAGTTGCCTCATTGTGGTGTCCTGCTACCTAGGCAGCTAAAACACACCACCCGTATTAGTGTCAGCGCTTTTCAGCTTCTGCGAAAGCAACCTCCAGCCAGTGACACCCTTTGTAGTCTTGAAGCGCTAGGTTTCAAGCCGGCTTTTGCAGCTGCACAGGACCTGCAGCCGACGATCCGTGCGCATCTCCCCAAACAACCCACAATCCCTGAACTGTTCCTGTGCAGTGACCGCCGATGCCTCAGGACCAGGACGGAATCCCTCGGCGGGATCCAACCAGAACGAACACCCCAACAATCTCCCAGTGACCAAGTGGTGACGGTGGAAATTGATGATGACACCTGTTCCGATGACTCTGACGTCGTCTCGTGGTGTTCGTCGTCGTGGTGCCATGAGATGATGAAGTCTCCTAGGTGTTCCTCGTCTCGTGGTCTCGTCAGGGTGGTGCCTGATGCGTGTTGAATGCAGATGTGCCCGCGCCTGGCCTGCATGTAGTTACTTGTGATCCTTTGGCACACCTGCACTGCCTGTCCTTGCCTTCTTGTTTCACTTTTGCATGCCCTGCTGACCTCCTTGCACCACCACTGCCCACTGCCTTGCCCTCCTTTTGCACTACCCTACTTCCTGCCTCTGCTGGTCGGTCACTGTCTCCCTTTGGTCCTTGCTCCATAAAACGAGGCGTGTAAGATGCCTCTGGACGGGGGAGACCGGTTTTCCAAGCCCGACTTCTGCCCCCCCCTTGGGTCTTCCCTAACCCTAACCCTACGGTACCTGCGAGCTGGCGTAGTGCCAACTCTGTGCGCCATGGCCGAAAACTGCTGACAGACCTGGGCTATGCACTGCCCCTGACCTATGGCGGTGCAGTCTACACCACACTGGGATACTGGAGTGCAAAGCTGCACCATACTGGGATGCTGGAGTACAAATCGAGCTGGTGTGGAGTTGCTGGGATTTTGGACTACAGTCTGAATGAATAGCGCCTGGCACTTGAGCCTCCGCCTACCAGTGGTCACCACCGCTGGGGTGAGGTATCTTAGTATTCTGGTCTTCTGTTTGAGTACACGACGACCACTGGCGCTTGAGCCATCGCCTACCAATGATCACCACGCGTCCAGGGCCTGGACCTTGCTGCCATGTGACCTTCTGGGCCTCATAAGTTGGAGACGCGCGCTTTCCTGGCACAGATGGGCCTGACGCCCTACAAGACAAATATGTGTCGCGAGTACGAGGCTGACTGCCATTAAGTCTGGATAAGAGCTGGATCACCTACCGGCTCTGTGGTGCGCCATCACGCCACCTTGCCTCAGCTCGTGGAATGCAAGTGGCCGTAGCACTCACTGCCTGTCGAGGTTGAGGCAGCCAGCTTGTCACTGCTGAGGCGCTAAGGTGAGCCTTGCAGATGAGTGGTTGCTACACGCGTGAGTGGCTTGCCAAGGACAACCTACAACAGTCTGGGCTCTGCTGGCTGGGGTCAGACAACCGGCTCCAAACTGGCCAGCTTTGCAGGAACGGGGCTACCAGCATCCACATTACCGCATGTGGATGCTGGAGAACCCGTGGCAAGTGGCAAGTGACTTCAGTCAGGAATGGTGAGGGGGCTAGCCACGCCCACACGGTGGGGAGCGAGTGCCTGGAGACAGCCGAGGCTGAATAGTTGCAGCCTCTTCGCCTGCTTGTTAATTTGAACTGTAGTTGCATGCTTGTACTGTGCATGTGAGTTGGGGACTGAGAATTTAATTGACTTTGTGCATAACCTTGGTGATGTAGCTTAGAGGAGTGTAGCCTGACAGTGAGTAGTTATAGTTCTGTCCGATCAACGGGGCTAGCCGCACTACATGGCCTGACCTTCGGTTGTCGCTGTCTTCTTGGGGTAGCCCCGTTGTGACTTGATCTCGTTAGTCCCTGCGGAGCTGCCACAGGTGTGCCAGGTGGGTGACAAAAAAACTACTACTACTGATACTACTACCGCTACTACCATCGCCACCGCTACTGCCAGTATTACCACTACTGCCGTCACTGCCTCTACTACCACTACTATCACTACTACCACGACGACGACGATGACACCCGCGAGAACAAGGATGGCAACAACGACGACGACTACTACCAATACTGCTGCTACAACAACTAATGCCACAACTACTACCGCCACTAATTATACGACTATAACTACCACTCCTGCTACTGCCGCCACTCCTTCTGAACAACTGCTGCGGCTGCTGCTGTTGCTACTGGCTGCCCGAAGCAACTTCGAAATTGATTCTCGCAGCAGTCTCGCTCTCCTGGCATGTGACATCTGGCCCACGACAAAAGACGGAGCTATGCCTGCGGGTGGAGACTGCGTCTTCCTGAACCAGCATTGCCGCAAGTTTGTGCGGTGGCCCTGCATGTGCATCCAGCTGCGTAGCATGCCATGCGCTTTTAAGCGAAGTGGCTGACGTGAAGCAGCTGCAGAAGAGCTGCCCGTGCAGGTTATGCTCGCCAAGTGCACTCGCCGCCACATGACAACATGTTCATTTGTGATTCAATAGAGAACGCTTGCGATTCGGAGTTGGTCGCATCCCAACCTGCAAACCCATCTTTTGTGCTTGGACAATGAGAAGCTGGAGATGTGGACGGGCCACGCGTGCCTGCTGCACAAGACGTGCCATCTCACAGCCGGCACAGTTGGTCAGTGCCTGAAAAAGCCCTTTCTCATCTTGCGTACGCCTGCCCGCTGCCCCTCCAGCTGGAGCTTGGGTCGCAAGCTCAACTTGGGCCTAACGGCCTAACAGCGTGCTTGTCCATGGCTTTCCGCAGCCAAAGAAGCGCAGCCATCCGAGAATAGGGCATGATGGATGCATATCCAGGCCCCAAGACAGCACAACCATGCTGCTGATCAATGACTGATATGATATCGTGGATATCCTCAACAGGCCCTAGAGAATCCGAGCAAAAGCTCCATGCGGCACTCATGTTGTATCTGACGGACTCTGATGGGGCTCGTGAAGCTCAGTTTCGCACAGTCTACTCGACCGTGGTCATGCAGAGTCTCCGTGCCATGGGCCAGCGACTGGTTTGACGGCAATGGGCCGTTGTCGAAGTTCCCAGGTGCCACCAAGCCAAGGTTTTGCCTTGTACGCGAGCAAACATGAAAAGTCTTACTCGAATGAAGGCCGTGTTCGTGGCCGCAACGTGCGTTCCTTACAGACAATACATAAATTCCGAAGAGCTCCCTCCCACTTGGTGACTCAGATGCCTGTGCGCGTTGCCCTTCTCTACTGCACTGGAGGAGATGGGATAAACAAACTATCAACATGTGTCATCTAGGGAGTGTGTGCTTCAGCAGGCGTGCCCCAAAAACACCTACCGGTGCTCGCCAATCGTCTTTAGTCTGCCTGGCTGTTGTTGGACAGTCGGACCAGCATGTGGTATCACGAAAGTAAGGTTAAGCTTTGCGGGAGCGGGCAGTTTCTGGCCAGAGATGGCAGGTTGTGGCGGCGGCTTCGGCAACACTTACCTCACGGTGCCGGCAAATCAGAGCAATACACTCAGCATGATGAATCTGTCCCCTCCGGGGAAACAATTCTCGCATGTTCCCGCAGGCGTACCCTTGACCATCCCGCTTGGAGCGGAAGGCTGCCGCTGCTGCCTTCCATGTTCTGCTTTGCCCCTTGTCATGCTCGACAAGAGGTGTTTTCCTCCACGAGAGAAAATAGTGAGTTTGTGGAGGCTTTCGGATCACGGCAAACTCCAGCACGGGACGTGTTCGATTGCAGCTTCGCGACGCGGCCTGGCACTTGTTTCGTAAGATGTCGAAGGACAATCGTCAAAGTGGCATCGCAGTCTTCCACAAAGCTGGATGTGAATCGGCTGCTGCGAGTATCCCAGGGATCCGATGTTGTCGTCGTCGCTCAAGGCGGCAAGCTACTGTTGCTTCAAACATGACCCATTCCGAGCCTCGTGAGACGTTTTGAGCCAAACGCAGCGCAGATCACGGCCTCATCAATGGTTCCGTCCGTGCTGGAGTCTACAAGGCCTGGTAGGGGTGCAACTGTCAACGGTCGTGTCGTTTCCGGCTTCAGCTTGGCCAGGATGTTGGCATCGTTTATTCAGGAAACGTGTCGAGCGCGCTTTTGGCTGCACTCAGCTGCACTTGTGGAGTTGCGGACCGAACATAAGAACCTCTGCAGACTCCCGCTGAGGCTAACGTGAGCTTGTACTTGCCTATGGCTTGGTCCAGAGCCATGTTCGCAACAGTTAAGGCCCCGCTTTCAAGACTGAGGCTTGGTGCTCTTACGGCTCCAATGAAGCTATCGCTGGGAGCCGAGCAGCTCACAGGAACAGGAGCGTCAGGAGCTTCTCAAAACTGCGTTCAGCTTCACTGCTCTGAGTTTTGCGACGACCGCAACCAGCGGCACTGCCAGGGTGCACCTGGCTCTTGTCTGAGATCTGCACTGCATTATTGGCACTTGAGCCTTTCATGACCGTTTATGTCTTGTTTTTGCAGACTCCAGCTTGCAATGGTATTGCTTCGCACAGGTCATTGACACGATACGGGTTGTCAACCTGTATCCCGGGGTTGATGTTTCTTCGAGCCGGCAGTGTCTGTATTAGCTAGGGGCCTTAGCCACATTCTCAGAAGCCCCGGTCCGTCGCTCAAATGCTTTGTAGTTGAAAATCGTGCTGTCGCATTTCCGTCAGGGCAATCTCGTGGCATTAGCTCTTTGATGTGTTCCCTTGTCTATCGTGTTCGTATTCTTCGCGCGCTGCCCCTATCATGTCTAACATGTTGCCAGCTGAAGTATCCTCAACAAATTGGCATAACGGTCGAGCCCTTGGGTGGAACACGAGCCAACAGTTGACACAGACCAGTGGAAAGGAGACCGCCTCGAAGACTTTGTCAAATCTACGAGAGCGCAAAGTCCTCCAAAAGGGAGAGAGGAAGAATGGAGAGCGATTAGCTCGAGTCTCCAGAGTCGGGTTGTTGGCGCGAAGGACCTCACTCCGCGACAGTCCCTGGAGCTCGCTGTGCCGCGTTGAGGCCTACACTTTCGAGCGAGTCCTGGAATGCTCTTCGCCGCCTGCCAGCCCCCAAGAGCTTGTGACACCCTGCTCTCTGCGATTCGAAGAATCGGCAGGCATTCCGGTTGCAAACTCGAGGTTGGCTGCCATGAGTACCACGAGGAAGATGCTCGATGGCAGGCCCATCGCCTAGTTTCGGACATTTGGTTTCGGATGTGCACACGCCGTGAGCAGGGGATGTCGAAGGAATGGGTCACAGCAAGTCGTACCACAAACGCGCAGTTCGAAACTACAGCGGCCCCCAGCAGTAAAGCTAGTAGCAGAGGAACCGACATCGGATCTGACATTGTGCACACATCTAGCCACTAACCGCTAGATTCTAGATGTGGACGCAGAGGCGGCAGTATACCAGTACACCCTTTCATCCGGACAGCAGGTGTGCCGCAGGGTCAAGGAAGCCTAGCTTATCGCTCGTCGAACAGCCAATGAAGGGTCCAGCACAAGAGACGCCGGACACTGTGTTGGCAGCCGTCAGTAGTCTGGTTCTCCCTGCACAGGTCCAAGTCTGGAGTCGTTGGGTGTGGGACCCCAGTGCATGGATTCACAGATGAGAGCTTCGAAGGGCCTTACTGTCGCCGGGGTTAGACACATCTGTGTTGTGAAGAAGCCTGCTGTGTTCTAGATTCTAGATGGTGCCGGCTGGGTTTACAGTAGCTCAGCACTGGATTCTGCCGTCCAGTCTGTCTCGGTCCCGGGTCGGAGTCGCGAGAGCTTCTCTGCTTGATGGGCATGTGCTCTGCAGCTCTTCCTGCGCGATATCACCCTGTGTCAAGGCTCGCTCGGAGTACCAAAATGCCAGCCGGGCCGTGGCCGCAGAGGGCAGAAGCTGTCCTAAAATATGCATGGTCCTCCGAGCCGTCCAGGCTTGGGAAGCTCTCGCAGAAGACAGGGCAGAGCCAAAAGGGGTTTCCTGGTGCTTCGCCCATTGCTGCACAGCGACTGCACTTTGGCGCCTTCTCGCTGCCAGGCCCGAGTGGCCCGAGGCCGGGAGAGGGGAAGAGCTTGAGCAAAGCCGCAAAGCAGGTAGGCTTCGAGCTTGGGCCTGACTCGAGGTGTGGTCGGTTTTCGTGGGGAACTCGAGCATCCAAGTCGTGGCTGCCCAAGACGTCTTGATTTCTAGCGGTTCCTGAGCCCGCCCCGCATTCACGGTGCCTTGAGGCTGGCGAAGAGTGGCAGCCTAGCTTCCGGTGCGAGCACCTATTAGCCTTTGCTCCGTCCTCACGTGGCTTGAGAACTTGAGAGCTGCGGCAGGTACTTGGATGCAGATCGAGACGGCTTTGTGCGACGCCTGGTTGAGATCTGTTGAGGTCCCCCCCGAAAAGTCAGCTGCGGCGAGGTTTCAAAGGAGGAGTTCGAGCTCGGCTTCCACGGTGGTAGCCAAGCCAGGGGCCGTGAGGAGGCATCAACGAAGTCCACGAAACGAGCTGCGCAGAGATCAGATGCATCAGATGCGTCAGGCAGCCGTGACAATGGAAGAGGTGATCGGCGCCTGCCTCGGAGAGAGATCGATCGGCCGACTGCGGGTATCGTGTGTGTTTCAGGTGAGACACAAAGTGCTGTTCGTTCCCACCTGTGGATCGCTGTTGCCGTTGCCATATCTGTGCCGATCCCAGCTCGGACTTGGTTGGCAGCAGCTTGGAGCTCATTGCCAGCACGGTCTCAGGTGCTGTTGCTGGCGGCAGTGTTGTGTTGGCGCTGCAGGTGCCGTTGGCAAATTGGTGCCCGTTGTCAGAGTCTGTGGACATGGCACGGCAAGAAGTGAGTCGGAGTGTAAACCACGTGAGTTCATGCAGTGGCAGGTCCTCCGGTGCGAAACGCGTAGCTCGTTCTGTGTCGAAGCTCTCCCGCGACGATGTCCCTTCCGGGCTTGGGCAGGTGGGCAAGTTGAGAGGACTAGGCCGCCACTCTGCGGATGGCAATTAGCTAGCCAGCTAGCTACTATGATGTCTTGTAGCCAGGGGATCGAGGCTGGTATCACCCAAAACTTGCGTCGCTCCGGACGACAGAACCTTGCTGTTCCACGTTGCTGATGCTTAATGAGGTCTAGCAGGCGGTCTTGCCGCCATGCAACAGCATCGCAGGCTCTAAAAAGTGGGCGTGCAGCCGCAGCGGCCAGCCAGCCGAACAAGGAGCTAGGCCCTCAGTCGTGCATAGTTTTGGCTTCGTGCCGCGGCTTGCCACCTGCTTACGACCTGTCATGTGGCTCGGCACGACAAGCTCCTATTGCATTGTTGGTTTCTATCTAGTTCATCGCTGAAGGCATGCTTGGCGCAGGCTTTCGTACATAGCATGGGGTTCTAGTGTGAACAGAAGAACGGCCGACACCTGCACTCCACCGCAAATGGCTACATGCAAAGCACGTGGACTTCATGCAGTGGGTTTCTTCCTTTGCCTCCTGTGACTTGGGCAGCAGTTCATTGGGCGTGATGTGCTTCGGGAATTATTGACCGCTTTGTTTGTCACTGTCATTCCGGCGGTTCACTTCTTGATGATTTTGCCGTCTGCTGTGTAACAGTTGTCCGCCCGGTGCAGGTTCTCCAATCAGGCCAACACCTCTTTTTCTTACAGCTCAGTGAGCCTGCACCGACGACAAGGCAAGTCGAGGCCAGTACCCTGATGATCCATATCGAGATGCCGCCGTGCAGGATTGATACAGCTGGGGCTGGCTTCGGGTCTGGCGGGCGCAAAACATGCGGATGCGCCCTGCATAATGCGATGCAGCGATGCATTCTGATTCTATTTTTATGCATCTCCTCCCTTCCCTCAGAGCTTGTGCCGATGTCCGTCAGGCCGCACGGCTCATCAAAGACAAGGGCGAGTTGGTTTACGACCCGAAAACTGGGCAGCGAGTTCGTCCAGCGTGTGAGACGGTCTGTGTCAAGGACCTTGCTCTGCAAGTTGCTGGCGGTAGTCGCAGGTGTGCGTAGATGGCAGAATTGGCTCAGTTCAATGACAGCCAAGGAGTGCCTGGCAATTGTGGGCATCTTCGGCACAATTTGAGACAGGGAGCCAGCACAAGCAAAGTCAGCAAAGCATGGTCATTTACTTTGAGCCACAGCAGAAGCGAGTATGAGTGCCGGACAGTCGCCTGCGAGTTTAACACTGGGCAAGTCCGTGGTTCAAGGATGCCTGCAATTGAAACGGTTCCTGCATGTTCCTGCCGCCAGTACTTGTTATGCACATGTTCAGGACTCGTGAACGAAAAGAACAAGGCCTACTGCGAGCAGCGGTGCCAGGAACCTGCTGACTCTTTGTCGTTCGCTTGTGAGATTCGTCATTCCCCTGTTTCCATGGAAGGATGACTGTGCTGCTGGCGATGGCTTTGGCTCCACGGAGGCTTACGATGAAGACAACGAGCGCATCACGAAGGATGCGGACAAAAACCCAGCTGAACGCTTCGCCGCCCATCCTGGATTTGTTTTTCGAGTCTCGTGCAGGAGTTGGCGACACAGCCGGTTATGCTTAGTTCCGAAGTTCCAGCGCCTGAGCCGGCTTCAGGCTGAGTGGGCCGTGGAGAGGAATGCTGACGTGCTTGACTCCTTCATGAAGATGCCAGGGGCGAAGCCAGGCCGGGACAGGGACAGGGAAGAGGCCTGAAAGCGTTGGGAGCGATGCTTTCGGTTGCAGACCTCGAGCCGGACTCCCTGACGTCCCTCGGAGACGAGCTGAGTGCACCGGGCCAGCCGAGCGCACCCACGAAGCCGCTCTTCGATGCTCGCGACCTCTTCAAGAAGAAATGAGCCGGGCCGCCGGCCGAGTCTCAGAAAGCGCACTTTGTGACAAAGTGCACAAAGTGCACAAACCGCGCCAGAGCCAGGGCCGCAAGGGCTCAAAGAAACGATCAGGGCCGGGGCCATTCGGCCATTCCTCCCCGAATCTTTACTGTTTGTGAATGTCGAGGCCACCTGCAAGCAAGGGAACCAGAGGACTTCCAGACTCGGCCGGGGCCGGCGCTGTCGTGGCCTTGGTCTGCACGTAGCTCCGTAGTCGTCAGTGTCCTGATGCATGGTCTACGCGCATGTAAGATGGCTGCACCTGAGGTGCATGGAGAGGGTCTTTGGCTCTTTCCCCACATTGGTCAGGCAATCCATGATGTTTCGTTGTCGTGGCAAGCCGGCTACGTAAAGCTAGCTGCTACCACTGCATGAAGCCGTTGGAGTGTCTTGGAGCTTCAGGATCCCCTGGACTTGCATTCCCAGTCTCAATTCGGACGAATGTGCCTGCTGTACGGCATTCGCAGCTGGGCGGGTGGGACGAATACAGTGAAGCCGGAACTGCACAGGAAACTGTTCAACAGAGGTCGGCGGATCAGGGCATTGCAAGAGAATACCGCATCTCATGCCGGAATTCCCGTGTTTCCATCTCGGTTCGAAGGACAGCCTCCTGCTCAATCCATATAGACTTCCATGCAATGCGAGAGGGGAAAATTCCATACACGATCCATGTGTGCTAAACGATGTGCCGCGGGTCTGTAGATGTCGCAAGTGCTCACGGAGCGGGGCTTGAGTTGAGTCTGCTTTTGCAGTGGGCTAGATGAGGGTATACCGGCATACCATTGATGGTATCAATCGGGTGGGGGTGCCAAACCTTGAAGTTTTGCTTCATTTGCTAGGCCTTGCCATCCTTCCTCACCCAAGAGCCGGGTCCCCACAGCTCTGCCGCGCTTTGCAGGAGACAGAGACATCCATAGTCTGTCAGGTCATTCCGGTACGTGCCGCTTGCAACCCAAGAGGTGGGATGGGTGCGTGCCTGGCTGAGGATGCAGGCATTTGGTTCCTCTCGCTCGTGAGGAGATGCCTCTGCAACATGCTGGCGTGCCTTCGTCAAAATTGGGTCAGAGCAGAGCAGCAAAGCGGAGCATCGCAGGGGCAGTCCAGACTGTTCAGACAGAGCCATTTCGTGAAGATTTGATTCGGATGCGGCAAGAACCAGGTCGGGCAGCCGCCATCCTCGGAGAGTTTTACAGGCAAGCCAAGTCAATCCGTGCCCGAGTGGCTGTCGTGGGCTCGCCTTTTGAGCATAGACCGAGCCCGCCGGAAGTCTGCCCTCTGGGCACGCCCGAAGCCTATACGAGTTTGACACTCCCGTCCTCGCGGTATGATGTTAGCCCTTGAGCCGGGCCATGCCTGCAGCGTGCTTAATTTGCTGCCTGCAAAGCCTTGCCAGCATGTGTACATCAAGCATAGCTGCACTTAAGGTACGCTCGAGGTCAGTAGCAATACATGTGATCATGATTGGGATTGTGGCCGCGAGCTGGCAGGATGGCATGCGCAGCCGGGTTCTTTCTCCCTGTCGGTGGCTTTGTCCTTTTCAGTGTCGAGAGCGGTGTGCTGGGTCCCGTGCGAACCGAGGCCTGCTTCATCCGCCTCCGGTCCTGTGCTCGGCTTGCTTTGGGCTCTGTCGTCTTGTTCCAGCCTGGCTCCCGCAAGGTCTTCAGAGCTTTTCTATGTCCCCGGAGTTCGGTCTCGGCCACATGGCACCGTCCATGGTCCTCGGTCCTCTGGGTCAGGCCGGTCAGGCCGCGGGCTGTTCTGCCCAGTGTTTTTCCATCCTCGCAGGATCCGCGGCGAGAGGCCATGCTGCATGCGGCCTGGGCCGCCAGGTGCGTCACCTGGCCGAGTCGAGGTTGCGAACGAAGCTGCACCACAACATGGAAGGCTGACACAAGGCAGTCCCTGGTCCTCTGTGCGCAGCTGAAAAAGCCGTCTGCTGCTTCGTTGAAGACGGCATTGGTTTCTGACAGTCAAGGCTCCAGCTTCAGCCACCTCGCCGAGCATCGTGTGCAGCTCAATTCCCCAGAAAGCCACTGGCTTGGCTCTCTTTGCAGACCCGCCAAGGTAGAGCCTCCAGTCCGCCACGCCCTGGCCCTAGATCGGAGCCAAGGGCACGTCCCTGGAGCCCTGAAACTTCTTGTAAGACCCGAGGCAGAGTTGGCCGGACCGGTGCAGGTGCCAGTTCCAGTGCCTGTGATGTCGAGCGCGTCTGAAGTCAGCTGGGTTCTGGCTCGGCCAGCATGGTGCCGTGCGCGAAGGTAATGCCGGCGGAAATCCCAGTGGCTGGCACTGCTGGCACGGAGGCCCCGCTCTGTGGAAGCAATGGAAGACTCGTGCTGCTCGGTGTTCAGACTATAGTTATACGGACTGTTTTCATGCCTGCTTGTGTTTTGTCTTCGGCTCTGGCTTTGTGCGTTGCATTCTCGGGTCGAACGCTCGACTCAGAGAGAGAGAGAGAGAGAGAGAGTGGTCCCAAGTGGTCTCTCAAGTGCCCAAGGGGTCGCGAAGACCTCTCCTGAAACCGGCCCTCTCCGGAGGTGGCCCGGTAGTAGGGAGGGGCAACATGCCACTTGATGGAGGAACTCAGAGTGAAGACGCGACACCAGGGGGAGAATCACATCGTTCAAAAGGGCAACAGCGAGATCAAGCTGCTCGACCACCTCTCCCTCGCAGGCGACCTCAACCAGACGCTAAAGAGGGACTAGACTGGACGGGGGACACGAAGCCCGGCATGAACGTGATAGTGGCAGGGACACCGAGAAGGCAAAGGACACCCGTGGCCGACGACGACCCAGACACAGCTGCAGCACCGCGGAGGCACAGGACACCAAGTGCCAACGACGACCCAGGACCAAAGGACGACGACACAGCTGCAGCACCTCGAAGGCACAGGTGAGAGAAGTGAGCGCCGACTACAAAGGCGAGGCACCAGTGGCTACAAGTTTTGGGACATATGTCTGATGTACACCCATGCAACTCGCCGGGGACACCCGGATCCGTGAACAACACCTCTGCCACCGGTGGAAAAAGTGAACGCGACACTCTGAAGCCACCTAACTTACCTTTTAATTTGTGTTGAGGGGCACCCGCTCATTTCCATGAACCCTAGAATGGTGTGCCAACAGCTTGCATAAGACTTGCATGGCCGTTAATTCAAGCACGTTTTTCCCCTCGTACACACAGCCTTTTACATACCAGATTCTTAACAGTGCCGGTGCGAGCAAACAAACACCCCATACGGGGAACACAGTTTCGGAGCACCCTTTGCTATGTAAGTCAGTCTTGTATAGACCGAGCCCATCCTTTCCAAATGATGGATGGGGTAGCGCACTCGCGCGGGACGGGGGGACTGCTCCCGTCTCAAACCCCGAGCAAAGCAAAGTGGTCCCAAGTGGTCTGGATGCATGCTTAGGGCTTAGGGGGTGTTCTTACCGGGCCGGCTGGCAGGCACTCTTCGGGGAACGCGCACGCGGCCCCAAAAAGGTGTTGAACTGACAATGGATCGAGCGCGCCTCGTGGGGTAGGCCTTCGGGCCAACGGGTTGTCCGCAGCCCCTACACCCCATGCAAGCAAGCAGGCAATCAAGTAAAGAGTGGGCGTGCTTTGCCATATGTCTTTGAGGTTGTTTGCTGTTGGCTGTTCTCACAGTGCTTCTTTGATTCCCATTTGCCATGTTGCTGTTGTTCTGCCTTTTGTGGGTGCGTTTAATTCAGGTTCTGTTCGCTCTAGTGGCATATCGGTTTTCGATTGTCATGTGTGGTTTCTGTTGTCATGTCAAGATTCCCCCAGAGACAGCAGGAGACTGCCGCCGACCGTTGGGGCGATGTTGCTGCGATCATCAGCCCACAGCGACTGTCGGCGGAAATCTGAGACCTGCCAATTTCGCAACAAAACGAAGTTAAGCGTCAAGCAAAACATGCTGCACAGAAGAACAGGCAACACAACAAGTGGCTGTCCTGCAAAGGCAGGTATGGCTTGGAAATCTTTTGAATTAATGCCACCCGTTGCCCGTAATCCTGGGCTGGGCATGGCCTGTCACTTGAGCCGCTCTCGAGTCTTTTCATCAAGTCGCTGACGCAAGTGCAGTGAGAAGAATTATATACGGGCTCCCTTGCAACGAGGATCGTGTGCAGGTAGGAGCTTCTCTTCAGAGGTCGTGTGAGGACCGTGAGGTCTTGTGTTGCTTGTGATGGCTTGTGGCCCTCGCAGCATCTTTGGGCTCCGGCCTTGGGCCATGGCTCCTGCGCCACGGCCTCAGATGGAGAGTGCTACTAGCTACTGCTACTTCATTGCTACTTGCTACTGCCTTCAAAACGCAGGGAGGACCCAGCGGAGTCGTGCCCCCTCCGGCGAGGAGTGCTGGGGTCTCAACTTCAAACTCCTAACCATTGGGCGAGTTGGCTACTCGTGCTTCAAGTGCCATGCAGTTGGAGCACCTCTCAGCTAGTCGTAGCTGGTCGCTTCACCTCCGCTAGCCCGAACATGGTTGCCTGTCGCTGAGTCAAGGCTGGTGCGCATTCGCGGCCTCCAAAGCGCGGAAGGCTCCAAGCTCAACGGGCAGCCCAGGCCTCAAAAGGCGGCAGGACCTTGCACGGATAACGTTGGCTGAGTATTGATAAGTTAAGGCTGGGGCGATGCGACCGTCTCGATGAAAAGACAGGGCGAATGGCTCTGAAATTCTTCCAAGTCCTTGTGAATATGCCTTACAAAGCTGAGGGAATAAGCGGAGCAAGCCTTAAAACCCAGGCGCTGGGGAGTGATCCTGGGGGACGGGCAGACGAAGGCAGCCCAGAATTTCACAGGCCCTTACGACTTGTGACCTAATTTCGTTTAGGCTCTCAGAGCCGACAACATCTTCTCCTTCGATGAGTACTTGAAGGTGCTATCACGGCAGCAGGGTAGGGAAGCACTGTCTTTCCTTCATGGTCAGGTGGCTCATGAAGGGCGGACGCCCGTGGATATTGGACTGGTGCAGGGGAAGTGCGACTCGTTTGGCGGCTCTTGATTCGTTGATGTTGCAGGACCCTTCATGAACGATTTCTTGACAAATCCCAAGTATGATGTGCCGCACCCAATATCCACGAAGTCGCATTCAGCCGGGCTGAGAAGAAAGCCAAGGCACCGGCAGGGGCGGCTGGCTACAAGAGTCGAGCAGGAGACTTCAACTTGCTTGTTTCAGGAACAGGGTGCAAGGAACAGCTTGTGGTCGACGAAGCTCCTGATCGAGTAGCCGCGCAATCAGCGTATCCGCTTGCTACTTGCCCAGGACTCTCACCACAAGAGCGGCTTCAACAGTCGTATGACAAGGCGAGACTGCCAGAGCAGCTCCAGACACGCAATATGCAGACATCCCAAAAGGCCCAGCGAGAAGGTCGAAGAGCAAGCCCTCGGCTGAGCCGGGGACCCGTTAAGTGTAAGTGTGACAGTGTGACAGTGGCACTGTCGCACTCTGAATGTGTCTCAGGCAAAGACGACGAAAAATCCGGGAGATACTCGCCTTTTCTCGTAAAGCAGGCCTTCGGCCGCTCAGTTGAGCGCGACAGTTCAGTGCGAGAGACAAGAGTGATCCGTGCAGGTGGAGCTGCAAGCGGGCTCTATAGAGTTGGGAATCATCGCTCCAAAAAGCCAGGAGAAAGGGCTGAGAGTCGGAGGGAGTTGGAGTGTCAGAGCAAACTCTGGCTCCATCTCCAGGACTCCCGGCGGCCTATTCCTACCATCTTGGCGATTTCAAGAGGCGAGCAACGCCGCGGTCTCAGAACAGGGTGAAGGTCTGGTGAATGTCAAGGTGCTCCTATGGACCTGCGGAGGTCATGTCGCTAAGCTTTTCCGAGCTCTGCGTGCGGAAGAACACGGATGGCAACTGCCGTCGTCCCAGCTCTCGCTCAGCGAGATGTTTTGTTTCTCGAGCGACTGGTGCTTCTGCGAGGTTGGTGCCAATGCGCACCGCAAACAGTCCCGACTTCTTTGAGCCGCTCCTTGCTTGCAAGTCGCTGGGTCTGCAAGCGCGACCTGCTTCTGTAGCGGCAATGCCCACAGGGCCGGCCAGACTATCTTGGAGCAGCTTATGAAGGTGGAACGAGGGATTCCAGATGTCGACCTTTGTCAGTAATGTGTTGCAGGCTGTGCTGGAGGATCGGGAGAGTGACATCAGTCCCTTTGGAGCCATGAGTACGAAGCTCAGAGGGAGGCGACATGAAGGATGAAATTGCGTGGAAGCCTCACAAGGCAATGTGTTCCACCTCCTGGGCATTAGCCATGGCTTCCGCCTCGGCCTGCCCTTTTGACAAGGCCAGTGACATGTACCGTGAGGTGCCGCTGCCTTGCTGTCCTTGGCCTGCAGAGTCCCTGAGCAAGTTGTCGACCTCTGAGCTGTTGAACTTCTGAGAGATGCCAGAAGCGTTGACCTGCGGGTTCCTCAGGGCTCGCTGACGCTCATCCAGGGTTTTCTGCCGCAGCTTTGCGAGGTCCAGGCGGGGATGTTGGCACCGCGAGCCTTGCTTTCTTGTTCGCTTGCATTCTTTTCCGAGGCCCTGAGAAACATGGAGAACATCCGTTTCTATGTCGGCGATCAGGATGAACTTGGCCTTGACCTTGGCACTCTTCTCGGCTTTGTCCGTGCAGAGCCCTTTCCGAGGCCATCGCGAGTATCTCCGAGGTATCAAGGAATCTCTCAAGGTCTGAGTGGGCATCTGAAGACTGTATGGCAGAGTCTGACAGTGCAGTAGACGGGCGTCTCTGGGAGGAAGCAGGCGGCCGCGCCCACACCCATGTCGCATGGCACCCGCTTTGCGGTCGTCAAAACGGTTGTAACCTTCCCTTCGGCCCTGAGGTCAAGGGCGCAAGCCATTATGACATTGACAAGTTCATAGACTTGGAGGAGCGGTGCTCAGCAACCAGTCTTTCTGGGTTTGAGCCGTTTGGTGCAGGATCTCTGGAAGCGACTGGAGCTGGCTCGATGAAGCGGAGCGGCGGAGTCTCACCCGGCTGCGGCCGCGGCGAAGTTGTGACCTTCAGAAGTCTTCCGGTCTGCAGGAAAATTTGACACTGCTTTCCGCCGCTTTGAAGAATTTGTGCTGCACGATGTGGGACTCTGCTTTCGGCTCGCAGCACAAGGCTCGAGGACAGCTCCTGTGCAAGCCATGGGAGAGCCCATGGCCAGAAAGCGGAGGAGGGCACTGGATTGCCTGGACCTTCCTCCGGACATCTTGCGTGAAGGGCATGGTGATCTTCCGTGGGCTTGGCGCCTTAACGACATGTCCTTGAGCACACCGCATCCCAGAAGGTCTCAGTCCCAGACATCTCCAGATCTGCTGCCATTCGCTGGCCTCGACAGGCACCTCTCCACGTCTCCATCCCTCGGAGTCAGGACGACTTTGTCAAGTTTGGGGGGGTTTGCAGAGCCGGCCGCGCGGCGACCACGAATGGAGCCAGCCATCAGCTGGCCGCCGTTCTTTGCAGAGAATGGCCCACCCAGAGATTTACCCGAGATTCTGGTGTCGGAGAAGAGCGCGACTCTCCCATGGGCCTGGAGGCTGCCGTTTGCTGCGCCCGAGTGGTGATGCCGCCGCCACCGCGACTGCGTGAACATCGCAATTCAACTTCTTGCTGCTGAGGGTGGTAGGTGCTCACGAATTAGGAATTCGTTCGACGTGTGGCCCAGGAATAGGCCAAGCCACTTACGTCGCGCTGCATTCTGAGCTCCAAAACGTCTCCTGCGAAGCAGCTGTCATGCTGACCACCGAGGATCTTGCAGATTGTCGCAAGAACGGACTCGCGGCCTGTCAGCAAGTGATTGCTTGTGGACGTCTTGTGTGGCTCTAGACTTGAAATATCTAGGCAGCTGCTCGTGCTACAACACTCTACACTTATTCCAATCATGTCTTGCCTGAGCCAAGCCAGCCTCCGAGCGTTTTTCAAGGGGCACAAGCGGAACTCGGACATGCTCGTGTCTGCTTGTCGCAGTGCAGAGACTCCTCACAGTACGTACGTCGCCCTGGCAATGTTGAGTCCTTCGACGCCATGGGCAGCATGCGAGCTTGGAGAGAAGCTGCGCGCTGGCAGCAGTGCAAGCAATGCCGGCGCTTCGCTTGGTGTAGTTGCTCCCCCAGTTTTGGGGCCAGCCGTTTGCGCGAAGCAGCGATCAAGCTCGCAAAGCCGCCTGCAAGTGCTGCAAGCTGCTCCCGTCGTCCTGGTGGCATGGCAGTGGCGCAGGACTCTTGAGGGCTGGGCAGAAACAAAAAGAATACTCCCACATGCCCCTTCAGGTCTCGGCTGGCAAGACGGGCCAACGCAGTGCCTTCCAAAGGAAGAGGCTGGCTTGCACTCTCGAGGCCAGGGTGTAGGATGTAACGGCAAGACCTCAATGGTCCAGGCACGAAGCCCGTTGTCAACTGGCGCCGTGTTCGGCAGCTGGTGTTAGGCGGGCTGCTGGGTGCTGGAGTATATAGCTCACAGGCGCCTGCGATCTTTGCCAGGAGCCTCAGCTTGTTTTGCCATCTACCGGCTGGCCAAATGGGGATCAGCTCAACCTCTGGACACCTTCACCGACAGGGCACGTGCGTATCACGGCGTTTGTGGATCTTTAGCCGCTGACCTGGCCTTTTCATCCGTCGCGTTCATTGCCTTTGCCGTCTGCGCGGGCACAGAAACTGCAATCACCACTTTGTGGCCCTGGAAAGTGCGGGAGTATGCTCAGCGCGAGTACGAGAAGGACGTGGGTGTCGAGCAACCCAGACCGACCTTTTCAATCCCTGACATAACTTGAGCAAGTTCCCTTCGGACAGGCATCCCGCCGTTTTCTGTCAGGCGGAGCAGAAGGTGAAGGAGAGTCGTGAAGGTGGTGGTCCTGAGATTACTGCCAAGGCGCCACTTGTGCTGAGGATTGCGAGATGCAAACGAAGCTGCAGTCGTCGCGTCCGCTGCGTTGTACGATCGGCCATTCGAAGAAAGGTCGTTTCCCGCAGAGAGAATCCTTGTCCTTCAACTTACCGACGATGTGCAAACCGTTAAGCTTTTGCTTCGCCTCCAGTGGCAATCGGGCTCTACGTATACCATGATCCCTATGAGAGACCCGAAGACTTTGTAAAGCAGCCCGAGTTCTCGGCCAGAGCTCGGTCAACTTCTTACGTGCAGCCTTCAGCTCGCAAGCCATGCAATCCTGAACTTTAGAAACACTGAAAGACTAGAGGGGGACCACAGAGCAAGTGGCAGTTGTACCCACCATGGGCCAATTTGCCTTCAAGCACGGAAAACTAGTTGCAGGTCGACTGTGGGTGTTGGTGATGGTGGTGGGTGACGAGTTACATGAATTGCATGTGTCAGCGACAGGCGCAGCTTGGCAAATGGACTGCTTTGAGGGAGGACATTCAGCGATTCATGCAGACTATCCTCATCGGGGCTACGTTGGCCGGTGCCCCGCCTGTGCTGTTTTCCTGCTGAAAGCTGAATTTCGTTTTCGTTGGCAGATGTTGACAGTAGTTGGAGCTGTGTTGGTCGACTGACGAGGCGTCGTAAGCACTGCCTTCATCACAGAAATCTGTGGGCAGCTGTTTGGGCCTCGTGGGCTGGGAATCGTGCGCTCCTCATAGGGTTGGTAGCTTTCCTGACCTTTACGGTCATGAGTCCATCCTGCACACGATCATGCGGCTGATACGAGATGGCGAGGCCACCGTGTCAGTCACTTTGGTGCAGCTGACGCCCAGCGCTCGGACTCACCGAGTTAGAAGCCATGATCGGCCACGGCCGGTGGATCGCTAGCTACTCTCTGAAATTTCCAGTGTGCTGAGCTGGAGCTCACAAGGATATGTCTCCGAATCTGTTCGTGGCAGCCGGGTAAGCCCGTGCGTTGGGTGATGCTAACTGTGCTTGTGTCTGTGCACGGCAACCGCCCGTTGCTGCTGTTTCTGCTTGCTTTTGCTGCAGTACTTCGCCAGGAGCTGTATTGCCCGATGCTTATTGTGCTCGCTTGTTCGTCCCCACATCACGGGGCGGCTGATGAGTCATGCGGGGTTGCTGCAGCGAATCACTTGTCTGTGAAGGTAGGTGCCCGACTACCCTACCCGAACTTACGCAGTGTTGTTACCCTATGGGGAACATGCAGGGGCGCTCGAGCGCAAGTGAACCGGCCGACGCAAAGCCAAGCTTAGCGTCAGCGGCAGGCTCTGGCAAGGGCAAACGAGATCCTTTTCCTCGGACTAAGCTTGTCGCAGGGAGTTCAAACACAGCATCTGGCTAGCAGAGCACTTCCCAACGCCCGGAAGATCAGTGTCAATGGAGTGGACAGAGGGACAGCGGCCACAAGCAGGGAAATTCATGCACATCTTGTGCTCAGGGGCTTGCAAGTGTGGCGGAGTTCCGCGCATCCCTGCAAATTTGCAAGGTTGGGGGAGATCCTGCCGAAGAGCATGGCCGTTTCAAATCCATACAACTTCGCACAAGCTACGTTGCCAATCTTCTACAGGTCCGTCTCAGCTGTTTGCCAGAGGAAGGGACAACTATTCTGGATCGCATAAACCTTGAAGGATTTCAACCGTCGTTTACCCGGTCAGCAAGATCCTCAACGAGGCTACAAATTCGAAGTGCATGGCGATGAAAGCGATGCGGCTTGCGAGTCGAAGCCACTCATGTCCAGTGAATCTGAGGCCATGTCGCTCTTACTTGCCATGTGCGGCGTACCGGTTGACACCAAGAAGACTCCGTACGTTTCAGAGGAAGTATCTAGCTTAGCTGCCAGCTGTGCATATGCATCCGCGTCGATCGAAGGTTCTCCGGAAACGAGAGTTTTACCATCATGTCGCCAAGGAGCTAGATCTGGTCTTCCGGTCCGCGATGCAAAGTGGCATTGTGGACGCAGAAGAGGGTGAGATGATTCGAAGCGTCCGCAACCTCGACAGCAAGCGAATCAAGGCCGGAACGGGGATTGCAGTATGCAAAGCGAAGTGCAAGAAGACGCCCCGATCCTGTTGGCGTCGAAGTGTGCTGATTCCCAAGGAGATCATGACACCACTGGTCGACATGATCTGCATCGAGTCCGAGGAGCCCATTTCCAAGCTTCACAATGTCATCAAGGAGACACAGCCCATGGCTGCAAAATCTTAGATGGAAACGAAGGATTAGAAGGGCCTCAGCCATTGCACGGCAAGTCAGGTTCAGCAGAATCCCTGTGTATGAAGTCCGCTTTGATAACATCGTCGGCGACTTGATGGCAACGAGATGTGAGCGACTTGATGCTAGTCTTGTATCCACTATTCCGAGGCGTGGTGAGTATGAAGACACTGTTGAAGAATGCCAACTGTTTGGAAGACTTTGTCAGCGACAACACCAAGAAAGTGCAAGAGATATGTGATGTACCCGTCTTCGTGCCCGCCTCCTGGCAGAGAGAAGCAGCATTCGAAACCTCGTAGCTCTGCGTGCACAAACCTTTGCGCCCTGGAGTTGAGGAGACGATGTCACTGATCTCCGCCCTGCGCTTGCTTAAAGAGCGGACTCTTGCGATCTGCGTGGACAAGGGCTTGCTAATGCTTGCTAGTTGGTAACAGAACGCCGACTCAGAGCGACTCGCTGGTGCATGTGTTGGTCTTGTCCATGGGGACGTGGGGCCAGCGCAGGGTGGTCGCATCCTGGGATGTGTAGTGCTAGCAGGGGGATGAGGGACGGATATCAATCACGCTTTATCTACTGTGAACCGCTGCATTGCGTGCCGGCATGGATTGAACCGCATTCTGCAGGATGAGTATGGAGGAACTACCGGGCTGATTACTTTGGAAGACGTTTTGGAAGAGAGGCTTGGTCGGGAATCGAGATCTCGGACCTAAACCCATGATGCCTTTGCGGCTTCATTGCCAGTGTCACAGCGCCGCGTAGCTTGAGACGCGCATAGCAGGATGGCAATCGCTACTAAGGATTGTTGGTGAGATATACGATCCGGATGAGGAGAAGGACAGGGTCGAGAAGCAGCAGAATCGCGCCAAGATCCAACAGAACCTGGGCTCGGACAAGCCCGTCGTATTAAATGGCAACTCTGGTAGGACCTGGTAGGAGCTGACCAATCCACACCAAGCAGGACCAAGCGTAATAGTTTAGAATAGTTTAGCGTTTGAGCTTGATGCCGTGGCTACAACGGCTACAATCTCCGAGTTTCGACACTCCAGCCCATTGAGGCTTGGCCCTGATCACTTCTCCATGAGTGGACTGGCTGAGAAGGGCGATGTGGAGGATATCCTCGGGATAAAGATGCCCGAGGGCGAGTACAACTCAATCGGAGGGTTTATGTGCATGACCATTGACCGAATTCCTGTAATCGGGGAAGCCGCAACGGTCGAGACTGCCGCGGAAAGGATCCGCTTTGAGATTGCCAGCGTGGATGACCGCAGGGTGCTCTCAGTTGAAGCTTTCCGGAGTGCAAAAGATGGCAAGAGCGACGAGGAGGCTGAGGATGAAGCGCAGGAGAAGACCACCACCCCTCTGTGCCCTGTTAATTCTTCTTAGCGGAGGCGTATTTTGGGAACTTTTGATGTTTTTCTTTGGGCATTTTTTTGTTGTGGTCTGGGTGCCTGCGCGGTCTCTCGGCTTTTGGCTTGTTGGCTTTTTGGCCTTGGCCTCTCTCGACTTCTTACCGCCTGGCCTGGAGCATACTGCATTCTTGTGTTGTGTGGCTTCTTGGCTTCTCGGTTTCCCTGGCTTCTTGGCTTTTCGGCCTCTCGGCTTCTTGCTTGGCCTCTCGACTTCTTATAATAGCCCACGTATTTCCTTTCGTTTTCCTGGCCGGTAGTTGTGTGAACACGTTTTTACTTTACGAGCTCCTTAATTTATTTGAGCCCAATGCGAAGACTGTGCGTCTCTGCAGGCGCTTTGGTTTGAGTGAAAAGTAGCACTTGAACAAGACTGTTTGATGATCTCCGGCTTTGGGGACCAATTTTGTGTTTCTGTGATTTTGCAGTGTTTTTTGGTTGTGTTGAGGGGGGGGTTATGTCCATAGGAAAACCTGTATTTTCGCTATGTTCTCATAGGAACACCTTCATTTTTTATATCTGAATAGCAACAACCTTTATTTTTCTAATTTTTCTCTGTGTATACCAGGAAAACATATCCTTTCTCCTTCTGTTATAGAGAAATGTATATTTTTCTTTATTGTCATGGTAATGAAGGGAAGAAGATAGGACAGAACGAAAGAGAGACAGAACGAACGAGAGAAAGAAGGACCGAGAGAAATAAATAATTAACACATCTAAGGACGGAAGAAAGAAAGAGACCAAGACAGAAAGAAAGACAGAATTAACTGAAGTAATAAACAGGAAGAAGGAACGAACCAAAGACAGACAGAAAGAAAGAGTTTGGAGGGCAAGCCGTGCAACCTTGCGTCAGTGCTTGGAGGGCAAGCCGTGCAATCTTGCTTCAGTGCTGATGAGTTTTTCTGCAACCCATCATGCGAGCATTGTGTTTGCAACCGGCAGCGGGCTGCGCCCTCCTAACCCCTCGCTTTTTGAGCCGCAGTCTGTGTAAACCCCACCATGGAGGGGCTGCCTCAGCTCTCTTTCCTGGCTCGCCGGCTCGCAGGAACCGGTAGTGTCTGGAACGGTCAAGCTCGAGTGGCCATGGCTTATAGAACCGGTGTTGGCTCCCGCCTCCATCTGGCCGGGGGCACCAAAACTTGGTCGCCTCAACTTCCTGGATCTCGCAACGTCTACAACATCGTCTTGTGCTGCCCGGACTGTCCAGAAGGGCTTTGGACGCGCAGCTTCAGCACTTACCGGCAGGCAGTCCGAGTGCCTGGCGGGCCTTTGGGCACGTTCGCCCAAAACAGCAGCTCCCATTCTCTCGCGACCCTGGCGGAGGCCGAGGCTTACCTGCTGCGCGCTCAGAGAGAATGCCCACCGCATCGGGAATGAGGCTGGCCGTGCACGCCCGCTTATGCGGAGGACCAGGACCAGTTTGCCATGACCTACCTTCTCTCAAGGTGCGGGCGAACGGCTTCATGGTCATCCTCCCGGACTCCGCCGTCGTTCGGGACTTTGTGACGACTGCCGAGGCTACCGCCTTGGTGCATCGCGATCAAGTGCAAGTGGAGACCATCAGGGACGACACCTGGGGCATACTCATACTTTGCTGGTGGACTTTCCTTGGGCCTTTACCGAGCACATGCTGAAGACTTCAGCGTATTTCAGCGTTGAGGGGGTTACAGGACCGTGCTTCGAGGGCGATAGCCCTCACCGTAGGGGCCGTGCCCGGCCGTCCTATGGCCGGCGACGCACTCGACTGTGCGAATCGCTGGCTCGATCGGCTCGACCCGGACACGGCCCAAGAATACTGAGCGAGTGCCCAAGAGCTCAAAGAGGAGCCGGCGAGGCTGCGGAGCCCGAGGCGGATGGTCTGGCTCCTGCGCCGGCGGTGTTCCCTCTTCGTCCGGCAGACTGGTTGGCCTCCTGCATGGGGCCCTTATCGCTGCAAGCCGCGGCCCGAACGATGCCGATGTGGGCCGGCTGCGAGTCGGTGCCGTGGAGCGGCAAACATTTGGGGCTGGCGTTGGCGTGGACCTCTTTTCGGAGGCGGAGCTCGGAGCTCTACGTGGAAGATCCTGGCTTGGACCAAGGTGCCGCGAGCACTACCCTTCCCGTGCTGCTTCTGGCGCAGATGAGGCAGAATGCTGTCCTCCTGGAGAAGATCGTGGGGGGCAACGAGGGGTCCAGGATGCTCTGGCCAGCACCTGGGGCAGCTCCGTGAAAGGGCATCTTGCCTGTGAGGCTTTTGTGCGCCAGATGTCCGATGCCAAGCTGGTGTCCCAACGGGTGCAGCAAATGCTCTCAGCGAGCTGGGCCTGAGCCAGGCGGAACCGGGGCTCATGAGAGACTATGTCGAGAAGAGGGTACCTCTTGCGGATCAAAAGCTGCTGCAGCATTTTGCTGCGCTGGCGTCCCACGGCTGGGAACAAGGATTCAGGTCGGGGAACACAGACTGCTTGCATTCACGAGCCGCTTGCTTCTCTTCATAGAACAGAGTGCCTTAGATTTTGGAAGGTTCAAATGGGTTACCTTCTCACAGGTTTTCCCGACCCGCCTCCTTTGCCAGCCGGAAAGCACCAGGCCTGAAGAGTTTCTCTCGCCTGTCGCCTCCACAGTGGATGGCAGCGAATCTAGCTTATTTGAAGGACCTCGATTATGCCGAATCCCGAATCGCCCTGCTGAGGCGTCCAGGGCCCCCGCACAGGCCCAGGAGACGCCAGGCGTACCGGGCGACGAAGGGGAAAAACCCGCGAAGCCAAAGCGGCCACCGAGGCGCCCAAAGAACTCGGATGCAAGCTCCAAGGGGATTTAGGTGATAAGCAGGGTGCCGCAACTGCCTCGGAGAGTCACGATAGTCGTTTCTTCGGTGGCGGGCCGTGCTCTGCTCCTGTGCCTGATTTCGATCCGCATTGCACAGAACCGATCGACCCCCTCCTTCTCGTTAGGGGCTTTTATGGTTGTAAGTCCTGTTTGTCTTGATTTGTTAGGGATTCCCTAACTGCCCGAGCCTGCACAGCTGAGGTCAGTGCCCCGGGGCCCGACCTATGGCCCGTGCCGCCACCCTTGTGGAGATGGACACGTGGCGGTGCGTGAGAGCGCCGACGCCGCGCGAGACTCAAGGTGAAAAAGCCCAGCTGTTACAGATCACTGTGTGCGGGTTGAATTGGGAGTGCTTAGGGTATCCCCATCGTGCCCCACCGTGTGCCCCGTGTGCCCGCATAGGAGCTCCTACCACTAGAGCCCAACAACGTGCGCTGGATCACTTGAGACTGGGATTGAGCACATGCTTCGTGCGCCAGCCTTCGTCCCGGATGACCTAGGCCGCGGAGCCACGAGATTAGATTCCATCTTTCGGGTGATTAAGGAATTGCCGCACCCTAGTGGTGAGGATGTGGACCTCCTCGATTGGGCATCTGCCCTGCATGCCTCCTTCATCCTCCTTCCTTCCCTATGATCACCCTAAACCTGCCCCAGATTGCACCGGTGCTAAGCTCTCCCTAGAACCTGTAGGACCCGTAGCCCTGAGCCTGGTCTTGATTCCTGTCCGGGCGGAGATGAGTGTGGGCCGAAGCAGTTTATCAACTTTCGTATCGATGGTGCTTTGCGGTTGTAGCTGATCGCATCAAGTGGAAGCATTCTCCTTCATTTAATCCTTCACCCTATATTAGTCCCCACCTTAAGCTGGCCTATGAGGATCCCGATGTTTTGCGCCGGGCTTCGGCCGACTGGCCCTTGCTGCGACCGGCAAAATTGCATTGCCGTCGGGAGGAACTCCTTAAGCTGGGGGCGGTTAGGGTTAGGATTAATGCTGCTTCAAGCGTCGCTTGGAATGAAGCCGTAGGCCTAGTTTCGGTTTCACCCATGATAGGCTGATTGTAAACCCGACGGTCTGCAACTCCCGTTCCCGTACCACCTCGCAGCACTCTAAAAGCCTGGCGCCGGGGTGCCTCCTGACTTTGCTGAGCCTCGAGCCTGGTTTCGGTTTTCGCTATAGTGCCGACGATCTTTCGGACTACTATTATGCCTACCGAATCAGTGCTACTCGTACCCTCAAGAATTCTATACGCTGCAAGTTGCTCCGGAAGAGTTGGCACACTTTCGCGACGCCCGCGGTTTGGACATGAGGTCTTGTGGTTGAATACTTTAGCCATGGGCGACAGCCTTGCTGTAGAGGTCGGACAGGCCGCTCATTACAGAGTCTTGCGGGAGCATGCAGGTGCTCTAGTGCCAGCTGAGACGCTGCTTTATCGCCAAGCGGTGCCTGAAGGTTATACGATCGAAACGTTGGCCATTGATGATCACGTGTGCTTGCAAAGGCTGCCGCTTGGGCTGATGGCCGAGCAACCGCCTTTGCGGGATACTCAAACCTTCGAGGCCGCCGGGCCTGCCTACAAGTACGGTGGGCTTGTTAGGAACGATGACAAGAAACGCCGCAACTTGACTCAGGGGTTGTTCTCGGAGCTGAGCTCGACGGGCGTAAAGGTCTCGGCGGGCCCCCACAGGAAAAGACATTGAGCCTGGCACTCCTTTCGACCCTGCGGGCGAAAAGAGGGGTCGCTACTGTCGAGCTTCTGGAGCGCATTGTTGGGTGCTGGGTGCACGTCCTGCTGTTCCGTCGGCCGTTGTTTGCAGTGTTCGATAAACTCTTCACGGACGGTCGGAGCTTTGCTCGCAATCAAGTGTTTCGCTTCAGTAACCAATCCCGTGACGAGCTCTTGCTTCTTAGCGGGTTATGTTGCTCAGTGTTGACCGATTTGCGAGCGGTTTATGATCCCAATCTGTATTGCATGGACGCCTCGCCCGTTGGGGGTGCGGTATGCTCGACGGCGGTCGGTTCTAAAGCTGCTTCAGATTTAATTCTGGCGGCATGGCGAGTTAAGGGGATATCACACCAGGCTTGAGTCCGAAGTCTCAAAGAGAAGGGCGTAGCACACAGCAGTGACCAGCTGTTCGGTGCCAACAACACACTGCCTGAGTCCCTCGCCTCCTAGGTGAAGGCTACTTGTTCGACATAGTTGTGCTCGGTGGTCCTGGTGATCCTTGGGGCGACGTTTTTGCTCGTTCGGGGCTTCGGGTCTTTTCGGTTTACGTAGGGGAGGTTCTCCCGACGGCGACCCACTTGAGTTTGATCGGACTCTGGTTCGAGAGCTATCCCAGCTCGCTGTGCGCCGAGTCGTTCGAGAATGGCACCTTAGCCTTGGATGGCCCGCTCTCGGCAGCTTCAAGGCCTCCTCTGCTGCAGTGATGCGTGATTCTGCTGAAGCTCGCTTGGCTGGGTTCCTCACGTTCCTCGCTGTTCGCTCTGGCCAATGGGTTGCCGTGGAGCAGCCTAAACGGCCCAAACTGTTCAGCTTTCACTGCTTTGCTGTTTTAGCTCAGCTTGGCTGCGTCCTCACCTCCTTTACGCACTGCTGCTTCGGAAGCCCTTTCAAGAGACCAACTACGGTGCTGCATAACAAGCCCTGGCTGTGCGGACTTCAACGTGAGTGCAGCTTCTCACGAGCAGTGGGACCCTGCGAGCTGCTTTGACGCCGACTCTTCGGTTTCTTTCGCGGCGGCCTGCACACCTGGTTGCCATGAATTTTTTGGCTCGGCGCCCGAGCCTGGTACTCCTTTTCGAGTCTTTGCGCAGAAGCTTCCGTACGGACTCGAGCAGAGTCGCTCTGTTGCGGCCTACAAAGGCTGCCTTTGGAGTGCCGCCTTGCCACGGCCGCGCGCTTTGGCATCAACTGGAGCGAACTACTTTCACCTGCCTCCGGAACCGACCAGCCGTACCCGGTTCGAGACTGGCTTGACGATCCAGAGTGGATCGCTGAAGCCTGTCAGTCGTTAAGGTTTAGGGAGCTCTTCAGGTTTCGGTTCGTGAAGCCCGGTCACATAAACGTCAATGAGTCCCGTGTCTTTGAAAGCTGTGTAAAGTCCCTCGCCCGCAAGACCCACTCGATCAGGGTTTGTGGTTTCCTTGACTCTCGCGTGACCATAGGGGCGGCGGCTAAGGGCCGATCAAGCAGCGCCGCCATCAGTAGGATCCTTAAAATTCCCTTGGTTACGTTTTGGGCTCAGGGATGTACTACAGCCTCTTGCGCTGCTACTCTGAGGACAACAACGCTGACGGCCCCAGCAGAGACCACCCGGTCCCAGAGCTGCGGCGTGAGGTGCCTCTTTGGTTGTCTGAGCTTTTGCAGGGCCGTAGTGAAAGGTTCGAACGTGTCGTACCGCTGGTTGGCGACATAGAGCCACACCCAGGTCCTGGAAGGGTTCCTCCCACGCCTAGGGGACCCTTGGACCTCAACGCAGGCTTTGCTCAGAGCACGGCGCACAAGATGCGCAAAAGTCTGGCAGGTTTCCTGCTGTGGCTTCAGGAAGTGGCAGGCCTTGACGCTTCTGCCGTCTTTGCTTCAGCTGAACACACGGCTCTGGCTCTACGTGCATTTGGTTTGCACCTTTACGAGTCCGGCATGCCCCGCTACGTGTTTGTCTACGCTTCGGCGGCGCAAGACAAGCTACCTCAGCACAGGAACTTCTTGACGGCTGCGTGGCAGATTGACAAGAAGTGGCAGCGAGCCGAGCCTGGGTCCTGTCGGGCCGTTTTGCCGGTTGCTGCTGTCCGAGCCGCAGTTAGCCTTGGCTTGCTCTTGGGTTGGTTTAGATGGACTTCTTTATGGATCCTGGGTTTCCTGGCCATGCTTCATCCGGCCGAACTTGTCGCTTTGACCAGACGCGACCTGGTTTTCCTGAGGACACTTTGAGCCACTCACGAAGTTTGTTTGTTCATCCGCGGAATCCGAAGACTTCGAGGTTCGCGCGACATCAGCACGGGCGCATCGACGATCCCGCCGCCATCCAGTTTCTGTTCACTGTTGCGGGCCACCTTGCTCCTACAGACAGGCTATACCCGGCTTCTCTCTACAGCTCAGAAAACAGTGGGACTCAGTGCTAACGCGCTTGGGTCTGCCCTGCCGTGAGGCAGACCGCGCGGCAACCCCAGGCGTGCTGAGAGGATCTGGGGCTACGCATTTGTATTTCTGCAGAGAGAACATCCCTGTGCTTTCTTGGCGAGGCAGGTGGGCGCGTACCCGCACACTGGAACACTACCTTCAAGAGGTGGCGGCCTAGACGCTTTTGTCTGAGCTGTCGCCAGCCTGCCGATCGCGCATCAAATCTCTGGATTCAGCTGCAGATGCTTTTCTGGCTTTTTCAGTGGTGCTCCGCAGTAAATCAGTGGTGGAGGGTTGGAAGATTGTACATGTACCTTTTGAGCTTTGCTCTTCCGCTGTCCTGAGCCACCGTAGTGAGAAGCTCCTACAGGTTGGGACAGGCGAAGCGGCGCAGTGCGCGCTGGAACGAACGGGAAGCTTTGCGACTGCAGGCGGAAAGAAGGGAGATGTCCAGTATCTCCAGATCGAGAGGCCGTAACGTCGCTGCTCAAGTTCTCCCGCCCGCCCACCCACGGAGGGTTGGAAGATTGATTGTACATGTCCCTTTTGAGCTTTGCTCTTCCGCTGTCCTCAGCCACCGTAGTGAGAAGCTCCTACAGGTTGGGACAGGTGAAGCGGCGCAGTGCGCACTAAAACGGGAAGCTTTGCGACTGCAGGCGGAAAGAGGGGAGATGTAGATGGGGGACCGGAATCGCCAAATGAAGGGGCGTGTTGTGGATACATAATGAACCGGCCGTGTCACATACATACATACATACATATTTATATATATATATATATATGTATATTGAAAACGGAATCGCCAAATGACGGGGCGTGTTTAAGATATATCATGAACTGGACTCGCCCAATGAGGGGCATGTTGTAGATATATGACGAACCGGAATCGCTTGTGAGGGGCGTGTTTAACATGTATGATGAACCGGAGTCGCCAGATGAGGTGGCGTGTTTAAGACATATCATGAACTGGAGTCGCCAAATGAGGGGGCGTGTTTTTGACATATGATGAAGACGGAATCGCCAAATGACGGGGCATGGTTAAGGTATATGATAAAGACGGAATCGCCACATGATGGGGGGGGGGGGGGGGGCGCCTTTTTGACATATGATGAAGCGGAATCGCCATTAAATGAGGGGCGTGTTGCAGTTTTATGAAGAACCGGAATCGCCAATGGCGGGGCGTGTTGTGGATCTATGATGAACTGGAATCACCAAATAGATATATGATGAACCAGAATCGCCAGATGAGGGGGCGTGTTTTTGACATATGATGAAGACGGAATCGCCAAATGACGGGGCATGGTTAAGGTATATGATAAAGACGGAATCGCCACATGATGGGGGGGGGGGGGGGGGGCCTTTTTGACAGATGATGAAGCGGAATCGCCATTAAATGAGGGGCGTGTTGCAGTTTTATGAAGAACCGGAATCGCCAATGGCGGGGCGTGTTGTGGATCTATGATGAACTGGAATCACCAAATAGATATATGATGAACCAGAATCGCCAGATGAGGGGGCGTGTTTAGGATATATGATGAACCGGAATCGCCACATGAAAGGGCGTGTTTAAGGTACATGATTATGACGGAGTCGCCAAAAGGGGGGGCCTTGTTTTGGACAGATTATGAACCGGAATCGCCAAATGAGGGTGCGTGTTGTAGATATATGATGAACCGGAATCGCCAAATGAGGGGGCTTGTTTAAGATATACGTGTTTAAGATATACGATGAAAACGGAAGTGCTTATGATGGGGCGTGTTTAAACTATATGATGAATAGATCGCCAAACGAGGGTGGTGTTTAGAATATTGAACCCTGAAGCTCAATCCGGTGGCGAAGTGGCCACTAAATTTGCCGGCTTAGTGGCCCGAAACATTGCGGAGTCACAGTGGCTACATGACACCGGTTTTGGTGGCTGCGTGCCCCCGGCACCGAAAAAAGAGGTTTTTGGTATGAAATATAAAGCAAACAGAAGTTTTCACAAAAAAACGTAGAAAAAATACAGGTTTTCTGTCAAAAGTACAGAGAACCCAGCCCACAAAAACACAATTCAAACAAACACATAAATACCAATTCTTGACTAGGATGCTCCCTTGTAAGCTCCTGCATGCAGGATGTGCGGTATGATATGAGCCACTGCTCTGTAGGTGTACGTGCTTGGACATGAATGTGTGACCATTTGTGTTGCTTGTTGCTCCTGACAACTCGCCTGCTGCGATCGTGAGCGAAAGCCAAACAAGTGCTTGGACATGGTGTCTCATTCTCATGTCTCCACTCGCTGGCAGGAAACTGAGAAGAATCAAGTGATCTTTGTGGAGCTCGAACTTGTGGAGGACACGGCGTCCAAAGAGGCGGAGTCAGACGTCGCGTCGTCGGCGGCACCAGTGGTGGAGCTGCTTGTGGAAGAGGTGGAGTCCGAGATATCGTCGTCAGCCTCGCCGGTGGTGGAGCTCAAGCTGATGGAGGACATGGCCTCCAAGGCATCTCCTTCAGATGCGCCAATAGAAAAGGGAAAGGGGGCTTTGAAGAAAGTCGAGGCGAAGGCGACGATGGACAGCCGAAAAGCCCTGAAGCAGCCTGACCCGGACTCCCAGTCAGCGACTGGGAGTCAAAAGCCTTCCCCGCTCAAGAAAGCGCTTCCGGATGCAAAGTCGTCCGATGAGAAAGAGAGCTCAAGTCGGCCTGGGCCTGGAGGGGGAGGGAAGTTTTCGACCACAGAGACACGTGACGGACGTGACGTGGGGAAGCCAAAGGACGCAAAGGAGCCAGAGCTGCCTGCGAGGAATCCGCCTAAAGAGGGCGACGGCCCGAAGGCCGGTACACCATCGGTTTAATCTTTCTGATCAGCGTTTCGCCGATCGTCATGGCGCAACTTTGCGCTTTGTACAAAGCCATAGCGGCAGTGCAGTATGCAGAGATATGCAGAGTATCCAGCATCTCCAGTATCCTCGACTAACGCCAAGATGCTCATGCGATGAAAAAAGATTCCACAGCGCAAAGATCCCGGTGCAGTGCTAGCGGGACCTTGACCTTCGGCTTGCGGGGGAATGCTTCTGGTGTCTTTCTGAATTGAACTGTTTTGAACTACCCTTCGGTATTGAAGAAGGTCTCAGGATGTGTGTCCGAGAAGCCATGTCCACCATGTCCAGCTGCCATGTATGAGAGCTCACTTGAGGCCGTTGAGGCCTGCTTTGACGAAATTCGAGCTTCGGCGAAACCCGCCTCGTCTGTCGCAGGGGTATGTGTCCAGACTGACCAGACTCTCAGACCGAGTAGCACGTTGGAAAGCACAACATCCCAACCCGCCGTGACATGAATGAGGTGAGGACAACTCCTTTGTGTGGCCCTAGCCAGGACAAGAACAGGAGGCCGAGCATCTGAGAAGGGCCAAGAAACCCAGGGCCATGAGGGATGCGGACTGTTTCTTCACGTACAGAGCAGGCAGGAATCACAACCCCTCCGCTCGCTAATATAAATTTCTGCTGAATCTGCAGGATTTGTGTTCTACCGTTGTTCCAATGACTCGGACACCTCGGGCACGTTTTTGATTTCGGGTCGGCCTTTCGGCATGGGACGCACGGAAGTTCTGAGATGTGCACAGAATCTACATGACTTTAATCCCCCTCCGCTGAGAGTTTCTGGACGTTTGGCTGTATCGCCCGGGTCTCGAAACTGTGCGCGAGCACTGTGTCGCGGTGCATTCCTGGCAATAGAAGCAGGACGATGGAGGCCCGAAACCCGCACGGTCCCCACCACTGAGGAAGGAGAGCAGAGACTTCCTCCATGCCCCACGATGGAAAGGCTTGGAGAAGCACAGCCACAACACTGAGCAGCAACTGAGCGAGTGCTGAAATCTCAAGGCCTCCCAATGATAGGACGGCCTTTTTGTTCTTTTTCTTCACTCTTGGCCGGCCGGGCCGCCTCCCGAATGGGGACGCCAATGAGCTCCCTGGGCCCACTGGGCCAAGCACGGGCCACATGTTTTTGGAAAATCTCTGATACTTTGCCGATTTCTCGTCACCTTCCGAGGTTGCTGCAGTAGACATGTCAGCGGGGGCCTCGACTCGCCAGCAATGCTTGTTCTTCACAGGCAACTAGTCTGGAGTCTGCGGCCGATGGGCAGGTTCAATTTGCCTGCTTTGCAGTAGCAGCTGCCCTTCAAACAGAGAAGTTCTACGACATCTCTGCCAGGCAGGCGGCTAGAGGAAAGGACAGAGAGCGGCGAAGAGTGAAGTAGCCGGGTGAGCCGTGAGCCCTGACAGTTTGACGTATGTGCTCTGCGTTCTCCTCTCCTTTCGGGCTGGCGGCCGATCCACGAGGCGACAGACGCATCCAGTGGTAGCGCCACAAGAGAGTCGACCAAGAGGTGCAAAGTCAACTCTGGTCTCGTCATTGCCCAGGGCCCAGGCTCTCACCATCCAAGGACCTTTGGCATCACTCCGCGCCGTCCAATCGAGCATCCGATTCCTTCATGTCGCCGAAGTACAGCAACCAGAGATGTGGGAACTGCAGTCAGCATGGACGTGCTGAGGCTTGGGCCGTTCGTCTGGGCAGTGCCGGGCACAGTGAGAGCATGATGATCATACGGTTGCAATCCATTGAGGGGGTATGCTCCTGCTGCTGTGAGTTGTACTCAGCAATAAGCCACATGCAGTCCTGCGACTGTATGTTACGGCGACGTGGAAAGGCGTTGCCATGGCCACACGTAGATTCTCCAAACCTTTACGAGCAGGGCCTGGCACTGGAGCTCGCGCAAGTAAAATCGACAGGGAAAAGGGAGAAAGGCCAGTGCTTGGGCCTGGCCTGGCCTGGCCGGCCTGGCCTGGCTTTCGGTTGAAACAGGGCTTTCGGGTGCTGCCACGGAGCTTTGTTCATGGGTTGGTGCATGCTCCACCATAGTTTTTTTTTTTTCTGGAGCTCAATTGCAGCTTCTTGCGAGGTTTTCTGCTGTGGCGCGTGATTCATGACGGAGGCGACAGCCGATTTGAGAAGGTCCTTGTCTGAGCCATGTCGTGTCCGAACTTGAATGGCAGCAACGGCGCGCTGAGGTCAGGATGCATCCCAGCAGATTCTTCGTTTTCTGGGCTGTCCAGGTCTTGTACTTATGGTCTCACAAGCAAGGTTTGCACACTTTCGATCAGAGAAACAACGATCCGAGAAGGCAGTCTGGATTCTTCTGACGGCCCTCCCTGTGTACCTCTCCAACAGCAAACCGAACACAGAGGCCTCTGGCGGGCTGACAAGTTAGTGACGAGTCTCTGCAGCAGAAAGAAGCACAGGCCGAGCTTGAAGAAGGCAGAACACAGAGGCGCGAGAAAGAGAAGGTGCCAGTGCTAGGCTTAAGTGCAGCCATAGCCATGGCCTGTCAGAAAGAACAGGCCATTGAAGCCGCTGCACAGGTTTGCTGGCGGGATGTTCTTGGCTGGAGCCTGTGGGCAGCTGGCTTCACCATACAGGTCTGGCCGGCAATGAGAGCCTCCCTCGCGCAGTGTGAGCCCGTTCTCGGAGGTCGTCGCAGACATGCAGAAGAGACTCTTCCAGGCCAGCTCGAAGAGGGGACTGTTGCATTTTGGGGGCATCTGTGGCCACGCCTCTGAATTGGGAGGCAGACCCGAGGAACAAAGGCCTGTGGATTCACACGGGCCTTTGGAAGCTGGCCCAGCATCCGAACTACTTTGGCGAGTTGGCGGCTGAGCACATTGAGCTCAGACGGGCCTGGTTACCACCAAATTCATCGCTTGTAGAATAAAAGCACCGCAGGATTTGCATGTGGTGGGGTCTGCTTCTCAGCTCCGCAATTCACACCTCTCGATGAGCATTGCTGAGCGTGAAAGGTTCCATGATCACTTCAGGCCTTTTCCTTAGCTGCTCGACGACTCTCAGAGGATGGGAGCTTCTGTCCGTGGCACTGTCCTTGGGAGACTGCTGTACTGTGTCCTTGCTTCAGCGTCGGAGCAGAGGCATCTCCTTGCTTTGCCCGCAGCCGAGTCGTGCTGAGATGAGAGAGATGGGAGACGCTTCTGCATTTGGCACAGAAGGTCGCCTTCCTGCTGCTCCGCGTGAGTGCGGCAGTCGGAAGTCAGAGGGCCTAAGCTCGCAGATCGAAGCATCCTCGAGTTGGCCCAGGTGGCGTGCCTCTACTCCGCAAGGCTCCTGAGACCTTGTTTGATTGGTCTGGCTTTGCGCATTGCAAACAGATCCTGTGACCCTGCGCAACAGGCTGGTCTAAAGAAGTGGGGCCATCTTCAAGAGTATCAAGACTACTTGAAGAGGCGCTGGCGAAGCCAATCAAGGATCTGTGGTTCAGTCTGTTTTGCCATGTCAGGACACGCTTGCTGGTACCCCTGCCTCGACGGTTCTGAAGCTGACGTGGAGCAAGCGAGAAAACAGCTCTGAATTTTCGATTGAGATCGCTTCAGCTGGTTTTGCAGGCTTGGGCTCATTTTGTGTGTCGCTACGCCAAAGGAATGTACATGAACTCCCGGCAGATCTCGGCTTGAGTTTGGGCTCTGGATTGCATTCTCCGAGTCTGATTCAGGTTTATGGGTTGCCTCGATCCAGCCCTTCTACAGTTGAGCTTTTGCAGTCAAGATTGGGGACCAGGCCGTTTATGGGTGATAAGTATCTTCTGCTAGACCGTCTCTGAAGACCCCAAGTGCAGCTTGGGACTCAGGGTGAGAGCCCCATTTTCCCACCAAGTTTTGAGAAAGCTGTTGAATTATGAACAAGTGTCTCAAACTCCAGCGCGGTTGAACATATTACAGGGCCAGTCAGTTTAAGCAATTAACAGAATTGGGATCTAAATTCAGTAGCATGTGCCAGAATTAACGAAGCATGGTGCCAACCAGAGCAGTAAATTAAAGGCACTAATTCCCAGCCCTAGCATTGGTATTAGCTTTGGTAGTCGATGTAGCACAAGTGTACAAGTAGCAGTACCATTAGTAGAAATACGCTTGGTTAATCGTATCAAAAGGAAGAGTAGCAATACCGATCCTGTCAAGAACTGCTACCATCCCCCATTTCTGCCCCCCCCCACAGTGAGCAATCGCAACAAGATATACTACATCCAAGAACACGAGGCAAGACTAGTCTCAGTAATGAGAGCGGTGCGAAATTTGAACTGAGGAAGAGATGTCGGGGTTTTGGAGGGGGGGTATGAAACGAAATGTAAGATAAGTGTGACTATACATCTAAGTTTATGTAGATATGTAGATACAGATAGAGATAGATGGATATAGATAGATGTGCAGATAGGTAGGCCAGTAGGTCGGCAGACAAACGATAGGCAGGACGGGTAGGGAAGAAAGCCTGTTGTTCCAGTACAGGTGCTGGGTTGTGCGTGCAGCGTTAGGGCATTCCGATTGCTCCGCACTGCAGCTCCAAAGACAACCCGTGGAACAATAGTCTCAGATTGAACAGCTTGTAGAATGGAAATCGCAGATCCCCACAACAGAAGATGTCTTAGTCTTTCCAGGCCTGTACTGGCGTGACACGCAACTTTATGTGTGATTCTGTGGGCCAAGGCAGCATTGCCTTGAGAGAGCCAGGTTCGATGTAGGCACTGCAAGCCCCCGGCTTGCTGGTGCTTCCCCGATCAAGCGACAGAATGACAGCAGACTATGGCACCGCTCAGTCGAATGGCCCTGGCGAACGAGGGTTAGGAGACTGCAGCGGGCGCCCTTCTTTTGATCACTCAAGGCTGCGAATGCCTGACACTTCACGGCTTGAAGCACTAAGAACTTGGAGAGTTCTTGCATACCCCCGGCTCCCCGCCCGGAAGTAATTGTGTAAACTGTCTTACATCAACAAGAAGACTTCATCAGCACCATCACCCTGCAGTGTATCAAGACCTTCAGTACGCCTCTTGCGTGCCGAGCGCATCTGGGAATCTTCGACAATCCTCCAGCAGTGATGCATTCTGTAGAATAACTCCAGCTCTTTGTTGGCATTATGCTTGGTAAGCGAATTGCCTAGTTGAGCTTCGGAATGTACCCATCGAATGATCACCTGCGTCTTGGCCTGGGCCTCCTTAATGCTGAGCAACTCAATGTTGGCCTTCTTCTCCGCTCCCTTGATCGAGAGAACTTCTGTTTGTAGCTTGTCATACACGTTCCGCGAGTCGGTTATGACGCATCCCAACACCTTAGTCACTGCACTATCTGGATCCTTAGTGTGTACGCATCCATGAAGCATTTCGCTCCATTGGAAGCGCACGTAGTACAGCTGGTCCTCGCCATTCACAGCAGCCTGCACTTCAGCAGCACCGGGGCTTCTACACACCCGGTCAATCTTGTGGGACTGCCAGGAGATGGGCGAAACTTGCCCCACTTCGCCCTTCAGTAGACTGGCAGGTGCCAGTCCGATGAAGATTCCCTGAGTGCTTCCGCCATCGCGGCGGTTCTCGTTTGCGGCATCCACCCAAGCGTAACACCCAAGCTCAACCTCAAGATTAAAAGCATGAATGAGCATCTGATGCCCCTTCCTCGCCTTAGCACTCTGCAACAGCTGGTTTGCCTGTAGGAGGGTGGCCACTGTGCTCTCATTTACATCTGACAGCAACAAGCTCACCTCAGCGGCAAAGTGGGGCGCAACTTGTTGCGCATGCCAAGAGACTGCACCGAGCAATGCACGAAGTTTTGTTTTCTCCCAAGCAGTGGTTGGCTGGTTGCGGTCTTTTCTACGGGAATGATTCAACGGTATCTCGGGAATGTCCTCCACGTAGCGGGCCTGTGACAACTGGAAACCTTGGCTGGTCTGTTGTATGCGAACACCGCATTGAATGAAGTCGTCTTGTTCCCAATCGCCCCATTTGAACCGTTCCTTGATTTTCTGAAGGATGGCTTGCCACTCAGGATCGTCGTCTGCTCCAGCGAACAGAAAATCATCCACGTGGCCCGTTATAAGGCCTCGAAGTTGTCCATTCACGCGCCAGGCCCACATGCAAGCGTCTGACCAAAGGCGCACTAAGCCCAACTCGGCGAAGTATTCGGAGATGGTACGATACCATTCCAAAGGCGCGTCCACCAAGCCGTAACAAGCTCTTCGGAGCTTGGTAATGGATCCAACGGGAATTTGCATCGCTTCACAAATCTCTGGACAAGGAATACAGAAGAGGTCGTCTGGGTACTCTCGTCCTTGCTTGAAAAGCTCCTGTGACGTCGCCCTTGAAGACTCGCCATGAGCGATTGGCGGCTGCTTGCAGAAATAACTGACGTGAAGTCCTGGTCATCACCGGAGCTGTTGTGCTTCTGTGAGCGTACGAGGGGTCTTGGTACCCCAAAAGCACCGCCCGGGCTTTGGGTTTTCTGCTACCGTCTTCTTTGACTTTCCATGTCAGCAGCCAGCGCATGTTGACTGCCTGTTCCCTGCTCGGGGCCAGATGTTCTGGCAAGCTCTCGAAGGCGTTGGAGGCGATGAAGTTGTTCACTTCCACTTGTTTGGCATCCCTGAATCGCTGTAGCTCCTCCGGGTTCAAGTGGCGTTCTGACACTTCCGCGGCGCGCCGCTTTAAGGCTCCAACAAAGTAGGATTTGAGGCATCGGTTTGCCTTCGTCCATCCTTGCTTGCTGTTTGGCATGTCAATGCTTACCTCCACGGCGGCTGTTTGATCTGTCCAAAACGCACTGTCTTGGGCATACCATGATGTCTCTGGCACCTTCTGATACCATCTCTCCTCAACAGCATCCGTCCAAGTGGCCATGGGCGTGGAAGTTCGGGCCACAGGTCCTCGCGAACCACTGGCTGGCTCGGGAGGGTCTGCGTCGGTGAGAACCTCAGCTGGCTCTGGTTGAGCCCTCTTCCCTCGAAACCGGAAACGAGGAGGGGGCGCTTCTTGCAACACATCCTGAGCTCGTTCCCACTCCATTGCCGTCGGTACTTCCTGCGACACATCTTGGAATTGGTTGCCTCCTATCTCCTCAGCAACTCGCGTGAACGTCCAAGGAGTGGGGTCATGCCCATGTGGCGCTGCCAAAGATTCCAACAACTGCTCTCGCTCCGATGCATCCCGAAGCTGCTCCACGCAACATTTGATCAGATTACGGCCGCGTACACACCACACCGTGCTGCCTGCGCGATGGCTGCCGTCTTCATCTCGTTTGGATTCCACTGCAAGAACCCTGGCTGGACCTAGGAACCGGCCATGTTTGGTCCCTGGGGACCTTCTTCCCTGGCCAGACTCCTGGGTTCGCCAGAAGTAGATCAAATCCCCAGCTTGATAACTGGCCCGAGGACGTGCTCGGGAGTTCTTCGCTCTTGCAATCTGTTGGGCTGCGTGCCATTCTGCATGAGCCTTCTCTGCCTCAGCCCGTAACCTAGCGGAGGCTTCCAGTTCTTCAGTAGCGCTCTCGATCACCAATTCATCGGGAATGCTTCCAGCAGTCTGCAGGAGTCTACCAGTGATGTCTGGGCTGCGACCAAACACATGCTGAATAGGAGAGAAACCTCGCACCTGTTCTCGAGCATTAAAGCTTGTGATGGCGTGGGCCAAGGCCGTTTCGGATGCCACTTGGTCCTGCGTGCTACAGATCTTATCCATGACTTCCTTCACTCCCTGAATCGCCTGTTCGCAAACTCCAATCTGCCAATGCCCATCAGCAGGAATGTTGTCCAAGAAGATTCCCTCTTGATCGCAGAATTCCACTAGTTGCTGACTCACAAACGCACCGGCAGCATCTAATCTCAGAGCCCTTGGCATTCCGAAGTACTGGGCCCAACCCTCTCGAAGATAATGAATGCACGTGCTAGGGTTGGGCTGTTTCTTCGAACCGCGGGAGAGGATGCGAGCTGTTCGGAACCTACTGCCTTCGTCGATAATCAGCATGAATTGCACGATTTCTCCAGTCTGAGGATGTGTCCAATGGCCTATATCCGTGGAGATGGTGTGGAGTTTGGGGGGCAGGGCCTCCAACGAAGCTAAGTGGCGAGGCTGTATCCTACGTCGCTCGAAACTCCTCCGCCAGCTTAAGAACCTCTGCACTCACATTCCGCTTCCTAAGCATGTTCACAAGACTTCGAGTACTTCCATGCCCCGTTGCGGCGTGAAGTTTGTACAGCTGTTTCTTGATTTGTTCCGGACTCATTGGGGGACTATGGGGACCAAGTCGCAAACCCTGAACGGCGTAGGCCTGATGATCACCGCTTCCAGAATCTCTCGGAACCTGAAAACCCAAACCTTGCAACTTCTTCGGCTGGTCCTCTGACAACTGACGGTGGCCTCTAGTCACGTACGTACCCACAACTATTCTACGCCCTGTCCATGCTTGCGGCCCATGCCACACCTTGGGAGAGAATCGCTGGACGGTTCGGTAGATGTCGTAGAGATCGCCAGCTGCGTGCTGGCCGTTGGGCAGGGAATTGTCAAGGCGCCACTTTCCCCTTCTGTTGGGCTTTCACGGGCTACCCAGAGCTCTCCTCCCTGGTACGTTCCTAGCCCGATAACCGCATTCGGGTACGACGCATCATTATGTTGGTCTTTGTGCAAAGGACACTTACCATTGAAGTTCACAACCAAGGACGTAGCTTGCAGTGGTTCGGGACTCCAGTGACGCATGTATGACAGAAGGTACTTAATCATTTTGGGGTATTTTTGGGACCTCTTAGTCAGACCATAGTGGTTACCATGAGAGTAGGCGCCAAAGATCAGATACTGTTGGGACTGTGCATCCAACATACCTCGGTGGCCTTCGTGCAATCTACATGGTAACAAGTCAAGGAGTTGTTCACACGTGTCATGGGAGAAGTCCTGTTTCTGAATGGCCTGATCCGCAAAGCCCTCAACCTCGCAACAATCAACCGCAAAACTCGCTTCCCTTTCAGAATCCGGTCTCAAGTCCTGTTCCTCCACCTGCCTTAGCCAAAAACCCTCGCTTGAGCTGTCTGGAACATCCATCAAACACGTCGCGCACTTACGGGGTCTTTGGGGAAGAGAAACCTCTTTGCACTGACACCTACAACCCAAACCGAAGTCCTGAGGCAACCCTTGATTTCCCTGGCCCTTGGCTTCCTGAAGCAGACTCACATGATCGAATTTTTGAAGGATTCCTTTTGCAACCTTCTGCACGAACTCCTGGGTGTAAAGCTCGCTTTTGGCAGCGTCACTGCCCGTACACTGGCCGTGTTTGAAGCTTTGGGGGCACCTACAGGGAAGGTTCAGGATTTCCGCCAGTCTACGGTGGGTCGTAAGGATTTTCCATCCTTTCTGCATCAACACTCCCTTACGATATCGAAGATTCACTCGACAACCCTTGCACACTGCTTGATACAGAGAACACTGGTCCCGAAGTTGATTCAGAATGGGAAGTCGCCAAGCTTGGCAGCGCTCGGCCAGTTCCAAACTCACGTGCACTCCCTGGTTCAAACATGCTCGAAACACAGTACACGCTCCTACGTAGGCTCGCATAGCTTGTTCCCGCTTCACCTGCAACTCCTGTTTCTGTTCAGGGCTTTGGGCGTTGTTATGCTGAAGGGGAGAGTAGGGTCCTGAGGGAGGCCTAATCCACACGTGAGCTGGTCGCTCCAGCTCCAGGCGCTGTAGTATCAATCGCACCCCGCTATCATTCGTGAGTTCACAACCATTATACACAGAGCACTGAGTGGCCGCTTCCGTAGATCCCGCAAGCTCCTGGATCTGTCGCGACAACAAGCTGTCCGGGCCACTGGCAATCTCCATGAGGTCCGTTCGTCTATGCTTCACTAAACCCTCAAACAGGTCAGGCACAACAGACCAGGCCGTGTCCTCTAAGTGTCGGGCCTTTCCTATGGACAACTTAGCGCTAAGCTGCTGTGAAGCACTGAGCTTTGGTCCTCGATGATTGCTAGGGCTGGGACTCATACTGTCTTCTGCCTCAGAAGCTGTGCTGTCCGTGTCTACAGCTCCGTGTCGACGTGGCCGTTCACACTCGGGTTGACTGCTTCGGCCTCCTCGTGGTAGTCGCGTGCCTTCGTGCCCACCTTCTTGCGGGGGAGCTTCTCGTCCTTGATGTCTGCACTTCGGCCTGGAGCTTCTGCATCATGTTCATCATCGCTTCCATTTTGCTCTCCAAACCGGACGAACTGCTGGCGGTGGACTCGCGAGGTGTCGTCTTCGGTGACGCGCTGCCCGGAGGCTCGGACTTGTCCTTGCGGTAGCCCCTCGTCCACGAGGCCACCTTCAAGGGTTTCTTTGTCTCCTCCTGGTGGACCGGGATCATCTCGGTCTTGTCCTGAACGTCGAGCCACTTGGCGAAGCGGATCAACCTCATGTTGCACTCCTCGGTCTTGGCGGTTTCCTGTACCCAAGTGCAGTACTGGTAGTCGATCCTCAAGGTCTCCTGGTAGGTCTTGGCCGCGTGTTTGCCGAAGCCCACCGGATCGGTGGCATGTGGTGTGGTCACCTCGAGAATCTTCTGCACCGATGCCATCTTCAGGCGTTCCACGGTGAAGCTGTCCACATTGGTCAGCCCCAGGCGCTGCGTCACGAAGTTGATGAGGTCGGCCTTCCGCTTGTTGGCAGCCTGCTTCATCTCCTTCATGAGCTCGTGGTACTCGGATATGTCGCTGGTTGTCAGTTTCAACTGACGGCTGGTCTTGCTCAGATCTTCTCCGAGGACTTCGGACAACCTCACCCGGAGTTCCACATTCGTCCAGGCCTTGGGCGGTTCCTCCCCCGCCTCGCGTAGGGCCTCCAAGAGCTGAGCGCGCTTGAGGTCCGACATGTTGAGTCACCAAAATGGCAAGGAGGATATGGAAGGCGCGGAAGCACAACTCGGGTTGACAACGGCTGAGGTGTGGACGGACTTCACTGCCGACGGTTGTACATGCGACTGATTCGATTGATCTGACACTGCCAGGTGCGGTGCATCAGGAGTCACTAACATCCACGCTCCATCATCTTCATCATCGTTACGACAGTTAGTACAATGACTTCCGGGAGCCGAAAAACCATTAGCATCAACAACACAACTCGATTCAGTTGTGGCTAAACCCTGTCCTGAAACTCTACATTGGCCCTTTCCCTTCTCGTCAGGACGCGATGAGGAAAGGAGTTGTCCCTACTCAGGTGGAGGGTTGGCCTGCTTTGCCGTCTTCACATAATCCCTCAACCCCGGAACGGGCGAATGCGTAGGCATTGCCTTAGAAAGCAAATCCTCAGTCAGGGACAAAAGAATGTCCCGTGCTGGATTCTTCCAGCTGCAAAACTTGGCTCGCATCCAGGCCCCTCAGAACCACCGTGCCATCTGAAAAATCAAGGACGGCCTTGAGAGCCTTCAATGTGGCGACGCTCAGAAGGATTGGAGCAGCTCCACGATCAAGGGCATGTATCTGCAAAGTGCCAGGTCGTCCTCCGGCAGTGAGCTGCAGGTGCAACGTGCTGACACATCGATCCTCGGTGGAGTTGCCAAACCCGAACACTGGCTGATTCTCGGTGTCCACTCGGCTTCCGGGCACCTTGCTCAGCTGCATCACCTTTTCTAAGGCGTAGACAGAACCAAGACTGCGAGTGGCGCCGCAGTCTACCACAGCCTTCCCTTGCTCTACCGCTTCCGCGGTGGTGGCCTTTGGTAGTGGGTCAGCTTCCGCATGGAGGGCTTCTTCGGCATAGTAGTCTTCCGCGTAGCACACGAAGGGAGCCATCTGCTTCCCCGCTGGTGGGTCCGCCCGTGGTTTGGCCGCTGGACAAGTGGCGGCAGTGTGGCCTACCTCGCCACAGCGTAGGCAGGTGATGTGATCATCATTCCGGGAAGACTGGGAGCCGCGACCTCCATTGCCCTGGTAGTACTGTCTGTTCAAGCGGACTTGCTTCTGTTTTTCACGAGCACTGCGCAAAGTGCGCTTTGCCTGAAACATAGCAGCGAGGGCACTCTGTACCTCGCCTTCGGCCTCGCTCCACACGGCGTAGCCCTCCTCGTTGAGCTCTTCCGCTGCCTCGAAGTTGACCTCGGTGTTGGGCTTCTCGTCCTCGTCGGTGAGGTCTTGATCTTCACCCCAGTATCCTTGTTGTTTTCGAGGCTCCTTCCGACGAAGCTCATTCTCTGGAAACTGGTTGCGCAGTTCTTGGGCGATCCTTTAGAGAGTCAAATCGCCCTGGACTGCTGTCAAGATCATGTTCCTTGCCCCTGCCTCCAGATTGGCATCATTTAAGAGAAGCCATGCTTGAATGAACTCTGGCACGAGGTCTGGCAGACTGGAGTTGAACTGTTATCGGGCTGGTTGCCAAGCATTCCACTGCGAGCCGTAGTCCGAGTAGCTGGACCACGAGGATCCGTACCAGTTCCACTGACTTCTGGACCACCAGCTGGGGCCGTCCCAATCAGAACGGCGGTCCTCGGTAGTGCTCGCATCTGATGCGGTAGGCGCTGCTGCCTGGACGGGTGGCGCATCTCCATCTTCATCATCCTGCGTCTCGGCCGTATTGCTCACCCAGGAGCCAGTGCTCAGGCGGCGACCTTGTCGCTCCCAAGGACTTGGGCCCAGGTAGTGACCGCCGCGAGGGAAGTTGTCATGGTATGGCCTCACACGTCCCATAGCTTGCTGAGCGCGAACGTACACTTCGCACTTGCGGGAAATATATTCATTCATCGTCTCTCCGGATCGGCGCTTCGATCCACGGAAGTATTTCCCTAGCAGCTCTGTCAACTCTGGCATCTGGGGCTTGCCAAGGCATTGTCGCAAATGCTCCAGCAAGCTCTCCACTCCACCTGGAAAGGAAAGCCAGTCGGGTGGCTTCCCAACCACAAAGCGCTTTGCCGCTCCTTCCAAAGCTCCTTGAAGCTGAGGTCCGCAGAGGTGTCGTTTCTTGTACTCCACCGTCTGCTCGAAGAGTCTCGCTGACTCTTGATAAGTCTGGAAGGTTTCCGACGCGCCATCCCAGGTGGGTATCTTTGCCTTCGGGGCACCAGCATCACCGGTGCTCATCGTGCTGCTCGAGGGTAGCGGACCGTCGAGCAGAATAGGTCCCTGGAATCACGAGCCCCTCAGGGCTCCGCTACCATGCAAGCCCCCGGCTTGCTGGTGCTTCCCCGATCAAGCGACAGAATGACAGCAGACTATGGCACCGCTCAGTCGAATGGCCCTGGCGAACGAGGGTTAGGAGACTGCAGCGGGCGCCCTTCTTTTGATCACTCAAGGCTGCGAATGCCTGACACTTCACGGCTTGAAGCACTAAGAACTTGGAGAGTTCTTGCAGGCACTGCTTGTGTGTAGCCATGGTGGGGCATGGCGAGATCGAGCTGCTTCCGCAAGGCCCGGATACTCGGGGTGCGAGTGGATCAAAAGAGGGGCTTTTCTAGGTGTGGAAGGCTCCGAAGGGTCAATGCACAATGTGACACGCGCCGCCCCATCAAATGGAACATCATGGAGCTCTGCATTTAGGTGCTCCTACTCCCGGAGACGGGTTCAACCTGGCAGCCGTGGCCAGGAACGTAAGATTGCCAGCCGGAGCCCCGTCATCCAAATTTGTTTACAGCTCTTGCCCTCAGTTTAGATGCCTTTTCAATGATGCTGGACCACCGAGGACCGCGAGTGCCGCCGCGTCTACGAGGCGAAGCTAAGAGAAACAACGGAATGCGAGAGTGGGAGGGGGGAGGGGCTTCGCCTGCGCCTGCTGCGCCTGCTGCGCCTGCTGCGCCAGCTGTCTCTGCTCGAGGCTTGGCGCGACTCGGACTTGGCCCTTGGTGGCCGCAATCGCTTCCTCTGTGCGGGCAGGCACGAGTCGTGCATGGCCCCTTGTCAGCTCACACTTCTCAGGGATCACATGGAGCGGGGGATGTCGTGCCGATGTCAGGTGCATGGTCGGCCCGAACATCGACAAGCGCTTTCAGCCGATGGTCCGCAAAATGTCGTAAGCCTGTCACGTTATGGAAAGCTTCGTCGATTAGCTTGCAGGCGCGTAGCCTTAAAACATCTAGGACGATAATCCAACGGGCGCGGCGCTAGTCAGAAACATGCCGGCCTGAATAAAGATTTCCCAAGATGGAAAAGCTCCGGGGCCACCCAGAAACCGGCAGGCCTGCATCACACAGCCGAAAACACCCAATCGAATTCGGGCACCTCATGATTCGGCGATGGTGGTTGACGGGATGTCTCAAATGAGAGCATCACACCAGACAGGCGACAAGAGTTGATCACCAAATTTTGCCCCTTCCCGGTCATTCAGCGATGGCGGTGGATTGCATTGAGTTTGACCTGCCACTGACTCAACGATTAGGGCAAAATGCGCTGCCTAGACCCGGCCTCGCTCTGCTAAGTGGGAGCCACTTTGTGCCACTTTCTTTCTGATTGCAAACCTGTTTCTGGGCCACTTCGCATTCTTCACGCATGCATGAACAAAGCGCTTAAAAGTGAATTCACAGATCGTACCAGTTGAGACCCTGCCCAGTGGACCCAGTCAAGCAATGCCCGGAGGATCACACGTGCTGTGTGAAACACGCCCATCATTAGACGATGACGTCTGAAAACATGTCTCAACTCATCAGGCGTTGCTTGAGTCGAGCCTGGGCGCGAACCAGTCCGTGCACAAGTCGCGTTTCCCAATCTGCGGATGGCTTTGTGAATCCATTGGCCAGTGCTTGAAACGGTGCACCACTCGGTTTTTCTGGTGCATGAATCGGTCGGCTACTAACATGTGTCTACGAATCTCCTTTGTGTGACGCGAGGGAAGCATTCCCAGGCAGGACCGTTGCCATCAAAGACACAATGGAATTTCCTCCGGAGACTACATTATTGGCTTCTTTGCGGTTAATGCGCCACACGTTGGCTACAAGGAGAGATGTGTTGAGGCTACGCCGGAAGCTGAATTCGAGCCGCTAGAATGAAGCCTTCGAATGTGACGCAATTACCACAGAACCAGCGCACGGGATCGTTTGACCTTTCTTACGCGCCCGGGAGATGTTAACAGTGCAAAAAAAAGTCTCGCGATGTTGGAATATGTGCAAAATGTGCCAAGGCTAGGTTTAGAATCTGTACTGTAGGGAATGACCGTGTGTTGTGCTGTCAGCCTTGTGCATTCTGCGCTTCGCTCCCCTGTTTTCCGGTAATGCCGCATGCGTTTTCAAATTCACTTTTGAGCATGCTTCGACCCACAATGCTCTCAACTTGTGTGTTTCCGAGATGGGGGCTTGATTCGCCCTTGTCTGGCAAAACTTCAGGATGTGCACCTTCTGCGCATTGTTTGTGTGCGCGGCCTTAGTTGTTTAAGTCCGCAGATTTCAGCATGTGGGCGTGCGCGGATGGTCCGAGCTCCGAACTGCAAGGCCGTCGCTTTTCTACTTTCTCTTCTGCATGCGCGGACCCTGACCACCTCATGGCTTCAGTCGCACAGCATTTTTTCCCTCAGGCGCTACCTTTGGGAGAAGGTTGAGAATCCCAGAGACTGCCGATGATGAGAGTCTGTGACGGTCCCGCATCCTCACCGCACGTCGGAGAGCAGCCAGGTCAGCCCATGGATGCCCGTGCTGACCGGCATTCTGCTGATCTCGACTGTTTCGCTGTGGCTTCTGACGGCCTGTACTGATCCAGGTGCCACTGCGGATTGATCCAGTTGGTTCGCAGCGTGTCACCACAGTCACGGCATGCTCTGTCGTCATAGGGGCGTATCATTGAAAAATCTGTCACCTCTGTAGTCAGGCGCCGTCATATTGTGGATGGTGTGGATGCCTGGCGCAGCCGTTTTGACAGGGCTAGACCTGTTTGCCTGACGCAGTGTGTCGATTGTCAGGACCAGACTCGGATCGGTGTTATGTGCTACGTTGGATATTTCTGTGTGTTCGTAGGTTCCTAGAGGTCCAGAACAAACTTGTTAAAAGATGTTGTGCAGGACCGTGGCATGGATGCGTCGTGGACGACATTCATGAGCATGACGGGACCATCATCCGCCAGACGGGGTCCTAGAGAATTGAAAGTTAAGCTGACGGATTTCCCTCGGTACATGCAAAAGCAGGTCTTTTTCGGATTGCCAGACCAAGGTGCTTCAAGCAGTTCGGGCCAGATGGCACAGGAGAGCGAGAAGAAACCCGTCAAGGTCTCTCGCATGCCACGGCCTTACGCACTTGTTTGTCGAGCTGGGATTCTGTCCCAAATCACCGTATGTTGGCTGAGAGGCGAACGCCGCTGTCGTCCAAAGCCACGCCGTTTCGCTCCAAAACAGCAGGGTACCTTGAGTGGCGGGAATCACGAAGGAGGTCTGATGCAACATGCTTTCACCTCGTTGTAGCAGGTACTGTGCCACCATGAAGGCTGGATTTGCTGACTCCATGATCTACCCATACAGCCCTGAGCCTCTTGGTTGCAGTTGGTCCGTTGGTTTTAACTGCACTCGCCCATGCCAAGCCCGGACCCAAGGTTGCAAGACTATGCGCGGATCCTAGAATGGGTTCAGAGCAAAGAGAGCACGCTTGGACTCGCAGGTGGCCGGCTTTTGCCTGTTGTCGTTTGCATGTGCGCTGTAGGTCTATCTCAACATGGGAAACATGACCCCAAGTGCTGTGAGTGGAGAGGAGAGTGCAGGACGGGTTTAAGATCTTGATGGGAGAGCTGACTAACGCTGTCTTGCCAAGAGCTGCCACGTCAGACAGTGATATGACGAGTCATCGCAGCTCCAGCCCAAATGGTCGCCAACAATCGTGCAGGATATGGCACTGGAGCTGGACACCAGTCCGTCGACAGCAGTTGCGAGGACGTACGCTGTCTTTGTTCTGGGATGGGGATGTTGTGCCGGCTGGTCGTGTTGCAATGTAAAGTTGCATCTTTATTCATCGATTTTTGCTGCGAGCTTGTTCAGCAAAGAATCGACAGCTTGCCCGCAGCAGGAACCCGTGGCTGTGGCACCCCGAAGAGCCACACTGGACAAGAGGCGGCAACATGCGCAGTCCGAGGTGGAGTGAGCTTGAAGCGTGGCCCTCTGCCAGAACACTGCGTCTGCCATCTCGCACCCCCTCGCCTGAGCAGCGATTTCACTGGTCCGATTCGCTTCCTGAGAACAGGCGGGCCGGGATTCGACACGTGTTGTCCGTTTGCTGCCGAAGAACCGAGGCCAGAGCCTGTGCCCGCACTTGCTCTTGAGCACGTGGGTGAACTGTCGGATCGGAGCCTGGCCCGTGCTCATGAGTGTAAGCTGCGGCATGTAAGCCTCGTGCAGCTGCTCCAAGCTTTTGTGCCCAGTTGAAGTCTCTCTCCTCGTTGCTACCTCCACCCGACCTTCGCAAGTCATGAGCATGCGTCAAAACTTCCGTAATTGTAGTTAAGAGTAGGGTGACCGTGGAATGTCGGATTTTGTCAATTTCCTTGGAAAGCTATAGGACCCCCCCAAAAGCGATACGATTAACGATGATCATCTGTTGGGACATTTCCGTGCAGCCGTGGCATTTGTGCCTAAATTTCCCGTGTGATAAAGGGCTAGGCAATCGATCGATACCCGATCGATACCCTAATCGATACCTACTAGATCGTTTTATGAGCCACTGCCCCATGCAGTAAAGGGCAGCAGAAGGCAGCAAAGGACAATAAAAGGCAGTGAAGGGCAGGTACAGGGCAGTAAAGAGCGGTAAAGGGCAGTAAAGGGCAGTAAGAGGCAGGTAAAGGGCAGGTAAGGGGCGGAGCAGTGATGGGCAGCAAAGAGCAGGGCAAGCTGCGAGTAGGATCAGTGAGTCTGATGGTCTTCTTACTTTCACAACAGCAAAGCGATACCTCACAGAAACATGTGGCGGAATCCTCGTAAAGCGATAGGACCCCCCAAATCATCCATGGTCTAGCCATGAACAAGAAGTTTTGACAAACGCGACATGTCATTGGGGGGGGGGGGGTGGTTAGCAGAGACATGTTTGTCAATGCCGCCCCGAAGCTTTCGAAGAAGTGAGCTAACAGCAAGGAGGCAGTCGGGTCTGGCCTGGCAAGCTGACGTGCGATAAGGAACATGGAGCCGATGGAGCCGATCCAGCCTCTCCAGGGTATCCGGAGAGACTCCTTCGAGGCCCCTTGCCTAATGGCTACAATGAGTACTCTTTGCACTTTTTTTGCGCATTTTTCGGAGGAGCGCCGACAGCTTCCTCTTCATGTCAAGCGGACGTTCATACACTACGACACTTGTCCTTCTCGTAGTTGGTTTACCTTGCAATGGCCGAACAGGGGGTCTGGGAGAACGCGTGGCAGCCAAGCTCCGTCTGTTTGTCGAAGGACGACCATGAACTGGAGCTTGCGCAGACGGATGGGGGCGGACCTAAGAGAACCAGGCCAGTTCGGTAGACACTCCACCGGGCTCCGTAGGCAAGGAAAAACGCAGAAGTCCCCTGTGGGATGCAGTGCAGCAGAAGTGTTGTGTCGCTCAGCCGGCTGCTTTAGCACTAGGCGTCCCCAGCGATCGGAATCAGCGCCAGCAAGATTGCTTTCACGGCAAGCTGGTCAAATCATTCAGGCCAGGCCACGGGTCCCAACATAGTCCAGGGTCCACTTATCGAGACGATGGTGATTCAGAAATGGACGCCGCCAGGCACACATCAACGGCACATGCAAGCCTTGCGGCTATTTCTTTGCCAAAGCAGATGGGTGTCGGTGGCACAACAACTGCACGTTTTGCAGGGTGCTTATGCCTTTTCATGTCTGCCCTGCATGCCCTGCGTGTTTTTCGTTTGTGCAAGGTCACCTATGCCCACCTGGAGAGCTGAAGCGACGAAAGAAGCAGAAGTGCATCGCTCGAGCACGCAAGTTGTCAGGGGTGCCAGAGGTCTGCTATGGTCCGCTCTGAGGCGCGCCATGCTGAAAGCAAGGAATGGTGCTCAGGCGCAGAACAGCCGCTTGCTTGTCAAAAATTGATAGAGGCAGGGCCTGGGTTCCACACTCGACTTGGGTTCGTTGGTCGAGATCCAGTCAGGACACAGCACAATGCAGGCTTACCGCTGGACTACCTGTTGTAAAAGCTTGCTTCTGCTTACCCGAATGCTCTTTCAGCTTGATCGGGTGACCTTGTGACCCAGTAGGTCGTAAAGATGCAGCGACAGATGCAGAGACAAACCAGAACACCCGAGCTTGACACTCGACTGCTCGAGAACGACTGCGATGGTGACATCGGGGAGAAGTGATGTCTCCCCGGGCAGATTGTCCAATGATGTTGAGCGGGTGGGAAAAATTATGTTGACCGAAGTTCAGCATAGGCGAAGCTATCTCTGCAGAATCCGGCAGCGCTAAGGTCCATGGGCAACCGATGAGGCAGACGAGCGAGCTTGATGGGTCACTGCGCGCTTCATGCACGCACTATGGGTTCGGAATTACAAACAATCTTCTGCTGGCGCCGCGATAAGCAGAACTCGGCGCATGCTTCCGAGACGTTGGACGGTGGATTTTGCAAGTATTGAGTGAAGTCCAAAATGCGACCTTCGTCTCTTTTTGTTTCAGCCATGCTTCTTGCGGTGTAGAGCAACGGCCCAGTGTGCCAGTAATGAGTACAGTGGGAGGTGTTCTGCACTGCCAAAGCTTGTCGAGCTCAGGGTTCAGAAATCCCAAGACCCATTTTGCCATTTTGCTCTTCCCCCCCCCAGGTGGGAAGTCCTTGATTCCGATGTGGTTATGATATGGAGTGTCCTTGAGGTGTAAGCTGTGCAAGACTTGGGGGGGGGTTGGGCATTTTAGCGCTGAGAGCGTTCTCAAGCTGAGCCATGACCGAACCTCTGAAACCAGGCGCTTGGCAGAGAGCGTGCCCAACAGATTCCAGTTTTCAAAGGCTTCGGGTCATGACTCAGCGGATCTGCACCAGCTGTTTGGTTGGTCTGCCCAGTGCATGACAGGAGAACTTGTGTACAAGTGGCTTCTGTGGTGATCGGCTGATTCTGTAATTGTGTTTTGAGCAGAAGCACCGATCCAAATGCCCCGTGGTACCTGTCCGTTAATCTAAACTGACGGGACATTTCTTGGTCTGTGGCCCGACGAAAGCTTTACGGTCAGCTCCGTCTGGCATTTGCTTATTCTTGGTGCCAGTGAAGCATCAAACTCGGAGGTCTGTCTGACAGACCCCACCTGACAGCAGCTAGTAAAGTACATTGGGACTGCTTTTGCATCTCATGATCTCGTGCTTCACGGCTCCGCCTTCAAAGATGCAATTGCATGTGGTTCACCGCGACCGCTCTTTCGGATGACCAGGCTTCATTCATCGCAGTGAGCCGTTCAGTTTATCCAGCTTGAGTTTTTGCACCGTTTGCAGTACTTTTGTAAGAGGCTGTAGCCTTCAGAAGCCTCTTGAGGCACGATCTTGTCGAAGGCATCCTTGAAGAGCATGTCGAATGTAAAGTTTTGGAGGCTGTTTCGTTCTTCCGTGCTTGCACATTTAGGCAGGTTTCTTTGGCAAGCTGGAGTTTTGATTCAGGTGCGAGTGTGCAAGCCATCCCAAGTCTGGTATAGCTGGTGCTGCTGCGGCAACAGTCCTCAGCCGCCAAAACAACGGCTTCGGCTGAGTACATGTGCTTCGAAATGTTTTTGAGGGATGGTGCATCAGAGTCGGCCAATGCAATCCGGATGTTAGCGTTGGCCGTTGTGAGATGTTGGGAAGTAGATCGCTTGTACTGGATATTCACCTCTGCCCGCGCCCGGCAGGCATTATTCCGCGTGCTTCACTTCAGCTCGCAGTTCCTGGCATCCAGGATACAGTCGCCTTTTGGTTTGATTGCGACTGTGATGACCATCCTTGCCAGAGGGCATGGGCATGCATGTGCCATGCACCTAAGGCGGCGGCCACAGGTTGCCGGCCGCTTCTAACAGATGGTGCCACCGTGGGAAGCCCAGGTTTGGAAGACGAGCAACAAATGCAACAATGAAGGGTACCCCGAATTCGTAACTTCTTTGTTCTTCATGCCGGCTGCCATGCCTACGGATGAAACCAGTCAGAGGAATCCATGCATCGTCTCTTTGCAAAATTTGCGAGCGACAGCACTGGTATAAAGTTGTGGCAGCCGTCGTCGTCGTCGGATGCTTGTCTTTTACAGGCTACGAGCACACAAGCGGCGTGGAGAAGTTCTCTCAAGACTTGAGTGCCACGACGCTGCATGAAACAACTAGCAACCAACAGAACGTTCCCTGCAGCCGTCACAAATAGGTGGATCACGTGAAGCGTATGTCGCACTGGAGCACTGCCGTGCACTAAGCCAACGTACAGCACAGACTTGCCCGTGCTTCACTAGCTGCGCAAGCTGGTCCGGGTTCAAGCTTGAGCAACAATGCATCGGTTCCTCAGTAAATTTGCTGAAATTTCTGGACAAGGTTCGTGGGGGAGAGAGCGCGAGACAGAGAGAGAGAGAGAGAGAGAGAGAGAGATGCAGACATCGGACGAACTTGAACGCTCGGTGCGTGCTTGCGCGCAGGGGGGGTCCGCTCCCCTTGTCCGTATGCAAGCAAGACACAGATTCCACTTCTCACACTCCTCCAATGCCCCCATAATCAACCGGGGGCGCTTGTGGCCGAGGAGCGTCGAAACCCTCCATGCCCCGGGGAAGAAGACACAGAGAGTGGGGGCAGGCCCTCGGGCCAAGGTCTCCCTGAAGACCCACACCCCTTAGCAAGCAAGCAAGAGACACAGACAATGACACTTCTCGCTAGAGTGAAGCTGAAGTCGTTTTGCATGTGTTGCTTCAGTACCGCTCCACCCTGCGTACACACGTAGCCCTACGTGGTGGCACTAGTACAGCAGCCAGCAAGAGGGGGAAGCCATCCAAAGAATCCTGTTGTGAAGATTGTTGGTTCAACTGATGGTAATCTTGCTCCGACGACCACCTCTTATGGTGGCTCCTCCGGGAAACCTGCGGGGGCCGTGGGATGGACTTCCACACGGACCGGTTTAGGCACGCGCCTTTGGGAGACGTCGCCGACGAAGATTGATTGGATCAAGAAAAGCAAGTGCAGAAAGTATGTGGAGGAGGAGGAGGAGGTCGCGAGGCTGTCGGCAGCCCTCCCCATTGGGGAAGCCACCGGGTGATCAAGACAAAGCCCACGGGCACCTAGATCGACTACGGTCGGGCTCTCGAGGTATCGAGTGACTTCTAACGCGGAGCAGCTTTTTCGGGACGGCCCCTCTTCCGACAATGGAACCAGTCTCCAGCTGCAGCTTCAGGAGTACTCCCAGAAGCGGCCCGGCAGACTGGCGGCCTAGAGCAGAGAATGCAGAGCATGGTCGGAAAGGAGTGGGCGGCCAATCCTGAAGGAAACCTACGGGAACAAGACGCCGCCGGTCGCAATGAACTGGGTCCTGACAGTGTTGGCGCCGAAGGAGGTGCCAGTAAGGACCCTCCACGAGATGAAGACCCTGGCTTCCTCCCTCGACATGACCGCAGCCGGTCGAGCGCACTCGGCAGCTCAGCGTCTCAAGGCCTTGGAGTTGTCGTTGACCGACACGACCTGGAACAGGGCTCAATTTTTCGAGCTTCTCGACCCGGAAGGCCCAGCACTCCTCGAGCGCGACGAACGTCGAAGGAATGGGACGAGGAAACTCCAAGGCGGCAAAGGCCACGGCCTGTCCAAGGGAGGGCAGAAAGGCGAGGAGAAGACTGGAGGGAAGACCGAGACGAAAGGAGGGAAGGACGGTCCGGGAGGAAAGAAGGGACGGAAAGGAAGAGCTGCCCGATTATGGTGGCTCTTCTGAAGGAGATCCGGCCACCAGCAGCAAGGCCACCAGCAGCAAGGCCACCAGCAGCAAGGCAGCGGCTCACCGAGGAGTGGGAGATGCCCAGGCGGCCGCAGCACCATCGCGTTTTACTGAGCCCCTTGCCACGGCAGAGGATTTGCTCCACATGTTGAACCGGGGACCCTTGACTTTGAGATCGGCTACCTGGGCGATAGTGATGACGAGGGTCTCCCCACGGGGAAGGCAGGCAGCGCTTTTGCGACCAGCCTTATCAATGGGCTGTCCATGAAACTGGCGCAAAAAGATCCGGACCGTGATGTCTTGCAAGTCGGGCCTGAAGGCCAGACAAGGCACAGCGGTTCATCTCCATCCTCTGCCCGATGAATGACGCAATGCGCCTCCAACCGGGTGCCCAGGACAGCTTGCCCTACATTAAGGCAGTTGACGGCCGTGATGGCCGAGAAGGACAGCTCTTTGGTCCTCGATTCCGAGGACCTGCAGTCGGCCTTCAACCTCTTCAAGCTCCCCTTGGACTGGGCCCCCTTTTCTTTAGCTTCGCTGCGTCTGTGGTACCGATGGGGTGGACTTCCACCATGACCCTCATCCAGGCAGCCGTCCGCCACATGGCTCACACCATAGCCAAGCTCCTTCCTTACGGGGACGTGAGGAAGGACCGGGAGCTTGCCGAGGCCGAGGACCACACCATTTGCTATCTTGACGACTTTCATGATACGGTATCTCAAGAAGGAGATAGCTGAATCCGCTGAGGGGGCCCCCTCGCATCACTGCTTGCGAATGCTCGGCCTCCCCCGCAATCTTGGGAAGCAACTCAGCGGCTCATTGCACGGAACCCTCCAAGGAGGAGAAATACTAGGCAAGGAAAAGATCCTGCGCCATGCCTACGACAAGACCTGCAAGCTGGTGGAACTGGGGCTGGGCCTCGGACACCCTCAGTGAGTTTTGTTTGCGCCACTGGGCGGGCAAAGCAGCCTTTGTGGCCGCGTTCCGCAGGCCATTTTACTTAGTGCTTCAGGAAACCTATGGGGTAATGGACTGGGCCAAGCCCGGGACTGACTTTGGAGAGAGGTTTGCTGGGCCTGGGTTTCCCCTGACCAAAGCCGGGGCTAAAGGGGATCGAGACGCAGCTCCCGCTCGACATCGGCCATCGACGGGGACACTTGGGACATCAAGACTGATGAAGGGAAGGAGAGGCTCGACGCCTACGAGGCTGAGGGTCGCCTCAAGTGGAGCCACTGGGCTCCCGATCTGGGTCGACGAGTGGAACCTATGGGCCCGAGCCCCGCGAGCTTTCCGTGACCATGACCAACCCGAAAGAATGGCAAAGTTGCGTCGAGATGACGCGGTCACCCTCAGACAAGCCAACGCCATGGCACGGAGGTCTATCAAGGGCTTGCTCGAAGCCAAGGGCAAGGGCAGGTTCGCCTCCCTCGAGCACCCCTTGATTCCCACCCGTGGCGGCTGCCAGAAGCAGAGCTCCTCTACGGAGGAGACTGGCATTGGAGCAGCTTTTCTCTTTGCTGCTTCGGCAACGAATGGCTCACCGTCGTCCACAACTCGGATTCCCTCCATGCTGTGCTCCACAAGCCTGAGTGTGAAGGACACTCGCCAAGCCCTGCCACGGCAGAGGAACCCAGAAAATGGGTCTGAGTATCCATGGAGCCTGTGCCTCGTGTTCATGTTCATGGAGGCTCACGACGAGCTGACCTCGGTCTTCGCAGAGCCTTTCGGGGCACGGCACCTCACCTTGGAAACCCTCATGCACCATCATCTTTTTGGCGCCACGAGGGGTCTCCAGGATGACGTGGCTGTCGACTGGACCGTTACTCAAACGGTCCGGTTTTTGGAGACCATGGATACAAAACAAGAAGCACAGCATCTTCGGTGGATGCTGCGTCATGCCTACCACACTGGGTGTGATCTGCGCCTCACCGACCGAGGAGAAGATGTTGTAGGGAACGGGCCGGGTCCCTATCCGGCGCTCCGTTGGTTGTGGAGGGACATCCTTTCCTACAAGTGGAAGGAGAGCCACAACACATCAACATCCTCGAGCTCACCGCCTTCCTGACCGAGCTCCGCCGTCGTGCCCGCAACCCTGAGGAGCACGGGAGGCGTTTTTTTTGTGTTGTGGACTCCCTTGTCACCTTCTACGTGTTGGGCAAGGAAGGTCCAGCTCTAAGCGCTTGACATCACTGCCGTTGAGCTCGCCGCCGGGATGATCCCAATGACCTTTTGGACGATCAGCAACTGGAACTTCTCAGATGGCGCCTCGAGGAAATACGAACCGCAATGATCACTTGCAGTACCTTGGGATCACCCAGCGGACGAGGCGCTCCTACGAGCGGGCAGTGGCGACTTTCTTTTCTTACCTTCGCGCCCTACGGGGCAGGCTTCCCCGCAACATGGAAGAGCTCGACGACGAGCTCTCTGAGTACATTAATCATCTTTATCAAGAAGGTGACTCACTATCTTTTGCAGGATGGGTGGTGAGTGGCCTGAAGCGGTTTCACCCTAGGTGTCGCGGGCACCTTCACACTTCACAGTTGTTCCTCCGGAACTGGACCAGGGTTTACCTCCCTCAGCGGACCACTCCGGTATCTTGGCTGGCCGCTAAGGCGATGGCCAGTGCTGCTTTTCAAGTTGGGAGTCCCGACCTCTCCACCATTTTTTGCTGGGCTTCGCCTTTTTCCTTCGGACAATGGAGCTCTTGGCCCTGCAGCACTGCCATGTTCGCCTTTTCCTGACCAAGGTCAAGTGGTTATTGCTATCGTTTCCAGCAAAACGTCTTGTGGCCTCCAGTAATCTTTGTCCTTACACGAGCCCGAGCTGGTTAAGGTTTTGCAATTTCTTTGGGACCGGGCACGCCCGAGTGGTTTGATCTATTCCTTCTCTCCCTTGATTTTCCGAAGGGAGTTCGCCTCGTTGGTACGATCGGTCGGCTTGGATGCTGAGGATTACCTGCCCTACTGTCTTCGGCGAGGGGGCGCCACTTTTTACTACCAGCGAATTCAAAGCTTGGGCAGGACTGTCATCCAAGGCAGGTGGAAAGATCAAACCACAGCACGCATCTACGTGGATGACGCCCGGGCCACACTGGTCCAATTGCTGCTCCCCGCCCACGTCACCGCCCAGCAGCGCCAATTGGCTTCTGTTTGGCGAGTGGCAGAGCCAGGATAGCTGGCTTTGGACAGTTGGTTTGGGGAGTTGGCTGAGCAGCAGATCGAAGGAATCTGTTGCTTTGATCCTCCTACGGGAGAGACCGCCCATGGGCGCGCTTTGGCGGAGGCTGTATATTCGTTTTGGCCTCCGGGCCGCTTTTGTGCGCACCTAGGCGCACGGCTAACTCTGAGAACTTCAAGCTCCTCTTGGAAAATTGCTGCGTCGTATACTGAGAAACCATAATCTGTTGTGTGTTTCCATACCGAGGGGAGCTACGAGGCCGGGATGCGGGCCATAAAGTTCGCTTGTGAACTCTCCCCTCTGAAGCGAAGCGAAGAGCGAGAGGTGGAGGGGGTAAAACCCCTTCACACAAGTCCTGGCGAAAGAAAGACACAGAAAGACACAGAGAAGCGAAAGAGAGAGAGGGAAGAAAAAACGAGAATTGTATCCTGAACTGAGGACGTGCTTTGTGACATCACTGCCCTGGAGGAGGAGCAAGGCTACAGGCCAGCTCGTTGCGACCGACGGGCAGTTGCTCTGTGAGTTGTGAGGAAGCAGGGTTGTTTCGAAAAATGTGGTTGATAATTACCTGCAGAGACGAAGCGATGCTCTTTGCGCGAATGAGGAGGTTTGTTGGAGCGTTGCTGCGCTTCTCCCTGTCGGAGTTGTGGTCGGACATTGATCCAGTGCAGCCGTTTGTGCTCGGCAGTCATGTGGGAACTAAGAGATGTTTTTTTACTTGTTCGTGCACTGATACACGTTTGCCGGCTAATCAGCTGATCTAGCAATCTATCAGATAGCATCGGCAGTGCACCGCAGAAGCTGGTGTCGGTAGTTTTAGAGATCTTGCCGGCACCGGGGTTTGCTGCTCAGGATTGTACCATATTGCACCCACTGTCAGCTCAGTTTGTGAATCAACGACAGTCACTTCCGCCCGAGGTTTCCTGAGATGTCTGTCAGACCACCATTGATGAGACAGACGCTCGACAAGTTAATCGCATTGCTGAACCCACCTTGCTGATGCGTTGCATTCGATCGTTATGATGTGGCGCATGATGTCCATCCAAGGGGAAGCACCGTGGGACCGGTGGGAAGAGCGAGCCAGTGTCCCAGATGGCTGTTGCACACTTTCTCCGCATATCGTGGCGAGTGTTGAGATGCCTGTTGATCCGACCTCATCATTGCAGGGGGACGTACGATCAGCAGCCAAGCGGCGACGGCCGAGTTTGCAGCCACGCTTAAGAAGCTCCAAGACATCTACGAGACGCAGGCAGGGTGTGCACTTCGTATCCGCAATGGGGCTTTGTGCATTCGGAGCTCGCGGTTTCTCCTCCAACCGAATCTGCGGGTATTCGCTGCTGCGTCATGCTTTACGGATCGAGTCTTTTGACAGGTCAAGCCAAGACGTCGTAGCACGCAAGCACTTGTAATGCGTCCGTTTCGTGTTTGTCCCTATCATGTCATCATGTCATGCCATGCTGCCGAGTTCTGCGCTTACTATTACTGTGCGACATATGGCCGACAGATCAGCCAAGAAACACGGAATGCGGGATCCGCCCATCGAAATCTGACCCAGTGTTGCGGAGACGAAGCAGTCAGTACCCGCCAGCTTGCCCTCGTCAATGTGCCAGTACGTCCTCGCCAGCCGCACAGATGGAAACGATAATGCTGTGGGTTGTCGACAAGACCTGTTCTTAACCAGTGTTCAACGTGGGCTTTGGCGATCCCATAAACGCATCCGCTAATCAGCTTCGGCTGAGCTATGCCAGCCTCAGAGCCAAAGTGCCACCGCCCGGGTAGGACAGAAAACTAGTATCGTGGCGCCATGCACTCTGATTGAAGCTCATGCAGGTGCACCAGCTTCTCTTCGAGGCCTGTGCGCGCCGATGCTTGATGCTTTTGTTTCTGCACCGTCTTGCCGATAGAACAACTGGAGCAGGCACAATCACTTCGGCGAGCTCTGGGTAAGCAAGAGGGCACTTCTACAAGCCATGCGGAAGATGGGCCGGATGACGGACAGGCGGGCGGCGAGCTTGACCTGTGCTTGGGCTCCGAAGCGGAGAGGGTTCATATTTGTTTCGAATTGCCAATAAGTCTGGTGTTAGGACGGCCGGCTTTCCGGCGCCTGGCATCTCAGTTTGGAGTTTTAATTGGGCAGTCACGACTACCCAAGAGTCCGACGTTGCATCTGCATTATGTCCTTGGCTTGGAGACTTCTGCTGATCAGGCGTGTGCGGGCATGCGTGCGACGGCGATTGTGTTTTACTTCAGACTTCGCTTTTCGTTGACGAGCGATTACTGTAGTGACAAGTGTATGCTAGTCCTGCCTCCGAAGATAATGTGGAGGAAGAGGACGACGTGTCGGTGCTTGATGTGGCCGTGCCCTGCTTGCAAAGTTGATGCTGCTCTGAGCCCTTTTGCTCCAAAGTCCCCTGCTGTTCCCTCTCTGTTTCATCATTTTACCCTCTCCGATGCACCTGCACCCAATTCTCTGCGTCCAGCAATCTTGCAATTCTCATTGTCGGGCCGAGGATGTCGAGCAGTTCTCACTATGGCCCGAGTGGATGGCCGGCCAAGACACCATCAATGGTATCAGCAGCGACATTTTTGCAGACAGGCGGGTTACTCTCTCGTCTCTCGTCATCCGCACCCATGAGGGTCGATGTTTGTTTGATGCTCGATGCAGGGAGTATGCCTTGGCAGAGCGCAAGCTAAAGCTGAAACCGGCCGCTTTTACCGGATGTATAGCATGTGCAAGAAGTGTCTGTGTGTGTGTGTGTGCGGTAGTGTGGGCAGATGCGGTATTCAAGGATTTGAATGCCTCATACTCGTCCTCAGCGCTGCACCAGCAACCGCACTGCTGGAACCTCATTGCGTCACACGTTGCAAGCTATGAGGCCTAGAAGATGTCATGCAACACTGGCATGATCTTTAGGTACATGTACTTGCAAGCTGACCGACTTGGTTATCAGCCCGATCTCACCCCAGCGGATGTTCTGGGTACCTCGGAGGCAAGGGGACAGAGCTCGTTGCTTGCTCGTTTCATCGCGTGCGTTCATCGCGTGCAGAGGCCTTGTCTGGGTCTTGAAACACTAGCATGTCTTGTCTGGCATTGCTTAGGACATTTTGGGTGTGGTCTTCCTCGTCTATGACATGAGCTTTGACTGATGCAGACAGAATCAATTGCTAATATAGCGCAGGCCTGAACAGGGACCAGGGCTCAATGCTCTAATTTCGATTGAAAGCCGAGGATATGGATTCCGGTGCAACTAGGCACGCAAGGAGACCGGAAAGTCACAACTCCTTGCCTTTCATTTTCCCGGTCCTAGCAGCAGGCTCCATCCGAAGTAGTGTTCTTCATTGGCCGGTAACCCTAAGGCAAGTCTTCTCACCGAACCGCCACGTGGTGACGGATGCCCTCGACCTGACCGTCGCGGTGTACTGGACTTTGGACATCATCGGCACCTTCTTTACAGGTTTCTACTCTCGCAAAGGCGAGCTGATCCGTACTCACAAAGAAATCGCTTTGCATTACCTGACGCCGGGCTGCCAGAGTGCATGTGCTTGTAGGAGGGTTCTTGTTCAGGTGCTGCAGGTGTCATGCTCTCGTGGCTTGCAAAGGAAACGATGGTTCTTCCTCGATGTGATGATTGTCAGTGTGGACTGGATATTTATGTCCGCATCGCTAGGACGCATGCCCGCGATGTGAGACCACACATTTGGTTCTCAGCCCGTGTGGAGTGTGAAACCCGAAAGGAGAAGAGGACGATAGCGTTACGGACAGTGCCGAGGGATCCGGTCTCGCTCGGTTAGGGAAGGCCTGGCAGCCCTGCAACTGTCTTGTCGGCTGACGATCGTCAGCCAACCGCAGAATTTAGGATCGATTTCGGTCGAGGGTCCACGGGTGCGGTGCAGTCGTGACTGCTTTGCTCGAGGTGATCCGAGTTGCAAGAATTCTGCGAACCTTGCGTCTTCTGCGGCTCATGAAGTTGAGGCCCACATGAGCATTTGTACGTTGCGATTCTCATGCCGGGTCGTCTTCGTCGATGTCACATGTGACAGGCACATCTTCTTTGCCATTCAAGAACGTGCCTGTCCTAGCGGCGCCTGTGTGACCAATGCTGTGTCAGCCCGATGCATCGTGAAATCGTCCTCGCAACCTTGCCGTCTTGCAGGTATCGATTCTGAGGCAGTGTTCATATTGGTGGGAACCGTAAAGAATCTGCAGCTCGGCAGAGCATGAGCACATCGTCGAGTCTTATGGCGAAACTTCAAGCAGCGATAGCATAAGGCTGGTCTTGCTATTCGTGAACCATGTCTTCGCTTGCCTTTGGTATTTAATTGGAGTCTTGGGAGAAGGAGCAGCGGCATGTGCGGCAGATCTGCGATTGCATCCCGTCGCGGTGCACAAATTCTGCAGGAGGTCCTCGCGAAGAGCATTGGGTGTTTTACTACGACACCGGGGAGACAGTCATCGAGAAGTACATGCTGAGTCTTCACTGGAGCCTCACGCAATTTACGCCGGCAGGCGATTACGGTAGCGTGGTGCCCATTGCTTCTTGCTGGCCGGATGGCTCGGCTAAAGATTGCAGGCATTGAGATTCACCCATGCAACGTTTACGAGCGGGTTTTCAACGTCCCTCCCTTAGTATGATTGCGATTCGTCGTTGTCAAGCGTGGGACCCGTCATCTCAGCCTACTTGCCAACCCCTGTCTTAGGCGCCGATGGAATATGTAAAGAGCCGGAAATATCCCTTTCTGACTCCTTGAAAGGTCGGCCTGATTCTCATTGCCATGGTGGGATTCTCCTCCTTTGTCAGTGCCTGCCTCGGAAGCATGGACTTTATGTCGATCAACCAAAGCATTTGGCACCAGGTGCGATCACTGCTTCAATGACAAGACTGCGAAGTCTGCAGGGTAACGAGCTCTCCGAAGCGTTTCTGTTGAGAAGGTGCGATCGCACTGCCTCTTTGGTCTAAGATCTTGCTTGTTGTGGCTAGAGGGGTCACACGGAAGGGGCCCCTGCTTTCTACCAATCATTCACGCTCGTGGCTTGCGAAAGGAAATTCTGTGTAAGGCAAAATGCTTCGGGCTAGGGACGGCTAGGGCGTAGTCTTGGTGGAGACTCCTGGCTCCCATCTTGGTGTTTATGTTGGGGCTGGAGAGTTCGATCATCAAGCCGTAAAGACAACAAGTTGGAGCAAAAGCAGCATGCTGGGTGCTGGTGGTGGTGGTGGTGGTGCCAAAAGCGAGGCCTCTTGAATCTTGAGCGCCAGGTTCTTAAAGGAGAACCACATCTCGGCGGACCTGCAGCCACGCTGCCTAATTTTCGCAGTCTCAGAGTTTCGGGGGTGGCGCAGTCGGCTTCAGATTTGAAGTTGCGATATGGTACCGATCCGGTTGATTCGTTACGAGAGGTTTTTCGTTTGTGTTGCTACTGGTAGAGTTGGCTTGATCGCGCAGGCGCGACGTAGTTTGCAGATGCTGAGGGTGAATGCCCACAGCACAGCACGAGGCCCCGTGGCTTTGCCTGTGCCTTTTGGAGGATGTTGATTCTGGGTACCGGTGGAACTTGCCGAATCGGAGGTGGCATTTTGGATCAGCAGAGACAAGGTGTCCCAAAGCGAGTTGCAGAGAGGCTTGGGCAGCACCGGCCAGACCAAACGGCAGAGATCAGTGCCTTCTGTGGCTCAGAGACGCTCAGAGCGCGCAGCCCGAGTGAAGCCACTGGGAGCCTTTGGTGGACTGCTCGAATTGCCATCCATGCTCCTGCCAACTCCAACTGCACACCAGCAGAAAGGAATCGTCGATGAGCTGAGGAGAGGAGCCGAGAAGGATCTCAGTTTCAACAGGTCGAGGCGATCTTACCTAGTACCCGTCCCACTTAGGAACGTACTTACTCGCTTACTTACCGAGAAAGGGAGAGCCTTCCAGTGCTCATTTTGTCTTCGGCGCCTTGGACCCGTGACATTGGATGGCTGTTGCCCATCAGGCAGACTTTTGCACAAGGCCGAAATAATTGTACAGATTGCAAGCCGTGTTCCAGTTACTCTGATTCTCCTGATTGTTGCGAGGTTGCAGATCCTCAAGCTAACCCCCTCAAACAAGCCCATACAGGAGCCGTCAAAGCAAAGCCATTCAAAATGCCCCGACCTGGTTGCAGCATCGAGGTCACGAGTCGTGCGCTACATCGACATGGCCATCGAGGCATATCACAATCTGGAGCTTACCGCGTTTGCATAAGAATGGGATATAAGAAATCCCGAGCCGGGAGGATAGCAAGGTGTTTGTGCATTCGCGAGGGATATTATTGTTATGGCTGTCACGACTTGCTCAAAGCATCGCGCTTGATCTTGCCTGTTTCCGTCATGATGTGCCCGTTGTCAGGTAAACAGGAAAAAGATCGACAAAAGCCGCGTTGCTTCGTTGAACATGCTGAGTGGTCCGTTGAGGGTCGAGCTGCAGAAGGACGACCGTGCTGAGCAAGCGGAGTGAGCTTGATACTCTGGAGCTATCCACGCGGTTCTGACAGTGTGCCGATTTTTGACCCGGTGCTTTGCTCCAGCTAGCGGCTGGTCTTGTCACAGGAGCTGTACCTCCCCTCTTTGGTGATTCACAAATTTTTCGTTAAGTATGCCCATAACGATGCCGCACCTCGGCTAGTGGGCATGCGATGCTCCATGGCGTTCAGGGCTGGTAGGGTGGTAGAGCTTGCACTGCAGTATCGAGGCAATCAACCAGATCTGCTTCAAGGCACCGGGGCAGCACCGGAGCCTTCGCAACGACCGTGTGTTTGTGCCCAGGCTGTTGAGAAGATGAACCTCTCGCGCTCCGACGTCCTGTTTCAGCTTCATGGCGAGTCTCACTCGACCTTCGGCATTGCAACTGCGAATCTCTTGAAATGCTGTTCTCATCGCTCGAGACTGACACGAGGCTTCTGTCTGGCTCCTTGATGTTCGCATGTCATGTTGCATGAGCATGTCTCGGCGCACTGAGGATGTTCTTCTTGACGAGTGGCTACTTGTCCAATCTGTTCGCATCTCCTGCCGTCGTAGGCAGCCATAGGCTGGTGCGCGCGCTCCGCTCCTCCTCTCCTCCGCTCCTCCGCGTCCGCCGAGGCAGCACGTACTATCAGCGGCCTAAGAACTCACCCGCATGGGAGGTGTCTCAGCTTGAGGATGTCTTTGACAGATCCCCAAGTCTTTTTCGAGAGCGGATGTTTGCTACGCACAAGGCTCACCAGAGGAGGTCACGCAAACTGGCAGCAAACCCACTCTTCAATCGCGTGCTGACCCTTTCAAAGGCGGGGTTTGATGAATACAAATGCGTAGCAAGCAGGATTCGACATGTGGTTAATTGAAGGACAGCTACTTCTGCGAGCACTCCCTGTGGCTGCCATGGACGCACAGAGGCCCTTGAAACAGAGGTAGTATGGATGTCGCCGATGGTCGCGTCGCTCCCGAGGTACAATGGGTGCTTTGACGGATAGCGAGCTCCTGGTGGCTGAGCTGTTCTTGGGCCTTTGGTTGCTCAGTCTCAGTCGCGCGATGCTGCCGACTGAGGCTTTAGATAGTGCCAAATTCAGGCAGATCACCACAGAGTACAAGGCCATGGGTCGCGTTAGTGTCAAGAGGCTTTCTTGCCCTCAGTGCTCCATGACATTCGGCAGGATATCTTCCAAAGCTCCAAAGCCTATGCGCTGCAATTCGTCCATGACCTGGAGGCAGAATCAGATGGCAAATCTCTTTCCGGTCTCGTTGCCATGAACTGCCCTTTGTGTGCAGCTTATTTCTTTGGTTCAAAGCGCTATTTTCGTTCTGAGATCTTCGGTGTCATGGCCTTTGTGCTTCTGATTCACTTGGTGGCATTGTGGACTGCTGCGGGGAATACTTGCACCACCCAAGAGCAGCGAGCCGTTGTCGAAGAGGCTGCAGCCGGAGGTGGCAATTCCTTTCTGCAGCATGCGAGCCGACAGGTTCAAAACGGGTCCAAGGGAGGCCAGAATGGAACTCAGTTTCCGAATCCATTCCAAGTATTTGGTGGCCAGTCTGGTTCAATGGGCACTTCTCCCGCGTCAGGTATGGCGAATATCTTTTTGGGGAGCGCGGATGATGATAGCACCATGCAGGAGTGCTCAACATTCTTGAACCAAGTCTTGGCCAAGGCATTCTCCGACCCCAGCCAAGCGATGACGATCATTACTGACTTGATGTCGTCTTCCCAAGGTTCCACCCAGTCGCTGGGTTGTTTGAAGGCGGCGCTGAACTATGCAGATCGGGCAGTGACCCCCGCTGAGTGCAGAATGTCAGACGGCACGGTGGACCCGAGCTGCTGTGTTTATGAAAAGCGATGCAGTGACACAAATCCCTTGGATGGTTGTCCAGCTGCTGTGTTCCGCCCAACCAACATCTTCGACATGAGCACGATGCCAGTGACCTGCGTTGGATCGAAGCCACTCTCACCTGTTGCTACAGGTATGTGTAAATGCAAAGGCGGGAAAACATGTGTAAAAGGAGTGAATCAACCCTCCCAGTGTATGTAATGTAAACTAGCTGCTGCAGTGCTGACTTGCGGCATGAGGCAAAAAGAAGTCTGTCCGTGAAAGCATGGTGCACTGTCATTGGTAGGGCTGGGGCGGTATGGCATGGGCCAAGTCAGAGAGACTACAGACTTGATCGTGAGGAGTTCAGCGACACCCACGGATGTGCCTGGGACTTGCCGAAGGAGGCTTTGCCGCCGTCTTTCGAATGCTGCTAGTTGTGCGGAGTGCAGAGACCCACTGCACCAAAGCAGGTAACTCACCCAAAGAGCTACCACATGGATGCTCCGATACTCAAGTCAACCTTGGAGCAGAAGCAACTTGAGGACGACGCCAACCTACTTATTTGCACGGTTTGCAGCTGGCATGTCTTCGTTTTGGGGACTCCGCTCTACTCCGCTTCCGCTTTCTGGAATGCGCAGCAGGAGTTGAAGATGAGCGAGCTATTAGCTGCGCTTCGAACGCAATACAGTGACTGTGACACCCCGTGTGTGGACCCATCTCTGTTGAGGCTTGCATTGAAGACGACCTTGACCAGGACCGGTTCTCGAAGTTAAAGAGAAAGAGTCGAGACCAGCTCCTTGAAGACATCTTTCTTCAGACTTCATAGAAAGGTCGCATTCCTCGTTTCTCAGGTGGCATCTGTGCTTAACAGGGCTTAGCCCACAGAGTGGCATCACGTTACGAGAAGCGATGAGAGTTCCCTTGCAAAAGGAGGCGGCTTCCAAGTCTATGAGACATACACCCTCCAATGCATCAGCTTCTGACCAGGTGGGGGCCCGCTTGGCACTCTGGGACTGTGAGGTTGAGCTGCCAAAGCGTAAAGGCATGTAAAAGCTCACGCGACGCATCAAGGATTCGAGAGCACCATCGCTCATCTTGATCCTGAGCGGGCAGAGTAAGTACTTTTCGGGGGGTATCAAGCGTGTGACAATGAGTGAATGCCGCAGTCCGACAGAGCTTTCTCGGTCCGTGGAGCCAGATATTTCCCACTGCCATTTCTGCCGTGTGCAGATTGGGGGTACCGAGAACACGAGCCCGGAAGAAGTTGTCTTGAAGTAATGACTGCGGCTAATTGTTACTGTTACTGAAAGGATACTTGACGAGGTGGAGCCGCTGTTGGACCCGTGTGCACGAAGACCGTGTTAGTCAAACACAAACGCGAACACATTAACTCATTAACTATAGATGCTTGTTGAAAGCTCCCGGATGTCCAGACTTCAGACTGTTGTTCTTCAGCTCCTCTTGAGACGACAGGTGAGCTCCATGGCAGAAGGCAGCTTTGCACTGGGACATCCAGGAGAGTTTCCGGCAAACCCGTTAACCTCAGAAGGCTGCTATAGCTGCTATAGGCTTCTTTCGCCGAAGTCTCCCCAAGCTCCAAAGCTCCAGGAGTGCCAAGTCGAAGGCCACGGCAGCCGCACCCTAGCTGCCAGTTCGGCGAGGAATCCATTGAAAGGGCCCTTGTGTAGTTGGAGCACGTCAGACTCTACCACAAAGCCCCGTGAGCCGTGCTGCCTCCCTCATTATCACTCGAAAGCAGTTGTCAACGGCAATTCTCAGGTCCACACTTTCGAACGAGTTTGCCGATACGCGGCTTTGATTTTGTGATGCTTCTTGCACACAGCCATAAATGTCTGTGACTGATGAGATGGCTGGGGTTCTAAACAGGTACTGCCAAAGGCATTGTCCGAAGCTTTCCAGTTTCCCTCAAAGCTCAGGGTTCTGGGCATCAACAGCCTTCACACAATCTTGACCGCTGGCTTGCGTTGTCCGAGCGCCGAAGGCGGTCGCGACAGCACGTCCGAGATGTTGCATGCTAGGTTTCCACTTGCACATAGCCTGGCCTAGGGCCTAGCATGCTTACTGCTTACCCTATCCGTGCCCGCTACATCTCAGTGCCAGCTTTCGACTTCCGAGCAGAATCAACGGTTCTCTGTGCGGACCAATCAATTTCCTTTTGTTTCCCTGGCATCGGACAGCTTCTTCAGAAGAGCGCCAGGTTCTCGATGGCAATCTCACGGTGCGAAATCATGTTCTGATTGCAATGCCAACGGGCGTCCGGGTGCCGGTCATTTGTCTGCAAAGCTCATTCACATGGTGTCATGGACCCAGTAGCTTCGCAGCCACATGGAGTTTAAATGTTTCACATTCGGCCACTTCTGCAACATAAGGTTGAGTCCTAGTGTTGATATTGACGGAATGGACATGATGTACGCGGTTTGCACCTGCAGAAGAAGACGCAGTAGCAACGGCATTAGGCCCAAGCGCAGCACCTGCAAAAGAGACCACTCAATGTGGTTAGGTGATGTGCCTGTACCTTACGACTGCCACAAGTGCAATCCGTCCTGATAGGACGTTCGGCGAAACGTAGGATGCACCAGACAGAGCTTACACGAACGCGAAATGTTTTGGACTTGTCATTGATCCCGCTAGTGAATTCACCTCACGCTCTCCATACTTCTCTCTCTCTCTCTCTCTCTCTCTCTCCGCATTTCTCTCTCTTTCCTCGTGCGCTGGGAAGCTGTGCAGCCTGCAGGTTCTGTCAGACGTGCCGCATCGTTCGGCCACCTCGCGCCTCGCACTGCCGCAGGGAGCCCCAAGCAGGCCGCGACGCGAGGCCGCACGACGCAAGGCACAGGCGCTCTCCCCAGGCAAGCAAAAGAAGCGAAGCGCGTTTTGTTTTTGTTTTCTGAGTTTCCCCCCCCCCCCCCGAACGCCGAGGCGACTGTGACAACTGCGTCCTCAGGCACAGGGGGACTCAGGGTGTAACGGTAGTAGCGTTCATCGCAGTCTGCATTCGAAGTGTGCGCATGTCTCTGCCATCTGACGCCTCTACATGCTCACTGAGTACAGTAGCGGAGCGAAAGCGATGCTCTGCTGCATCTTCAAGCTCTACTTTACTCATCACCTCAGTAGGGTGCGGGCAGTGGACGGGTGGACGGGCTGCGAAGACTTCGGGAGGTTGGTAGTTGGGTTCTCTTTGTCACAAGTGCGAGAGTATCAAAGCGTTCGTTAGTTGCGGCATGGCCGGCATATGTCGAACGTTCACGACGGGGGCCGCGAAGATGGCTGGGATGGAGAGGAATGAGAGCTGCAATCGCACTGGGTGCGAGATCAGAGAGAGTCGAGTTCGGTTCTACCTTCCTGTGTCTTTTATGGCAAGGAGGTCTCAAGGAAGCAAACAAAGAATCGAAGGATGCAGGAAGGAGGCAGGGCCAGGGATCACAGAACCACCACCCCGAACTTTTGAGGACATGGTGACAATACAGTCGAGTCCAAGCGTGCTTTTCCCATTCATCTGTCAGAAGCTCAGGGGTCCAGTTAAAGTCATGCAAGAATGACGCGCTCCTTCCTTCCGTCCCTCAATCCGCCCTTCCTTTCCATCCATCCTTCGGTCCTTCCTTCACCCGGTGGCGCCGCAAACGGTTGCGAATGTTTTAGTTATATCCTAAACATACACTTGTAATTGTGCCGGGTCGCACACCAGAGTCACTGTCTGACTCAGAGACGATTAGCTGATTTTTACTATCGGCATCTCACTTCCTTCCTTTCTCCCTTCCGATTCCTCCTTGCCCCATCAGCTCTCCTGTCCCCTGGTCGGGTAGTCTGCAAGCGCTGGTTCTTCTGGTACTTTGGTCCTTTTGCCAGCAGCTTGTGCTTACTTTATAACGGTTGCATTCGTAGAAGTCGTGGCAAGCCAAAGGGCAAGTTGCCCCTCCGCTCCACCCACCCAACCTCTCTGCAGCCAGACTCCTCGCGCTGGTTGTCGTTTTCGGACCTTGACACCTCGTAGGTTGTCCGCGTCAAATCGGAGCGGGTGGCACGTTTCGGAGGGAATCTCACGATGTGATTGCCTGAATGCTTGAGGACTAAGCTCTTGGTGGTCATGTGTTGTGCTTGCAGCAGCAACTCGTGCATTACATATAACTATATGTACATATATATATATACACATATATATATATATGCGGATTACTGTAATAATTATTGGTGTTGGGCTCGAAATGTCTTACAGCTGACGAGAGGCACCGCCACTAGGCACTTGTTGGCCGCATTGTCGACGTCCGGCTAGTACCCCACCTGTGGGACCGGACAAGAACAACACAGTTTCATGTTGCGGAGCAGCTTGGCAGCCGCTTGCAGGTTTGATCACCACTGCCCGTTCGTCAACAACTGCATTGGCCAAAGGACACTCCGTCGTTCGGCAGTGCGAGGTAGGTGCCAGCATGTACATCAGGAATTACGTGTTCTTTACCAGCTTCCTTGTGCCTGCCACTCAGTTAGCAGACTCACTTGGCAAAAGATTGGCAGCTCAGGGGTCACAGTAGCTCGGTGCTTTAGAAGTGACTTTTGAAGGTCCATTGCTTTCTTGGGAGTGGCCGAGCTCTCTGGCATTGGCTTGTGGTACTCGCACTCTGTCTTTGCCCTAGAGGGATACATGATACATGTAGGTGCGCCAGCGGCGGTTTCTTCGTGTGCGCGCAGGCCGGAGGCATCTCGGACGAGATGCTGACACTCCTCTTGCTTGCATCAGCCTCTGCATGGCAGGGTCGCAGGCTGTCCATTGAAAAAGGGCTCGCTTACAGCAGCCGGTTGCTGTTTATGGCCTTACGACAATGCCGAACCAGAGAACTTGCACGTGCAACGCCTCAGACAACGCTGCGCTTAGGCCCTCACCCCGGCACGCTTCTCAGCTCAGCAGGGTTGGCGAAGTTTGACGGAATGAAAAGCCAGTTCAACTCGAAACGCTCCATTTTGTCCGCTCTTCCTTTGTTTCACGAACGAGTTGGGTTGGAAGGTCTTGCCAAATTATGTCCCGGAAGCTTTCGCACATTCTGCTACTTGCCTTGGGCTCGGGCAGTCTCACAGCCAGGAAGTGTCAGAGTGCGGCAATGTTGGCTCTTCGCCTGGCCTCTCCTTTCCGCAGCGGAGTCCGCCACTGGTCGGCTTTCACCTGGCTGGGCTGCTTGGACTTGGCAAGCGGGCAGAAACTGCTAGTGTCGAAGCATGTGACCATGGACTTCTGATCGCCCAAGGCCGAGGCGTCACGGAGACTGTCAGTCCGAAGACCGGGCGCCTGAAACCGAACCTCCACCGTCTCCCCGAAAGCGAATGGATCCTCGTGGAAGAGCACGCTACTGGCAGCTCGGCAAAGCCAATGCACGACGAGGCGAGTGCCAAGGCGCCGCCCCTTCAGGATCCTTTTGCTGCTACTCTGCTACTGAAGCTTTCACAGCCCAGGCCCGGGAGCACTTCGAAATGACTCCGCTCAGGGGGCAGCGCAAGCCCAAGCTCGAGAGATGCTACGGCGGAAACACGAGACCTTCGAGTCGCCGGATCGCCAGAAGTACCTGTTGCAGATGCCCGGATCGATCGAAGCCCAAGCGGAGGTGCTGGAGATGCTGCTTGAGTACCTACCCCGAAGGTATCCCAACTGCTTTCGCGTCTCGCACGGTTCCGTCAAGTTTGGGCCAGACACCGTGGTCACGACGTCTGCTTATGACTGGCACGCAGAGTACAGGGTTGGAGATTTTTCTGAAAGCCCGATCGAGCTGGCATCTCGCCTTGTTTGTGAGGATCTCGTCGTGCTCCAGGATGGTGTGGTGTGTGCAGGGTCCGTCATGTTCAGTTTCAGCAACTTCCACAAGCGGTTCGGCATGGACATGAACCAGCTGCACTCCAAAGTTCCACAGTATGGCGCGGATCTGCAGAAGCCGGTTAATCGGATCTTCAACTCGTTGTCGCCGGATCGTCCGCTTTGTCGCAGCAACTGGAACATATCGTGGAGTGACGACATCATGGCCGGGTACAGTCGGTATCCTCACCGGAACCCGGGAATCTCAGCACAAGAGCGCGCAGCGTCCTTGACGAGACTGCGGAAGGCTGTCCTGGCACACGGCTTGGCGGACAGTGCGTGGCTGAAGGTCGAATATCAAACATTGCGTAGACTGCGCCACAATTCATCCTGCATTCTATTCACCATCCGCACCTTCCTCAATTCGTTCGCCGAACTTTCCAGCGAGCCTAATGCAGCAGGAAATCTGCTACTGAATCTGCAGCAGCTGCAGGGGAGAGAGTTCAGTCAGTACCTAGGTATCGACGACCCTGGAATTTACACGTTGGTCGAGGATTTCGTGACAGATGCAAGCTCTCCGCGCCAGGCTGATTGACGGCTCTTGGTGGTCCAAGGTGCCAAGGGTGACATAGGTTTCCGAACCTTGCTGCCAGTAGAGGAGCTTGCCGTTCAGCCAAACTCACGGACTTACGGGTTTTGCAACTTCACGGGGATCTGCGTCGGACTTCGCCGTGACCCCGGGTTGACTGCACTCAGCCGTCCGCATTTCCGTGCGCTTCCTCGAGTGCTGCAGTGCCGGGAAGCTTCTGCCGGCTGGTGAAAAGACAGCTCCATGCTAGCTGCCAGCTATGGTTAGTGCTGCCGCTGTTGCTGATCCTTTTTGTAGCAGGCAGCCGTGCTGCTGCCCTGCGTCCTCATGCTTGCGGGCTTCCACGCCTGGCTCAGTGTTGATGGCAGGAGTGAACATGCTCAGGGCAAGTCCTGTGCCTGTTGTCACTGTTCCGAGCTTCAACCATTTCAGGACCACAAAGGAGGTCCTCTCCAGCCGCTCTGGCACTGAAGTTCCATCAGGAGCACACTGGCACAGAGTGGCACATGCTTGCGGTCTTCAGAGTTTCGGCAAAGTGCTGAGTTTGTGCTTGGGCAACGTCCTGTCGTCAGGCTCAGCTGTGACATCCATCATGCCCACCCCTCAGGACGGTGGTTTCGTTGCACTTCGCTGCCCTTTCTGCGGCCGTGTACCTGCAAACCAATCAGGCTCAAGAAGCGCAGTAGGCCCATCAGGTCGGCCGCAAGAAGGCCTTTGAACACGATGCAGGCGCTGCTGTTCAGCTTTGCCCTTGGCAGTGTTGGCTTGCAACATGTGTCGAACCAGCGACAGCGACCAGCTGCATGCTGAGTCCGATACCTGGCCCAGCTCATTCTCCCTTGTCGTGTTTGCAGCAGTTCTGAAACCAAGGAGGTTTTCCAAGCTCCCGTGCCACTTCCGAATCTAATGCCACAGTATTTCCCTTCAATCAGAAGATGCTCTTGCCTCTGGTTGCACACAACCGTGTTCTGCACAGGGCCCTCTCGGCCATCGCCACACGTTCAGATTGTTGCAGGGAGCACCGATATGGATTTTGAAAGCTTGCGCCGAAGCCCGCAGCCTTTGCCGGCTTGGGATGCTGAACACGAGCCCCGACCGCCGACCGTGTCCTCGCCATGCTTCTGACTGATATCGGTTCGAAGCTGCGGGCTTTTCGTTGTTTCCTGTTCATGCTGACTACCGGAGAAAGCCCGCCTAACCTCGTATTCATCATCTGCACACCCGCATCTCGAAGTACTGGCCGTCGACGTGGAAGAAATGCTGGAAGCCGTGGGCGTTCTGTATGAGTGCTGAGTTGACTGCTCTTTTCGCAGCCGTCGTGCTGCGAGAACACGCGGCGAAGTGTCGAACTGTCACTGATACGCGGAGAATCGCAGGCTGAAGATTTGCAAGTCTTTGTCTTTACCAAACCGTTGCGGCGCTGATGCGACGCCAACAGTCAAGGGCCGTCTGGGAACTGCGGTGCCAGCGGAAAGGAGGATGAGATGGGCTTCGTCCAAGCTTCACAGCGGATGCGGCCATCGATGTGTTGCTTGAAGTGGTCAGAGTCCGGCCATGTCTGGCCACAGAGCGCCCTCCGGAACTCCGGGCCGGGCATGCAGCGGACACCCAGACAAGTGGGTCACCGTAAGACTGAGGTTAGTCTTGTTCGACACCTAGAGGTCTCTGATCGATGGCGGGTCCACCCCAAGCCGAGCCTGTAGCCCGGATTGGCGCCCAGGGACATCCCACAGCCGATGTGGCGCCTGCCGCCCGGCAGAAGGGGCTTCGGGACTTGACAGTTCAGCGATTGGCGATGGTTAGCATGTAAACCCGATTTCAGGGTTCAGGATGGTTGAGGGCTGTTTGGGATTTCAGGGCAGGGTGCTTTTGAGTTGGAGGATTGTGCGGGTTTGGTGGTTTGGAGTTTCGTTAGGGAGGCTTGGGATGTGTGGCGAGGCGTTTGGTCTAGGACCATGAGCCCGTGTAGATCGGAATGCCCGGGATGTGGCACCCAGGTTTACACCTCGAGGCCCTTCATTGCTACCAGTGTGCAGAACTTAGATTCCAGAGTTGCATCGATGTTATTACGGGTGCTGACTGTGTGGGCCAGCTGGTTCAAGCCGTGCGGCTTGTTCAAGCGAACAGCAGCGCACGTCATACAAAATTCTTGTCACGAGTGCACTTAGAGTTGTTTGAACCTTCTGGCTTGCAGCGTGCAACACCAAGGTTTGCCAGACTGCACGCAGAGCCTTGAGATACCATTGCTGGAAGTCAAGAAAGAGTCGAGCTTGCGGTTCAGGGCTGCAATCCTTGGTAACCCGAAGTGTGTGACCCTCAAGCGAAATCTGCGAGGAGAGGAATGGCACCCGCTTCACAGATTCACACTAGGTGATGTGCTGAGTCCTCCGAAGCTTTCCGTAAAAGTGTGTACTGAAGAACACGTAAATTGGGGGCGGCTGGAAATTGCGCGCTTTGCGAAACCATGAGGATGGTCGGATGTGCAGCGAGGTGGGCGAAACTCTCACAAGAGCTGAATGTTGGCGTCCCGCCTCGTTCAGAACCCGAGCGAAGCGGATAGAAGCGCACTGAGGTTGCGCTTGTTCACCGCATGTCTGGTTGCTTCGTCACTTTATCTTTATCATGCTGCTTCCCACTCCAGCCGCTCCATTCCGAAAGCGCCTCTGCTGCTTGGGGCTCGAGCATCCGAAGTAGATTCCGTGGCTCTGGGCCGCCGTTAGGAGATGTTCGGCCCACCCTCACCGCTGTCAAAGAGCAGGCTGAGAGGGACGCTTCAAAGTCGAAGACTTTCGCCGAGGGGTTCCCCTCGATCACCGGGATCGGGAACCCCAAGTGGCGAGGGCAAAGTGTCCTTCGGCTTGCCCAACGAGGTCAAGTCTCCTAGATTCCGCTCGGGCAATAAGTCCGTGCCAGCACCGCTCAAGCTGGAGGAGCTCCAGTCCGATGACGTCCCGAGCTCCAGTCCGAAGCGAGCCACAAGCCAGACGCCCCCAATGTCTCCCACGAAGGAGTGGGGTGCAGAACGCGTGCAAGTGCTGTGCGCCTCCCCGGCCAGCGGAGCCGTGACTCCCAGCTTTGCGGTCATCCCACCGCACTTGCCCGGGGCTTATCTGGCGGCACGCATTGAACTTCTACTTTATAAACTCGCTCAGTTTTCACTCCTTCTGTTTCTGCTTCGCATTGAGCGCCAAGGTCGGACAACGTCTTCCGGAGCATTTCTGTTGCTTCCACGGCCCCTCGGGCTCAGACTATCGCAAACGATCTTCGTGCTTCCTGCTGCTGTTGCGGCTGCCGTCGTAAGTATGGTGACTATGGCATAGTTTCAGTGCTGTGCAAAACGAGGATGAGCTATAAGGCCGGTATCGAATGTTCAAACCAATACTGCTCGACGGCATCGGGCACGATTCCAAGTTTCGAGTTAGAAGCGCGGCGCTCCGGCGTGTGGCCGACCCGATCTTGAGACCCCGAAGACCGCAACCACGCCTGGTCTTAAACTCCTACAAAGGCTCACACAAACTACACCAACTATTCTGCAGCCCACAGTCTCGAACTCAGCAGGAAACTGTTGAGTTGGCATCTGCTGGGAGTTTTCTGTTCGCGAAGCAGAAGGTGACGACAGCTCCATTGTGTCCGCAGCACAAGCAGCCGATGCCCCTGAAATTGTAGCACAGCCTCTGATGGACCCGAATCGACGTTGCAAGGCACTTGCAGCTGCTTCGGAAGCCATGCGGCAGGAAGCAGTACGGATCCTGGTGTGGCGAGACAGTACTGGCTGGTGAACTTGCGCGCTGCGCTGCGTCCGAGCAGGTCAAAGCAGCAACGGCCCGGCAGCAGCTGGAAGACCAGTCCAGGCCAGCGCAGAAGCGGGGCCACGCGCCATTCCAGAACAGAGCATTCTGTCCATGTCATGTCTTCGCACTAGATCTTCTGAATGGGGGTTGTGGTCTCTGCATTGCAGGCGCTTGGAGGCCCAACTGGCCGCCACCAACCAGCAGTCCCTGCCTGTTTGAGGTCATTGACGCGCCTTGATTGGACTTCGCCGTAGAAGCGCGCAAGCGTGGCCTAGCACAGCAAAGCTTTGGCAGGTATTGGGTTCTTGCTTTCTGCCAACGCCTTCTAAGATTCTACTTGCTTGCCAGGATCCTGCAGCCGCTTATGTCGCCTCGAGTCCAGCATCTCCTGCACCAGCACCTCGGCCGGGCTTTGACGTCTTCCATCAAAAGACAAGCTCAAAGACAAAGGCTTGAGCAGGGCGTGGCCGCATCGCCCTCGTCCATGCCATGTCGACATCGCTACCCAAGGATTCAATCGCCGAAGCATTTCGCGGCTCCACAAAGTCAATCCACCCAGGTGTCTGCGTCAGATCGTTCTATCTGAAGAATCAGGTTTGGTCTGTTGACTTGCCTGGGCTGCAGGCGCCATTCCTCACACACGGCTATGTTGGCGGCTACGGACACAGCTCTGGTTCCTGCTCTGCGGCTCCCGTTACCGTTCGAAGGCGCATAGACACAGAGCGCACTAAATGAGCAATGACAGCCATGACATCCCCTGCCGAGCACGCCAGGACAGTTCGTGTTGCGCCGCCGAGAGTGGAGACCCGAGCTTTGGAGCTGCTCAATGCCGGGTTGAAGTTAATGATTCGTTTGTCGGCTGACATTCCCAGTTTGAGCTCTCAGTGCCTTTGGAAATCTAGAGTCTCAAGCTGTTACGACTGTGACGACTGGGCAGGTGGTTAGCCAGGTGCCCGCGCGCACCTCTGCCGTAGCGGTGGACAGCTGTGAATGCAAGTGTTGGGTCAATGACCAGTTCTGAAATCTAAGCCCCTGAACGTTCACGCACATGCGCATTATCTGCAAGGTTGCCGCTGCCCCAAAGCAAGTGATACCCGGTCCTGAGGCCACCCACCAGGCATTCCAGTCAGCAACACGGCTTGCTGTCACCCTCCGTCCATAGATCCAAAAAAGCAACATGGTGCAGGAAGACAATGCTAGGATCGACCAACAGTCGGTTGCCTAGTTATCCAAAGTTGGGGCAGGGCAAGCGCCGGTCGTGTTCGGAAGCTGTAGTGGTCAGATGCCCAGGCAGCTGTCGACATCATCCTCCGTGGGCTGGCAGCCCACTTGTTTTAAATGTCTAGTGCGGAAGAAGCATGTGCAAAAAGGCGTGCAAACATCCTGCGAGCTGCCAAGTGAAGTGCCCGCGCAGGCCGGCGTTTCGCTTCAGTAGCGCTAGCCGAAAGATTCCGGGCTAGGGGTTGCCAGATGGTCTGAGTGCGCTTGGCTGTCCGCGCTTGAGCGATGAGCGTTCCAGGACCTCGTGCTCAAGGAGATCGCGGAGGCCTTGCCTGCCCTGCTCATGTGGTGCATGAGACCCGAACAGGGTTTAGGATGACGAGGAGAGAGAAGACAGGGAGGAGAGGAGTGAGCTCCGAGGCAGTCGCATTCGCCTCTCGAGATCTCGGCACGGAGGGGCGTTCCTTGGAGCAAGTGAAGCAGGCCGACTAATGTTGCCAGAGACTGTGCCAATTCAATCCGACTTGACCTGTGCAGGACCGCGACTGCATTCGACAGGCTCATAGACTCACTGGGGCCTTTCGGGCAGGTTGGACGAAACGGATCAGCTTTGTGTCAGGCCATCGCCAAGGGCCGAGCTGCTGGTCTGTCCGAGGCCCCACTCCGCCCACACTGCCCCTTACGGGCTTCTTTCATCTGCGTGAGCGACAGGAGGAGCTGGCCACGGCTGAACAGCACCGGCGTCGACTACATAATCTGTACCAGGAGCTCCACTTGGGCCAGACATTACGCCGGGGCAGGGCGGGTCGATGGGACTGCTGGGCAGGACTTGAAGGGGCAACTACGGGTCTACTGCCGAGCTGGGCCCTTTTTTGCAGACTTGATTTCGCAGGCTTGTTGAAGCTTCAACCGTCGACGGGACCGAGGTCAGGCCCCTGAACTCCAGGGAAAGACGGATTGGTGACAAGGAAGCAATGCAGGTCGTCGATAAAAGCACCCTCGAGGTTGGCAGCAAAGTCCTCCTTTGACTGGCCCAGAAACAAATCATGTTCCAGGTTCGTAGCACTGGCGACGTTTTCGAATTCGTCTCGACCTCAGTTTCTGCACACCCAGCGTTCCTAAAACTGGTGGATGGCTCTTGAATTGAAACGGAAGCCGAGGATGGAATTTTCGGGAGTTCCGATTCGCAGGCATAACGCAAATAGATTCGACAATGACTCTGCCTTTCTCGTTTTGGCTTGGAATCAATGAGGCTGATGTCTTCGAGGACTGCTGTGACCTGGCCCAGTCTGCTGTGGACGGTCAAAATGTTCCTCGGCGGCCTTGGGAGGAACCAGCCCTGCAGAAGGGGTCACCTGCTGGGGAAATAGGGCTGTTGACAGGAGTTTAGGGCACCTGGTAGCGCAGCGCACATGAGCGTGGGGTGGGGTGGGGGGGGAAACGACCGATGATTGAGGTGACGGTGTTTTGCTATGGCATTACTGGCGCTGGCAAGACTTACACCATGCCGGGACCTTACCTTCGTCGTCCGGTGCCATTTGCTGCAGCTGGAACCATCTTCCCCGGCAGCCGAGACATATCAGAAAGGCAAGCCTTCTCAGCTTCCGCCAACCAGACATCTGCGGAGCATGCTGTCTACGTAAGACATGGGACAACTGTCATCCTGGCTGCCGCGACACCCGACACGTCCCACAAGCGGCAGAAAGGCGTTTGGAATCCACTTACTGCATGCACGGCAACACCCGAAGGCAAGGCAAAACATGCAGGGAGGAAAAGGCCATGAAGAGGAAGAAGCATCACGTCCAAGCAACTGTTCCTTATATTGGTCCTTCGAGAGGGCCTGCGGCTTAGGTATGGGACTCCAGAAGAAGATGGTTTGGCGCAGAGGATGTTTGGCGAGGTTTTTGCGCAGGCGGGAGTAGGGCATCATCTCGGGGGGCGAGAAGGTGTGCGAACTGGCAGGTTGACGTGCGACCTCAGGTGGGGAGCCAAAGAAATTCGGAGGTGCACGGCGGCGTTTGGAGATTCATTTGCCAAAGCGCCAAGGCGAGTGTTACAGTCATGGGATCCATGTCAGAGCCTCATTTAGCGCTTCACAAGATACCCCTTGGGACATGGTCGAGGGAGTTGCTTTGACTGGTGACAGGATGGAGCTGTACAACAACTACCTCGTCGATCTCCTTCGCCCGATTGACTGGCAAGGCACGCCGCGCGGCAAGGGCCATGAGATGCCACGAGGCGGGTTATTCTGGGCCCTGGCCATCCTGGCCTCTGGCAGGTAGACAAAGCCCAGCCTTGAGCTTGAAGCTGGACAGGTCAGGCACGGTCCAGGCACAGAGCGGAGAGTCGGCCTGACGATTTTTCTAAGCAACGACAAAGCTCAACCAACGAGACACGCAAAGGAGAGGAGCATCGCGAACCACACGTGCACGCCTTGTGTCCCACAACATTTCTGGCTCGAGAGTGGAGGGACGGCAGCTGTGCGAATCCTCGAGGCTCATTGAAGGGGTCCGCCAGTTTCTGTGATCGCTTGGCCATTCGTGTGCACACCGGCTGCAGGCGTTTCGTGTCGCACAGGCTGTCCCGGAATCACAGATGAGGCCCAGTTTGGTGGTCGCTGTGCATGCAGCTGGAGATTTGACTGGCTCATTCAGATTTTGGCGGATTCGTCGCTCTGTTGACATGTTCTGAACTTTTGAAGCGTCGGCAGCCAGGACCGACACAACCGAGCTGCTTAAACTTGGAGCAGCTTTGGCAATCACGGCCGGAAGCACGGATTGCACTGTTCTGCTCGCAGAGCTCGCAGCTTCGGCATCTGCATTCGAGGTCGCCATCTGCCGTTTACTGTGGGTGAAGGGCACAGGATCGAGCAAGACAAAGGTGGCGGAGCCAGGAAGCCCTAAATCGCCGGGAAACCGCTCGGCGACGCCTAAGGCATCCAACGGTGCCGCCCCCAGCCAAGGCTGTGCTAATCCAGTAGTCTCTGAAAAGAGCTGACTTGCGCGCAGTTTGTTGCGGAGTCGTGCCATGCAGTACTTGACGAGCTTCAGGCACTGCAGATGATCTTTGGATTTACTACGGTTCTCAGATCCTCGGATAGCATGCAGCCGCTGCTTCAGCAGGGTGAAACGTGTTCTCGGACTTGTCGTTGCTGTCGCACGAGCAACCCACCAAAAAGAACTTAACCAGCCCACAGTTGGCACGTCTTTTGGACCGTGCAGGGTTGAGATTCCTTGCAGAAGTCAACCTTCCCGCATTAGAAACCTCCGCTGTCGTTTAGTGCCAGTGCTCAGCCTTCCAGTTGACGGCCTTCTCGGCCTCCCAGTCTGCGATCAATCGCAGAGCTTCTTCAGCCTTCAGCACCTACATGGAGTGTCTCTCAATGCACCCCTGAAGCGCTATGTTGTGTTTCGTCGTGGGAGCTGCATGCGCTTGTGAGGGGCGTGGCCGCTTGGGCAAGAAGTCCGTGCTGCAACGGAAGATGAAACTGATGAAACCTGGACTGTGAAATTCTCACTTCATGTTGAGCTTTGGGCTTTGGGAAACTCCGGGAATCAGCCAGTCCTTGCTAACGCAAGGAGTTGCCTTCGTGTTGTCTCCAATGCCGCGCTGTTGCAATCCGACCCTTTGAGCCTGAGGTGCCAGTATAAGGCCGCGAACATGCAAAAGAAAGCGAGAGTATTGCTGCTTCGGCTAGAGTCGAGAGCGGGTATGTGGCTGGGCGAGTCGCGGCAAGATGGGACTCACGCGCGTAGAAAGCGGGCTTGTCATTTCATCTGGGTGCTGCTGGCATCACGCACCACTGTGCTGGCACAACATGTTCAACTTAAGTCCGTTTCTCCTCCGTCAGTAGATGATGCACTGCCACGCAGAACTGTCGCCGCTGAAGAGCAGACTCAAGGTTCGAGAACGTCGCGGCAGAACTAAGTAAAGCTCCAGGACTCTAGGACTCCAGGTAGTGAAGCTATCCGGAGCTTTGGAGGATGTATGGGCCTGAGATGCCATGCCCCAGCCGCCCCCTAAGCGAGCCTTTTGTGCATCGTGTGCAACCGAGTCTGCGCTTAGTGCGCAAATTGTGAAAAACACGATCAACTAGCCACTATTAAGTTTAGTGTTCTGAGTACCAGATACTGCTCTTACAAGTATTGCTACTATGATTATTACCATTGCTATGTATATTTCTATTGCTGTTGCTATGGCTACTGCCACTGCCAGTAATGGTCCCATTACTAGTATGATTATACACTTACTAGTCTTTTTTCTCATGATTATTGTTGTCATCGTCATTGTTTCAATTGATTACCCATCTCTCACTCTTTTTGCTGTTTTCCCTTTGTCGTGTTTTGCGTGTTATCGCGTTTGTTGGCCGTTTGGCATTTTTCGCGTTTGTCGACCTTCTCCCGGTTTCCCGATGCCACGGGCTGCTACCTACCATAGGTATCACGAGCTATTACTACTGCTACTGCTGTTGCTTCTGATGCTAATGCTGCTACCACGACTACCAGCAATACCAGCAAGGACACGAACAACAGAAAAGTACGCACAACGAAAAACACAACACAAAGACAATGCGAACAATTAAAGGACTGGATAACCTCAAACGACAAGTTTCTCCCGTATGCCAAGATGAGCTCAAGGGGTCATGGTGGTGCCCTCTAGCGTCAGCGTTGAGTCTCGTTATGTCTCGTTACAGTCTTCCGTTGTGTGTGTTGTGTGCGTGCTGTCGGCGGGACGCGCGGGAAGGAAGGAAGGACTGGCGGATGGGCGGAGGGTGACAGCAAAGACAAAAAACCCACACTGTGATGTTGGGAACTAAGTATTATCAGTACTTGGTGCTAGATGTTATTCTTGTGTTATTGCTATTGCCATTGGCATAGCTATTGCTAGCGCGATTTTACCATTACAGTCTTCTTACCACTACCATGACTATTGCTATTGCACTACTACTGGTACTCTTATTTCTACTATGCTTACGGCTACAACGACTTTCCCGGTTTTGGCTGTTTTCGAGTTGTTCGCGCTTTTCGCATCGTTTTGTGCTTTTCGTGTTCGTCTTTCAGTTTCTGTGTGTTGTTCATGTTCCGCTTTTTGAGCATTTTCCCGTTTTCCGGGTTCACCTCCGCTGCGCATCCGCTCAGCTGAGACACACAAAGCGTTTCCAAAGGTCCCCCGGCCTCCCCTCTTCTATGGTCTGAATGGCCAGGGGGGTTATCATTCGAAGTGCGGGCATCGCGGCGTGGGTGGTTCTGATATCAAGATCCCAAAGCAACTGCTTTGAAGACTCCAGGCAATCCTGTCTAGGCAATCTCTTGTTGTAAGGGCTGGAATTGTGGGTGCCATGGAGGCGGCATGGCGAGGCCAACCCCACACCAGACCATGGGCATGGGCGGGGCTGCCACGTAGTGGTGCCGACATGTAGCATGTGTGCCGGGGCCATGAATGTGATAAGTACAAGCTTGAGCCAAAGAGTTTGCATCCTGCATTCTGGCTTCAATCTGGAGTGCAAGGACGGGGACGGCAGAAGGATTCGCCCAGGAACTAGAGCAGGAGTTTCAACATGGGTTGTTGGCGGGCGTGCACAGACCCAACTGTCGGAAACTTGCAGAGGAGGCTGCAAACCACGAAATCGGTGCCACAGTTGTCGATCTGGAGGATGTGCTCCTGGTTCGAGGAGGTATGCTGCCGAAATCCATGTGGTGCCAGGACTTCGATCCAGACACTTTCAAGACGCACAAGGCACACAGGGAGAGCCTGCCATGAACTTTGCCACTTCTGGCTATGTCCAGTTGTTTGAGGCCGTGGTGATGGTACTCGCCACGTACGGTGAGGGAGATCCCACGGACAATGCCACAGAGTTCTTCAAGTGGCCGCTTTGCCGAGACACGGCGAAGCATGCCGAATCTGAGAAAGGGGAGGAAGGCAAAAGTCATGCAGCGACGAATACCCAGTAAGGCACCTGTGGTGGCAAAACGAAGTTAGGCTAAGACGACAGCCTTTTGAGATTGCCGGAGCATGCCGAATCATTACCGCCGAGGCTGGCAGATGACAGTGTGGACACAGACTACTTGAAGGCCTTATTTCAAGTTCGGGAGTGGTATGATTTGTCGTGGTGTGACCTGCCCAGCTCGGTCCAGTTGGGCCAGGGAATGAAGTTCACCATCATGGGCTGCGGAAATCGACAGTACGTCCACTTCAACCAAAGTGCGAAAATTGCCTGGAGCTCATGGTCGGATGACTTTTTTGCCACTGCACTGTCCTCGATCTGCTCGCTGTGAGCTTAGGCAGATCAGCGATTGGAGTGCCTTGGTGCGGAACGCGTTTACGAGCGTGGAGAGGGCGACGACGACCAAAACATCGAAGAGGACTTTGAACAGCAGGGCCCTTGAACTACTCTTGATTTGTTCATGCAGGCTGCAGCTTGCACTGTTTTGCTAAGATGGCGAGAGAATGGCTTGTGGCCAGCTCTGCGGAAGGCTTTGGGCCTTGCAGGGTCAGAGAACGCCAAGGACTCGTCTCGCAGAACCTAACAATGCCGTCGGCGCATCGAGCTGCGTGGTTCCAAACTTCGAGGACGAGCATGCCGTGGAGACCGCGGAATCGGCTATGTACTCAGCAGATGGTATTTCACGGCTTGTTGTAGAGGATTCGTATAAATCCCGCCGACAGCACAGCTTGAGCTTCAGTCCAGGTTGCAGCTCTCTCTTTGTCTCTCTCTGTCTCCTTCCCCTGTCGGTTCTAACATGTTCCCTGGTTGTTTTGTCCCTTCCCTCCTTGAACACGCACACATGCACAAACGAGCCAGAGGGCAAGCAAGCAAGCAAGCAAACAGACGAAAGACACGTTTGTTTTTTTCATTTTCGGCGCTTTGCGTGGTCAGAACTACAGTGAGCACAGCCCGGCATTTGCGTGGCCATGCCACAGCGGATAAACAATGCGATCGTGGAGAGCGCTAATTTGGCGGATTGACTTGACAATCGAATCTCCACTTCCTGATGGAACGTTACAACACGGATTTTGTAAGCCCATTCCCAGCTGATGCAGGACTTGAGCCTGGGTTCAAAATAATCTTGCAAGTGAGCACTCCAAGGAGCCGTGCACTTGTGGCATTTGTTGCCGGAAGCGGTCAAGCAGCTGCTGCAAAAGCGCTGGTTGATCCCAGATCTCGGGACAGTCTGAATGAGGGACCGTGTCAATGCTTTCGGTGCAGACGCGAAGCATGCGACGTGCGACCGCCACTCTTCATGATTCCAAGTAAGCAGAGTCACTGCAAGAGATAAGCGGCTGCACGTACTTCCGGCCAGGTCCCAATCGATACCCTTTTCTTTTGGTCCTCGGGCAGGGTCAGGGAATGAAGACCCGAAGCCTTCAGGCCAATTTTGACCATCAGCTCGAACCTATGCAGTAGTGGCCGATGTGGAGCAGAATCAAGTCGGCCGTGTCAATTCTCGAATGGGCTCAGGGTCTTACGTTGCAGTCAGAGTGCAGCAGGCCTTGATTTGCTTGCAGTTCCTGCGAGCACCATTGAAGCACAATCTGTCACAATCTTTTTCTCCGGCCATGGCCTTGGCCCCACAGAACTGCAGCACCCTGGGCCTTATCCAGAATTTGCACCATAGACCACGCAAAACAACCCCGACCTTTGCAGGACACAAACAGCGACGGCAGCGGCAGAGTCAAAGTGGAACTGCCCCACATCTTCCCGCCACTCAGGTCGTGAAGCGTCTTCCTCTGAAGCTGGAAGTTTCGCAGAACATTAGGAACTTGCCGGTGGACCCCTTGGTGCAGGTTCCCACCTCGGCAGAGGGTGTAGGCATTGTGCCGACACATTAGCTGAATGCTATATGTTAGCAAGGTCGGTGGTGCAGACGTTCTCGGCAAGCCCTGTGCCAAGTACTTCTGCTCAGTGGCCACTCGACCGGAGTCCTTCCACGCAAAGGTGGTACTTCCAGGCATCGCAAGCTTCTGTCGCTGTTTGCGACGAGCTGCGTCAAAAGCCCAATGCCGATGCCGGCACGGTGCCTACGGCATGCTCCACGTGCCCGTTCACGTAGTCAGCAGAGCGTCTAGGGCCTCTGGGCCTCCATGTAGCAACGCGTGAGGATCCATGTATAGTTGATTGGAGACCTTCAGCACCGTCTGGGATGACTCTTGAGGCAAGACCACGAAGCACATTGAATTCAACGTGCAGCAGCTACCAGCTGTGGACTGGCGAACTGCAGATAACCTCGAGGCCACGGATCCGATGCTTAGCAACATGACTGTGTCTTTTGCTCGGTTGTGCCCGACATTCATGTACTTATCAGTCTGGTAAGCTTCGAGGATCTTCGAAGTCAGGCCATGCATGCTTGGCGGTGCCCGCAGCTAGTGGTGCTCGAGGGGAAACCCACGCAGCAGGTCTGAATGCCGCGGTGTTGGGGCTAGTGGCGAGACTGCCATGGGATGTGGCGCTTCCCAGGCAAGAACCCATTTACAGGAAGCGCCAGCGCCATCAGAAGCCACCACTGGGACTACGAAGACGTCGGAGTCGGCGAGGAAGGTCGAAAAAATCGAAATTGATTCCGCGGCCGTGGTGGAGTCATGCACAGAAAGCCCAGTGGCGAGTCCAATGGCAAGTCCTGTGGCAAGCCCACTGGCCAGCGCTCCCAGCGCCGCAACTCCTGCCAGCCCCTCCAAGTCTCGACGAGCTCCAAAGGCTCCGCAGGCCACGTGGATCGAAAATGGACCTCGCAGCTATAGGAAAACACCCGCAAGAGCGACTGCCATGCGAAGGAGACTTGGTAAAGGTATAGGTCTTGTTGTTCCTGTCGGCTTTCACTGAAATTGGCGATCTCTTTATCGTGTTCAGGGCGGAGATAAATGAGGTCTTCTGAAGGGACTTTACTGGTTGTGCCTTGCTGACAAAAGTCCTTCAGAGCACAGAATTGTAACGGTGGGTGTGAATTGCATGCGGTCCTCATCGGAGCTTGTGTTGCATGCGACTCCCTGCCGCGAGCGGCGAGTGGCCTACGATACTGAGTGGCGCATTCGAGGCGAGGGTGCGCTCGTCAGGGATATCTGGAAGTTCAAGTGCTTACTATACTTACTTGTGCTACTATACTATATAGTGCTACAGAGAAAATATTCCAAATCCAAAGCGCCCGCGCCTGCTGTACGGTCAGAGTAGCATAGCACTCGTGGCAAACATCAAGCACACTTACAAGGGGGAACGGGTGGATTACAGGAATATGCCAGTTCTCTCGGGATCAAACCGAGGAACTCTGCTCCCGAGAATCGTGATGCGCCTTCTTCGGAGCAAGCTCGTCTGCATCACAGCTGCAGAACAGGGTTTAGGTTTCGCTATGTCTCGGTTGGAGATACCTGCGCATTATGAGGCTTTGCTTGCCTGAAGCCCCAGGAGTGTCTGTGCGAGCTTAAGTGCCACCTCAGCGTCGCCATCGTTGTCCTCGCCGCAGACTGGTGAGGTTCTGCTACCGGGAGCTGTGAGGGGCACCACAGGTACACGTGGCCCCGTGGGCACCACGAGCGCCTCCAACGAGGCCACCCCAATCATAGCAAACACTTTAAGCAGCTCGACGACGCTGGCGAGTGTGGACACCGAGGAAGGGCAAGGCCCGATCCTTGCTTTTTGGATGTCAACTGCAGCCTCCGGCTGGTATCCACATTCGAATCCAGGACAGCCGGCATCGCCTTTGAATGTCGGGTCTTTGAGATCCGTGAAATCCGTGGACCAGTGCCTCGGCTGTTGTAGCCTTCGATTCGAACCCGATGGTGCTCTCTTGGCCGCTCAGGAGAAGCATGGCAGGACCTGGGGGGTTGCTAGCATTTTGAGCTGAAACATGCATTGCAGGTGTCGCCAAAACTTGCCAGGAGGCGAGCCGGGCCCGGGGTACTTGACAGACATCCAGGTGGGTCAGCTGGGCCAGACGCTTTGCTCAACTGATATAGGAGACAAGAGCATTCAAAGTGTCCCAGATGATGCGCGACGCAAGCTGCAGAGCCCTCGCGCACGAGGATATTCAGTTTCGTGGACAAGAACGGTGACGGGAAGCTGACGAGGAAGGAACTGTTGATTGGCTTGAAGAAGTCCCCTGCCGTGGCATGGCTGAATGGCCTTGTGGTAACGGGTAACGTCGTCTTCCAGAAGGTCCAGATGCTGAGGTCACGTGCAGGAACGAAGAGTCAGACCAAAGCTGGGAAGGTTGCAAGACGTTCAGCGTCAGTCATAGGTGTCCGATCGACACCCCATTGTCTTGATTGGATCCATGCTGAGGTCCGCACCCTCTTTGAGATCTCTGGAAGCGATCTAGAGCATATCCAAGCAGATTTTGAGGGCCAAGGCAAGCCAGGGAACCTTCTGTAAGCACGCCATGCACGTCTTGAAGCCGTTGCGACTGCGCGGTTGGATCGTCCTGAAGTGCGCTTGTGGCGAAATTCGGCTTCTCAGACAGAGGCTTAGAGAGGTGCGGTAGCATGTTTGGGCGATTTACCCGAAAGCTAAAAACCCATAAACATCGTAGGCCACTATCGTGGGCCATAAATATTTATAACCGATGACTTCGTTCGAAAGGCCGCCTGGGCTCTGCAGAAGGGCGGTGGTGCCTCTTGCGCCTCCGCTGCCTTGGAGAGTGTTCCACTTCGATACATGATCCGGAGCTCAGTCCGCGTTCTCTAGTTTGTGCTGCCAGCTTCGAGATTCGAGGCCATCCTCTAGTCTGAAGAAATCGAAGGATTCTCTTGGACTCCGACCTGGGAGACATGAAAAAGTATCTGTGTTATAAGGACATCGGCGGACGATGTCTTGAAGAAGGCGGAGTTCATCAAGCACTTTCTACAAAACCCAGAGCAAGCGCTCAAAGGGCCGCTCGGCTCAAAAAGGGACAAACAAAGAACAAGCGAAGGTTCGCAGCGTTCGCATATCTTCGTAACTTCTGTCCAACCTGAGGATTCGTTTACACTGCGGTGATCCTGACAGACCCAAGTTTACGGCAACGCAGGTGCGCAGTTTGGCAGCATGTCCCCGGATCGAAACATGATCTTCCGCTGAGCAGTTCGGTATTGGATGGCACATGTCTTCACATGACCTCACCATTCTGTCGCAGTGCTGATGCCCGGCTGGTGCTCTGGTTCAGTTACCTTCTGTTGGACCTGTCAATAGTTCGAAGGTGCTGGAAGGGGTCTCGAGCGAATGAAGAGCCCCTGCGTTGCTCACTGCCCCTATCATGACTCAGTTCGAATCTTCGCAGGACTGGCAGCCTGTCCCTAAGGGAGCTGCTTGCCCTCCAGGCTTAGAGTACAAGAGCCACGGCTGGACTCGATTTGGATCTCTGCTTCAGCACACAGTCATCGGGCTGTGGGGGAAAAGCTAAGGATGGATCTGGCAACAGGAGAGACCCTCGGTCGCCTTTGCAAAAGCAAAACGTGAAGTTTTGGATTTGTATACTCCACCTTCACTTATTCAGCGGCTGTTCTTCACAGCACGGGGGGGGCCCTTCAGCTCCAGCAATCGTTCTCGTGCCAGCATAGCAGGGGTCCAGAGGACATCCCAGGCATGCTGGAGAAGCACGGATGCCAAAGGCTCTGCTTTTGAATAGTTTGAAGGGCGCTCTGCACATGCTTTCCATCCTTGGTTCGAAGCTTCGATAATCATCACCAGACCGCGTTAGACTTGCAGACCAAGAAGCAATATGGAAAGAAGAGTGGTTTTGGCCACATGACCGATGACGGTTCCTGCGCGAAGCGGAAGGCAAAACGGCCAATCTGAACTTGCTGACTGCAAATGATTCGCGGTACGCGAACATCTCCCGAGCCGAGTCGGATTGATGAGGCCCACAACAAAACCACAGCCAGGTCTTGCCCGAGAACCCTGACGATCTGGTGCAGTGGTTTGCTGAGCGTCTTGGCGTCGGCGACCAGCTGCAAAGTGAAATGCGGCTTGTTTTCCTTTCGCCTTTGGTGACGCGAGCTGCCGTGCTTTTGACGTGAGCCAGGCCACGTGACGTTCGTCCGGTCCTGTGCCGAGGGTAAAGCAGCGACTGGGCCTTCACGGTGCGAACTGGACCTAGTCAAGATTCCTTCCCAACTTCCGGAAGTTGGTAAGTCAGGAGAGGCAAAGTGCCACTTGCTTTTTTTTTTGCAAGGTGAAGAAGCCATTCCCGACACCATGCAACGTCCAAGTGGCACTGTCGCTGTACTGCGACCTCTGCACTTTGCACAGGTGTCGGGTGTGGGGATGGGAGTGGGGGTCATGAACTCTGTATCTTGCCTTGTTGCAGCTCTGCTTCAGGGCTTGTTGCAAGCGCCTTGCGCCCTTCGTGCGGGACGAAGCAGACAGTGCAGCACTCCAGACCCTCCTGCAGGACCGCGAGGCAGGCGTTGTGTCTCGAGTCAATGAGTCAAAGAACTACTTTCTGCCGTGCGCCTCCGCCATATAATCAGCTGGATACGTGGAGCTTTTCCAGAATCCACGGTTTGTCCAAATGGTCCAAATTAAATGCTTGTGGGCCAGATGGCTTCAGTGACGAATTGCGTATGCTGCAGTTGCGCTGCTCTCTGGAAGGCTTTCCAGATTCTAGCTGATGGCCGGATGAGTATGCGAGACTTTTTTGAGCATGGCCCGCAGTGCGTACAGAGCATTCCGTTGTTCTTCTTACCATGGCTCGTGCAATCTCGCCCAAGGTTGTTTATGCCATCTGCCGAAATCGACTTCTCTGCCTTTGTACAGCTTTGTCAAAGACAAAAGAACAGGCGAGCTCATGAAACAGTCTGCCTCCCGCAGCATGTGCTCTGGGGTGATGAGTTGCATCAAGGCCCTACACCATAGCGTCTTCTTCGAAGGAAGACCCCAACAGGCTGCTGAGATTTGGTCGTTGCATCGCCGCAAGTTTTGTAGAGTCTTGAGCTTGCCAGGATAGCCATCTGCGTCAGCCTGGTCCAAGAAGAGGGCAAGAGCCCAGAAGCGGCCCTGAAGGCCCGCGGAATTCGATGGAATCATGCCGTGGATCTTTCATGGACTTAACCTTAACGACGCAAGCGAAGTTCTTCTGTAGGGACTGTAGGGTAGATCTTACTTAGTATGCACTCGGTCTTATGCGATAACTAGGGTAGCGAGATGTCGGCACAACACACAGACAGACACCGGATGCATGACGATAAATTCAGGCAATGGCAAGCCCCATACACAAGATGGAAGGGCTAGCGACATGCTCTCAGCCTCAAGAGAGCAGCCAGCTTGTCGCTAAAGATAGAGCAGGAAGCATGACTTCATGCGTTTGCACTTCTCCACAATCCACCGCATTGTGGATTCGCTTCAACTAGAATGCCACACAAACGGCTATAGAAGGAACATTCTGTCTACATTATTATATGGCATCGAAGCCTCAGTACCGCAGCATGTTTTGAATCGCGAATCCTGTTCGAGGAGCTGGCTGACCGTGGAATTCGAATCCCACGTGCTGATGCATTCCTGCAGAAGCTGGGAGAGACCGCGGTCAAGCCTAGGCCGCTTTCCAGTGCTGCATGCTGCTGCTCTTGCGGAGCATTGTCCATGCATGACGACTGCCTTTAGAGCTCCGGAAGGAGATTCCGCGGGCTGTGTTCTGAGATGCTGTGCACAAGGACATGCTGATAAAGTCAGTACCGGCCAAGCTCGGAACTTGCAGTTGCTGTGTGATAGATGAAAGTTGCTGGAAGCCTTGCTCAATCAGGACGACGCGCGGAGCAAAGCACTGGATTTATGCACGGGCTTCGACTTTCCGCTTGTTTCGCACTTGGCCTGCCTGCATTTGTGTTGTATTTGGATGCAATGCGCCATCCTCCCAGTGACCTGGTTTTCGGTACTTGCTCAGGCCACGTCGCACCACGACTCCGATTGTGATGATTGGCAGGGACGCCAGCACATGCTTTTCAAGCATGTTCGGTTGCTGCAAGCTGCACGCATCAACAAGGTGCTGGCACAGGCTTGGCACCGTTTCGAGGCTTCGTGCGTGAGTTTAGAGCTGAGAGCGGGTGCGCGGCTGAGCAGTGGTGCACCGTTCCCTTCTTCACAGTCAGAGCAGCGGACAATTTGCAACATCAATCCGAGTGTCGGTGTGGAGTTGATCTATGCTGGATTGCATGACGAGGTGCCGGACGAAGACCGTTCTTTTCTTCGGATGCACGAAGCGAGATGAGGATTTCATTTACAAGGAGGCGCATTCATGCACTAGATTAAAAGGTAGTGCTTGAGATTGATCCACCAGTGGCTAGCAGCCTGGTAAAGCTGCTCAGAATTTTTTACTGTTGAATACCAGCCGCCGAGTTACCAGCCTACAACGATCTGCTGCTGTGAAAATCTAGTGCCACACTTGTTGATTTGCACGGGAGCGCGATGGGGTCACTGGATCGGGTCTAGGCCTAGGCTTCGGCAACATGCACTTCGGTTGTTCCAGCGCTTTAGTCCGAAGAGCCCAGTCTCGATCAGTTATTCACTTTCATGCTATTCGCTCTTGGTGCCCTGCTGATGCGGGAGACCATGCAGCCCAACCACAATTCGAACAAAAACCGCTACCCTGGGGATCTAGAGACCCCGGAAAGCTCATATTGAAAACCGAATCCGTTCACAATTATCCGCCATTCCAAGCAATCGAGCCTAATTCGCAGCAGTCGACGTGGAGACCGAGCCCGTGGCGTGCAAAGGGAGCCGGCAGCCAGCAATTTCGAGTGAAAACCGGAGCCCGCGTGCGCCGCGCTTGCTTTGGGTTGTTGTCGTTAACTCTCACAGGGTGCAGAGCACAGCAGATGTGTTGGAGCATGCGTGCATACAACAAGCTGGCCACCGACACCCATACAGATGACACTGGACAGCTACCCTTCGTTTGGTCCAGTCTCTTCGGGGTTGCGCGGACTGCGCTTTTAAATTTCATGCCAACATACACCGGAAGATGAATCAACGGAGGAAGAACTCCAAAGCAAATCACGATGACGAGCAATGCATGCCTGCACCAGTCTGTCAGTATTTGCGAAGGAGCTTTGCGAGGCTGTGGAAATGAAGCCGCCGGCACTCAAGGAGTTGATAACTGCATTTTCTCGCGAGCAGAAGGAGAAGGAGCCGAGGGTGCTTGATGCAGAGAGAAACTCGTTTGCCGTCGGATCTGGTTGACGCAGCATGGAAGGTGTATGTACAGCACAAGCTGAAGGAGAAGTCAGCAGAGGCAGCGCATACTTGTTCTGCCAGGCTCGGCTGGGGCAGATGTTACTGGCAGGTGAAACAGATGATAGCAGACGGTGGCTACATCTACGTATGTGGCGCCACCAGCATGGGCAAGCAGGCCCAGTGCCTAGCCCGCCCTGAGGTCCGTCAACGGTGTGTTTTGATGGCATCACGCCTTCCAGGTTCGCGACGAGCTAGAGCTTGCGCTGGGCAGCGCAGATTACCTTGAAAGGCTAAAGACAGAGCAGCGTTATGTGGAAGAGCTGTGGTGAGCTAGGGAGACACTGTTACTGTTAATGTTTGTGCCCAGATGTTCGAATCGCTCGATTTGATTTGGTTGCGTTGATGTTTTGAGAGTTTCTGCGTATATCCTTGTTACCTGTTCTATTTCTTCCGTCAGCCTCTTGACATGGGGGAATTCCTGACAGTGCAGAGCGGCCAAACAAATCGGTAAGATGCCGATCGAGTTAGCAGGGCAAGTCGAGCAGCCGAGCACGGTTGCAGTTCCGTTTTCGCTTCGTGCCTGCTTTACGTCGGCCTTAGGCTCGAAGCCGAGGCCAAGTGACATGGCTTTGGGTACGAGCCTCCTCTCTGTATCCGCCGTCGGGTCGATGGCTCCTTGAAGCAGTCCGCACCCATTGTCACCAGTGACAGCTCCTTCACTGCGTCGCAAGGTCGGGTCGTAGGTCGCACCTTTGAAGCCAGGACTGCAGTTTACGAGAGTTCTCTGACCGGGAAGCCTCTCTGCCAAGACCATCCAAGACCATACCTTCGCGATTCAATGTGCTAGGTGGGGCGGAGCTGTGTTTGAGTCCGGGACGTTATCGCTTTGCCATTTTCGGCTGCGGTGCTGGCACAACGTATGGGTTGCAGACTCCTGAATGTCTGCGGGCTCATGCATTCCCATGAACACTATACTATACCCTTAGTGCTTGAGCTTGCTAGGAATGCCACCAGCAAGATTCGGCAAGAGCAGTCTGTCGGCTGCTTGCAGCGGCTAGCTTCGACACCACCACCTTCTGAGCCGGCAAAAAGCGCGCCGCTGCCCGGTTGCGCGTTGCGTGTACTTGCTCGCCTGTGCTGCACGCCCTCCCTGGACATCTCTAGAAGTTCGGTAGGTCGAAGGCCTGGCCCGCGAGCCGGCGAAGAGTGCGGAGGAGCTCAAGGTGCGATTTCGACTTGCATCTTTGTTGCCGTGGTTCCAATCACTGTAAATCTGCGTGCAGTTCTGCCTGCTTGGGTGGAGGGCTCACATGCGAAGGAGCTTTGCGCTCGTGCATTTCGCTGCGAGGCCGTGTTTCAGCGTGGCCTGGAGCAGCGTGCAGTTGCCGAGAACGCAATGAACGCAGAGAGTTCAAGGTCACACGTTATTTTCACAGCTGCTTGTCTACACAAGTTAAGGCTCCGAAGGCATGCTGTTGTGTGCGGTTGGAAGACCTGTTGGAAGTCCTTCAAGGTCTTCTTGGCGCAAGATGTACCGTCCCAACAAGGCGGTGTAGAACGCGTCACCAGCAAACTGCACCTTACCAGAAATATGGGCGTGGGGCCAAGGGACTGGATAGCTTGTTATGCTGCAGTGCCTGTATCCGAGGCATTTCTGTGACCTTGGCGGCTGCGAGAGGTTGAAGAAAACCGAGGCCCTACAGACGTGTCCTAGAAACCAGAAGCCTGGCCTGTGAACCTCATGGCCGAGAGATGATTTGTGGTTGCGTTCAGGTCGAGCAAGATCGGGACCGGCGACTAGAAGCCATCGAGATCAACAAAAGCTTGTCGGCACTTGGAGATGTCATAGAGGCCTCGTGTAGAAGAGCATTGGGGATTTGCACCAGCTCCAACACCGTGAGGCAGGCGTGCAGTGTGACAGCATGTGTGCGGCAAGGCTATTGCAAAGAAGAGGAAGTACATTCCATACAGGCCAGCACTGACAAAAGCGTAAGCCGTTTTTGTGATGCAGTGCATTCCCACTTCCGGCTGCCCACCCTTCCCGAACTTACAGGACGGTGGGGGTGGGGGCCGGCTTAGATAGGGTCTATTTGGAAGCTGCCATTCGGGTTTTGTTGTAGCCATATACTCTCAAACGAAGGCCGGCTAGCTGATACCAGCGAGCTAGAGTACGTATTGGAGCAACATTCTGTTAATGTCAGGTTTGTGTCACAAGACGATTCGGACAGCAAGTTAACAGGGACAAGTAAACAAGTAGCTGACAGCATAATGCCAAGTCAGCAATCACGCATAAGTATACAGCAACACAATACCGCTTCTCTTCTTGTCTCGGAACAAGACTCCGCACACATGAGCAATCGCCAACCAAGCGGTAAGCAGCAACAAGTACCCAACAACGCAAATACAGCTTCCTTTCTTGTTTCGGAGCAAGACCTCGAATAAATGAGCTCTCACGAACAACGCGGCAAACAGCAACCAAACAGGCCCCTCCAACTTCACGAGAATTCAAAGGTCTCCGTTTACCCATCGGTCGGCAAGAAGAGAACTCCTTTCTTTCTTGATCAGGGGACTGGATCCCTTCTTCCTTTACCTCTTCAAAAGATGGAAAAGGAATCGCGCAAGAAGAAGCAACCTCCTTTCTCTCTTGGCAAGGGACAAACATCTTGAAAATTCCCTTTACCTATTCAAAAGGTGGACAGTGGCATACGCTCAAGAAGAAAGGGTGGAGATTCCCCCAACCCTCAACGAAAACGCAGAGAGAGAGTCCCTCCAAGTCATTCAGCTGATTTCGAGCAGAGAACTCCTCTACCTCTTGGTAAGCCTCCATCTCCTCTGAAGAGAAGTGAAGGGAGCCCACTTCTTCGTCATCGGCAAGAAATGAATTTCTTTTCCCGATATGTGTAAGGAAGAGATCCCCTGGCGAGTCCTCTACCGCAGCATCTCCAAGGAGCAGAGAACCTTTCCGACTTCACGCGAAATAAAAGAACTCCGGCTGCGTCTTGGTCGACAATAGGAAAGAGGAGCTCCTTGCCGTCCCCTCTTCCTCCCCAAGGGACAGAAGAGAGAGAGCTCTCAAAAAGTGATGACAGGGCTCTTTCAATCTTCCCGTCAAGAGTCTGATCCTCCCCCCAGTCCCCAACACGACATGAGCAGCCCTCGGCCTCATCCTCTGAATTAGCTTCCCAAAAGAAAAGTCCTCTGCTTCATCCTCGACAAGAAGAGACTGAGAGCTTCCTCCAATCTAACGGGACAGAAGAAAGCGCCATCTCAACAAAGCAAACAGGCCCCTCCAACTTGACGAGAAAGAAGAGGGCTCCGTTTACCTCTCGGTCGGCAAGAAGAGGCCTCCTTCTTTCTTGATGGGGGGAGGGGATCTTGATTATTGACAGGGCTCTCTCAATCTTCAAAAAAGGAGCGTGATCCTCCCCCCAGTCTTCAACACGACAGGAGCAGCCCTCTACCTCATCCTTTGAATTAGCTTCCCAAAAGAAAGGTCCTCTGCTTCATCCTCGACAAGAAGAGACTGAGAGCTTCCTCCAATCTGGCGGGGCAGAAGGGGGCGCCATCTTCTTTCTTGTGGGGGGGGGGGATCTTGATTATTGCCATTACCTTTTTAAAGACGGACGTGCCCTCAAGAAGAAAGGGTGGAGCTCCCCCCAATTTTAAACTAGAGACATCGAGTCGTCCCTCAGCCTTCAAAAGGAAAAGACCTCATGCTCCAAAACAAGAAGAAAGTCCCCAGGTTATCCGTGGCAACAGAAGAGAGCATCTTTCTAGCAGAGAGCTTTTGCACCTCTTGGCAGGTCGCCTTGTAGTCTTTAGAAGATTGAAGAGATGGCAAGAAAGGACAGATCTCCCCTAGCTTCCAAAAAGAGAAAAGTCTGCTACTTCATCCTCCACAAGAAATGACTGAGAGCTTCCTCCCATGTAATGAGACGCAAGAGAGCTCCATCTCAGCACAGCAGACAGGCGCCTCCAACTTCACGAGAATTCAAAGGTCTCCGTTTACCCATCGGTCGGCAGAAGAGAACTCCTTTCTCTTTTGATCAGGGGATTGGATCCTGAGTATTTCCTTTACCTTTTCAACAGATGGAAAAGATCATACGGGCAAGAAGAAGAAACCTCCTTAGCCTTTCTCTCTTGGCAGGGAAAGAGATCCTGATTTTTTTTACCTTTTCAAAAGATGGAAAAGGGCATACACTCAAGAAGAAAGGGTGGAGATCCCCCAACTCTCAACGAAAACACGGCGAGAGTCCCACCAAGTCATTCAGCTGATGTCTAGCAGAGAGCTCCTCTACCTCTTGGTAAATCTCCATCTCCTCTGAAGAGAATTGAAGGGAGCTGGTTTCTAGTCGAAGAAGGCAAGGCTCAAAGCTCCTCCAGTTTCAAGAAGACGAAGGAGAGACAAGAGAGCTCCTTTACCTAGTCATCGACAGGAAATGAGCTTCATATCCCTATATGGGCAAGGAAGATATCCCCTGGCAAGTCCTTTACCACAGCATCTCGAAGGAGCAAGGACCCCTTCCAACTTCACGAGAAATAAAAGTACTCCTGCTGCCACTTAATCGAAAATAAGAGAGAGGAGCTCCTTGTCGTCCCCTCTTCGGATAGAAGAGAGATAGCTCTCAAGAAGTGGCTCTCTCAATCTTCAAAAGAAGAGCCTGATCCTCCCCTCAGCTTTCAACAAGACATGATCAGCCCTCTACCCCATCCTCTGAATCAGAAAAGAAACCTTTCGAGCTTCACGAGAAGAGAAGACCGGCTGCGTTTTAGTCGACAATAAGAGAGAGGAGCTCCTTGTCGCCACGACTTCCTCTCCAAGGGATAGAAGAGAGATAGCTTTCAAGAAGTGAGGACAGAGCTCTCTCATTCAAAATCATTCTTGGCAAGAGAAGATTTCCCTAGAGAGATTTCTTATACCTCTTTTCAGTCGCCAGCCTTCAAAAAAAAAGACATCATGCTCCAAAACAAGAAGAGAGTTCCCCCAGGTTGTTCGTGGCAGTATAACAGAGCATCACGAGAAAGAAGAGAGCTCCGACTGCCTTTCCGGCGATAAGAAGAAAACGTCTTTCTCTCTTCGTCAGGAGCGACAGCTTTTGACCATCTCCTCCTCTTGAAAAAACATGGAAGAGAGCTTACGATCAAGAAGAAAAGGTGCTTTACCTTGAATGCAACTCCGCGGCAAAAAGGCCGACTCAGGCACCTAAGTCGGGTGGTTGTCTCGAATCGCTTTCGCCAGGAACCACAAGCTCACCCAGCTGCTGCAGGATGCTCTGGGCGGCAGTGCCAAAGCTGGCCACCCAGGACTCGGAGCAACAAGGCTTTTGGAAATGCGCGTTGTTCTTTCAGGCCCTGATGTACGTGAACTGCTCACCAGCACAATCCAGCATCAAGGAAACAGCAAGACCGTCGTGTCTTATGCTCCTACGAGCCTACGAGCATGTGACGGCCTGCGAGAAACTGACAGGTGACAGCATTGAAACTCGCGAGCCGTGCGAAGTGCATTGTTGGATGCTCGGACCACCCGGGCCTTTGCACTCCACCGAGAACCTGAGCCTGTCAAGTTGCATGCCTCCTGCTTCTACAAGCTGCAGCATGCAAGAGACAGGTAGACACGTTAAAGAATATGCAGTGGTCGCGGAACCTTCGGCAACAACACCTCTAGGCCCCTAGGCATTGGCTGTCCCAAGATATTAGAACAGATATTGCTACCACGGCCTCTGAGAAGTGCAAAAAGAGCTTCAGCAACAGCTTCGTGATGGGAGCCTTTGCTTTGCCAGTGCAGGTGGCAAGCTTGTGCAGGGTGTATTTGTTTGTGTATTGATCGCAGATTCAGGAGAAGCTGTTGCGCAGGTCTCATGCTCTGGGACCAGTTTCGCTTCCTCAGGCACGGAGTGGTTCGTGCTACGGGTGGGGTGGGGGGGGGGGGTTGGGCACGCTTGGACAACCGTGACCACGGCATTCTTGCACGTTTTTGGATCGCGTCTCAGGATGGTCCAACTGGGAAAGTGCAATTTTGTTTTGTTCTTACTTGTTTGTACAAACCGTACATCTCAACCGGAAGGTGGGCAGCCAAGTTTGGCGCTCAATATGAACATCACGATACCCCTCGTGGATTTGATGGCAACCCTAGCAGTTCCTCGGCCAACAGTCGCAGTTCATGTCAAGTTTCCAGCAACGCCTGCCAAATAACGAAGCGGCTGAGGACCTCCAGAAGGCCAGCCAGGCCAGTCAGCAAGGCGCGATGAAAGCACTTCGCAGTGTTGTTAAGCCCGAAGCCCCAACAACCGCTCAGGACCGGTGCAAGATGATAACCGGATGTTCTTGGAGCCTGAGGACCTCGAGGCCTCCGAGCCTCCGATTGTTTTCGCTTCTTCCGGGCATCCAGACATGGCCCGGACAGATCGCCTCCTTGATGGAGTCCCGCAGAGTGGAAAGCAAAGGCCAGGAGGTCGCCCCCAAGGAGTCACGAGAGGCCTGGATGGCCGGGCGGGCCGGGCAGCATGAAGTCCAAGCACCGCAAAAAAACTTCCGACCTGGAGCACCGTGAGAATGCATTTTATTCTGCTTCCCTTAATCAATTGGGAAGCTTCGGCAGGTGTTTGTCGGAGTGCTTGGGGAGACAAGCGAGCCGAAACCTAAAACCTTGGAGTGAGATGCATGGGCTGGCCTATTTCCAGAGCATTACTAATTACTAACTACAAAAATGATATATGTCAGCTTTCTGAGGCCGAGGCCACCGAGCACCTTCAAAAAACGACTGCCTGTTTAGGGGCGCGGTTATGACGTGTGCCAACGCTCAGAGGTTCCTCAGTGGGAGCTCATGCCGCCGCCGACGCCGCAAAAGGACTTGCAGTGCACCGAATGAGGAATGATGAACACAGGAGCCATACAAAAGACTGCTAGAACGATGCGTGCGTCACCTGCTTTCTTGTGCTGACCTATAGACAGCTGATGCCGTGGTGTGGCACGACATGTATCCCGAGGTGCCAGACGATCCGCATTACAAATCTTATCAAGGGCCTCAAGTCGACAGAGGTCGAATCGGTGTTCTCCTCCAAGGCGGGGGCCGAATCGTGCAGAGAGGCTGAGAGGCTGAGAGGGGTATCTTTGAAGTCGCAAGCTTTGGAGCCACAGACCTCCTGGCCCAGCCGCTCAGCTCAGGTGGGGCCAGTGAGGGACTGCAGCGTGCGTGACACCACCGCGCGCATCACCTTCGATGCTGCCAACCATGCGAAGCTAGCGGTGGAGAGATTCAACGGAAGCATCCTGGACACTCTTCCTGACGTAGGGCGTTGGCAGTCACCCGCGGGCATTGAGCCGCATGCTGCTGAACAGCCTAGGAGTCGAACGTTGCGGGCGAGAAGCCGGACTCCAGAGTCTTACACTTGCAGCTTGGCTGCTGTGCTTTTGTTTTCCTCTGTTTCAAGACTCCAATCCACAGCAAAAGCCGCAAATAGTCCCAGGCAGCCGGTGCCCTGGAACAACACAGGGACGGTCCTACGAGACACGCTGCTGGCTTAGCTGGGATTCTGTTAGCCGCAGGCTTCGGAGAGCAAATGTCCGTGGGCGAGAACTGTTGGGATGCCGGTACCACGGTGTTTAGCATCCGAAGCGCACATGGGCACATGGCAGCGGGCACAAGAGGGCTTGCTTTTTCATCTGCCGCATGCTGCTGACATGGCATGCATGGTCACATCTCACAGAGGGTTCACACTTCGTCCGGTTGGGGTGCGTCGATCAGCTGATGCTGACGAAGTGCATCCTGTTACATGGGCAATCATGCGAAACGCGGAATCTGAGCACAGAAGCACGGAATTTGGCTTCTGACGGAAACTGATCGTAAATGATCGCCAAAGCCTTTGCCAGACAAATACACCATCCTCCCCTGCATCTTGCTCGGCTACGATGGTTCATGCAAGTCGGGACCCTGCATCATCTGAAGGCTCACCCAAAGCATAGCGGCACAGCACACGGGACATAGTAGTGTTGATGCCGCCAGATAGATTCCAAGTTTTGAAAGTGCGAACATTTCCTCCACCTCGTGCTTTGCTCAGGCTGGAGCGACACTTGGGCAGCGAGGTCGACTCTGACTGTCATTATCGCCGTGGAGATTGCTGGCTTACACTTGCCGCCGTGAAGAAGGCAAGGTGCAATGTGTGTGCATGCTCGGCATCAGGCTAAGACAGGTGGCCTGCGAGCAATTTGAAAGCGATCCCGTCCTGAGAGGTCCAAGCAGGCACAACCCAGTCGCCGGGGACTGACTCTCTCAAGGTCCTGTACAAAGGGAGCATCATCAAGGCCGGCGCCGGTTTCAGCATTGGGATTCTATTGGGAATCTCAGTCGAGAAGCAGCTCACACTGCTATCGGCCAGGTAGCTCTTGACGCAGCAGAGGAGGCCCAGGCGACTGGAGTGGTCAAGGCGTGACTATTCCCAGGTTTGTCATGCGTAATTTGAACGGCGCATCTTTGTCGTTCAGCTTATGTGGATGGTGCATGTGCGAGCCTGTCTCACTGACAAACTGGCCGCGGCCGGCAAGGCTGCGAAATTTGTGCCAAGATGGCATTATCATCATTATGCATTCCATATGCTTTCGGAGATGGTAGATGTCACTAGCAATCGCCTTGCTTCTGGTAGTGGCAGGACCAACTACTGTAGGTCGCAAGGCCGAGTGACGTGGTTGGCGAAAACACTGGCTGACTTTCCAAAATACTTGGTCGAAGGTGTCCTTTCGCCCATTGCTGCAACATGGATGATGGACGGCCCGCAATCTGCATGCTCTAGCTCACTAGCTTCTGAACGACACCTGGCAGTGCTGTCGATCTTACCGCGCATTGCCGTGCAAGCGCACATCATATCTTCGCGCTAAACACATCTTTGGTTGCACCACACGTCTTTTTTCCTTGGCGATCGAACTGCCGGCCATCCCCCTGTTGCAACAGCGGCACTTCGACCAGGTTGAGCCGGTAAGCCTGGTTTATGTTGATTGAACCAGGTCGCTTCACGCCAGCTTCACACTGCAACAAGCCTGCAGATTGCATGGCTTCGGAGACTCGGAGAGCCGACCGAAGGCACTATGGCAAAAATGTCAGAACGGCTGGAGCAGCCGTGTGAAGGGCATCGGTCTGCAGGTAGATTGGTCTTGGGCCTCCCCAATTTGCAATACCTGAGGTGAACCAGCCATGGGAGTCACCGACATCCCCGTGCCTCCCTCAGCTTTCAGCACAGCCCTCTTTTGCCTTTCGTGCTTTAACTTTAACCTTTTCCGACACTTGCCGGGTAAAAAGCAATCTGTTGCTGTCAATGCTGCAGGCGGCGAGCTTGACTTGCTGAGGGTCCTTCCTAACGAGGCAGTCTTCGGCAGCTCACGTTCGGCGTTCGTCAACTTTCACAAGCTTCGAGTAGCTGCAACCACCAACATGCAACGGAAGCCTGCAAGCAGCGCAGTCGTGACCAACTCTCTTGAAATAGGTGCCCGAACAAAGAAGCGAGACACTGCTGGCGGGCTGGGCGGCGATGAGATCGGCTTCTGAAATGCTTGCAGAAGTGATGCAAGACTGCGAGCGAGACAGTTTTGACACGGTGCTACCCATGCCTTGAAACCTGTTCCTGTTAGCTCACAGGAAAGTGCACACGCATCCACGAAGTGTTCGGTTTTTCTGAAGACTAGCGCCTTTCTCGTTGACCAGCTGTCCAGGTTGGCCGGCTCCCTATTATTGCGTATGATTCAATGGTACGAGAAAAGCTTCCAGTATTGTCATAGGAGTCCTACAGTGCTTACCGATCTCTCTCTCACTTGTGTGACAGGTACGGCTTTGGATGTGTTTGCTCGTTACTTTGCCTTGGCTTCACGCGAAAAAGTCTGAAGTTGTTGTCCTGCTTCGGATGTCTTCATTTCTCATATTGGGCATTGGTAACAGAGGTAACAGGATTGAGGATGCGCCATCTCCAAAGGAGAAAGGCTGGCATGAGGGACTCTTTTGCGAGATTGCGGTGGAAGGGCTATTGGCAGCTGTCCATGCTTGGCCCTTCTGCTGCGAAGCCGTTGTGATGCGGCTTTGGCCATAGGCCATCACTAGACTGATCAGACTGACTGCTTGCTTCGTGCTGAGGAAGCTGCAACGTCGTAAATGGCCAGTTTGCACGGATCCGTATTCCACCTCGGCTAGGCTTTTGTTAGAATCAGGGGCTCAGCATCTGCGCATCAGCACTGCTTCGAAAGTGCATTTTCCTGCAGAAGAAATCTTGCTGCCGTGAGACGCGACAGCATGGTTTACACTGCATGTGAGGACGCTTGTTAATTTCAACATCTGCTGCGTATGATGGTGGATCCTCGATTCTTGTTAGGCGGGCATTTCGCAGGCAAGCTCGGTAGTACTGGTTCTTTAGTCTTGGTTTTCGTTCCAGCTCGTTTGACCGGGTCTACCGTGATTATCCGCGATGCAGGGCACAGGGAAAACTGTGCTTCGCCGAACAACTTCCCTGCAGCCTCTAGAGCAGGCGTGGAGACTAGTGTCAGGCTGTGAAGGGAAAAGACTCGTTGCTGCAGCTGTCGCAAGTTTCCCGTTTCTTATTAGCAGTCTTGTCAGCCCATGACTGCGGCCCTGGGCAACTCTTCCAAACACGCTGCATTTTGTGGCTTCGGGCTTTTTGCTGGCAGTCGTTTCTCTGACCCTCGGCTCTCCTGCCGACTTAACACGGCCTGCTCGGCAGCGTCGGTTTGCCGCTTGACAACGGCTGGAGCCGTGGTGGAATGCTGCTAGCTTGGCCAGCGTTTGCTTCACTTTACAGTCCGGACGCTGTCTGCGTGGGAAAGTCACGTGAGAACGAGCGTAGCGAGACCAAGTGCGAAGGCTTGTACTTACGTTGTATTCGAGTGTAAATGCCGTTTCTTGTTCACTGCTGTTGCTGTCGCAGCCCGGCTATGCCTGCATTCTACAAGGCCGATCGTCGGTGCATGCGCACACACACACACCTGCATGCTTACACGAAGGCACATGACATAGGCCTCAGCACCTTTGCGTCCATGCACTTCTTCAGAAAGCCCGCATCAAGCATCCAAACTAACGGTTCAGTTTCGAAGTGCCCAACCCAATCTGCCAAAGCAGAATTAAGATATTGACCACGTTCCTCTCCACACAGGCCATGATCGATCCTCCAGCCGAAAATCGTGGGCATGTAATTAATTACGCGGCGGGCAGATACCTTGAGCCAAATGGTACCCTCACAATCAGCAATAAGACTGTCCTAGTCATAGTTGGCATGTAATAATCATGCCAGCAGGTTAATAGATGAAAGAGACGGCACGAGTTCGCACTAATTAGACGCCGTGAACCAGACTTTAATATCACCTGAGCTCTTGTGTTCAATTTCGCCGGTGTGAATTGTGCATGTTGTGGTGTAGCACACGTGTGTGCGCATGGACATGAGCGATTCGTCGTGCCGGCAGCTGTCCCGGCTCGACATCGCTTTTTCGGCGATCAGACTCTCTGTAGCATCTCCACCCGGCCTTGCCATGTCTTTCTCGGCGGTGGATCTTGAGGCGGCCTTTGCGGTGATCCTCGCGGCGTTGGAGGAAGGGGAGGACTTGGCTCCCTTCCTCCAACAGTTCCCCGCAGGCGCCAGGCGGGCCCTCATCTTGATGTTGCAGGCGTCGCTCCCGGCGAGCCGGACAGCAGTAAGTGGAAACCCGGCACCGCCTAAGGCGGCTGCGCCGGCAGTTGGACCCGGCGTTGGTGGTGCATCTGGGTCCAACGATGGAGTTCCCGGCGGTACTGGTGCTTCGGGCTCGGGCGATATGGCGGCGTCTGCCGCGGCGGGGCAGGGCATCCCGGAGCCCAACCCGGAGCCCCCTGCTGCTTCGCAGGCGCCCGGCTACCCGGCGCCCTGGCCGGTGCCACCGATGCAGAAGCGGCCCCCACCGGTGCCGGCGGGAAGTGGCGATGGTCAGCAGCCTTCCCCGGCGACGGCGGCCCCGGCTAAGCCAAAGCCGAAGGGCCCGCCTGTCGCCCTCTGGGCCTCCGAGGGCTTCAACTCGGAGGCGGATGCCCGGCAGGCCCGGGAGCTCAACTTCGTCACCGCGGCGGAGTTTTACGCGGCCTGGGCGGCGGCATCTGCGAAGCAGTCCTCTTTCCCGCCGGCGAAGCCGGCTCCGGTGGCCAAGACGCCGGCCCCCAACTCAGCGGAGATGACGGCGCTGCAGAACCAGATCGCGGCGGAGATCGCGGCGGGGACCCCGGCACAGCCGGCCCCTGCCGGCACTGCGGCCCAGGAGCCCGTCCCTCCCGGCTTCGTCCGCATGGAGATCCGCGGCGTCACCTACACGGTCAACCGGACCACGGGGGAGGGCTTCCCGGAGTTGCCGCGGCGGCCCGGCCGGGGGGCGTCGGACGCAGAGCGTCGCCACAATGATGAGCTCTTCCGGCGGCTGGTTGACGTTCGCTTCCGGCTCTGCTCCGTCGAGTGGCAGAACCACATTCGGCGGATCAACCAGGACGGCGCCTCCTCGGACGTCCCGGTCCCGGCGGCGATGTTGCCCTCCATCGTCGCCTCGGTGGAGGCCCTCGAGGAGCTCGAGGATCGGGCGCGGCTTGGCGGCGGTGCGGCCACGGCCGTGGTGCCCACGGCTCCCGGCGCAGCGGATTACATTGTCCGCTCGCTGGTTCCAAACCATCGCGGCGGTCGCATCCCTGAGCGGCTGTCCGGCGAGGTATGGTGTGTGGGCTGGTGTGGACGGCCATGTCCCGGCTTTGAGGGCGTCTGCCAAAGCCCCGGCGGCAGATGCCTCCGCCCGATCCTCATTCGGCGTGGCGGCACAGTGGACCTGGAGGCGCACATCAATCACCTGTGCGATGCGTGCCGGCGCTACCGGAACACGCGTGACGGCCGGTTCTAGTGCCGCCCGCCGGCGGGCTACTTCGACCTCGGCGAGCCCTACCTCCTCCTGGCGATCGCCCGCATGGTAGGTCTCCTGGCGTAGCCCTCAGCCGGTTTCTTCTTTTTGGGCCCCGGCGGTGCCGCGACGCCTTCGCGGGCCTCTCCGGCTGCCGCTGGCCCACGATGCTTTAATTTGTTTCTGCACTTGCTTCCCGGCGTGCCGTAAGTGCAGGTCGGGAGGCCCAAGAGCCTCGGATCATAGCCTGGCGCGAAAAGTCGGCCCGGCGGTGTGTGCCTGGTGTGCAGTCGGCGCAAGTGGCAGTGCTGTCTCCTACCCGGCCCGGCCCCTCCGACCCTAATCGTCGTGGCGCGTTCGTTGAGGTCGTAGCGGCTCAAGCTCCCCCCCGGCTCAAGGATGTCGGCGGTTGATCTCTCGGCCGGCGGCGGGTTCGCCCAGTTGGCGCGGGCCTTCGTCGACATCCAGGCTCAAGAGTTCCTGCCGGTCCTGCCGGCGGTGGGGGTGCACGACCTCCGAGGCGCCTTGGACAACACCGGCGCACTGCTCCTGGCCGGCGTGCCAGAGGAGGTGCTCCTTAGGCTGGGGGCGTGGCGCCCGGCCCCGGAGAGCTCAAGTCGAGCCCCGGCGCCCAGCCCGGCGGAGAGCAGGCTGGCCCTCCCGCCAGGTGAGCAAGGCATTCAGCCGGCGGCGCCCGGTGACCCGGAGTCTGCCCAGGTGCAGCCGGTCAGGGCTGACATCCCGGTGCGGCGCGACGGCCGGCGGGCCTGCAAGAGGACGGCCCTTCAGGCAGCCTTGCCAGAGCTCCAGGCGGAGTCGCTGGCGGACCTCGACGGCGCCATCATGGCGCGCTCCTCGGAAGGACCCTTCCGGTCCAGGGTCCGCACCTGGGTGGACTTCACGGCGGCCTGGGCCCTGCCGGCGTGGCCGATCTCCCTGGACTCCGTCAGGAAGGTCGCGGCGAGCATGCGGAAGGGCAGGTACCGCTCGGCGCAGAACTACTTCGACGCGGCGGTGACCTACCAGGAACACTTCCGCGGCGAGCTGGTGGACCCGCTTGTCCGGCGGGCCATCCGGCGTTACGCCAAGGCGGTGGTTCGTGGCCTTGCGGGGTCCAAGCTCAAGGCGATCTTCCCGGCCATGCGGCTGGAGCCTCTGCTGGATCCCTCGCCGGCGTCCGCCGCGGAGCCTTGGGCCCCATGGAAGGCGGCGCACTCGGCGGACGCCCTCCTCCTGGCGGTGTGGTTCATGCTGCGTGAGATCGAATTCGCGGCGGCCCGCACCGAGGACATGGAAGCCGGCGAGGACTGGGTCCTTCTTCGGATTCCCCTGCACAAGACGGCGCAGGGTGGCGAGAGAGAGCTGACGGCGCGGCAGCTCCGCTGCGCTTGCGGCATCCAGTCCCGGCCGATGTGCCCGGCACACGCTGCGCTGCGCCACGTGTCCCGGCTGAAAGCGGCCGGCCTCTGGGTCCGAGGCGGGCCCTTGTTCCCGGACACGGCGGGCAACACCTGGGCCAAAGGAGAGACCGTCCTGCTCTTCAGGCGGGTGCTGCTGGCCGCCGGCGTGGCCCTCACCACGGTCGACCACGAGGGCCAGGTCGTGCAGCTGTTCGCTGGCCACTCGGCGAGGGTCGCCGGCGCGGCCTGGCTGGCGTCTAAGGGAGTGCCGACGGCGATCATCCAGTTGCTGGGCCGCTGGTCCTCCACGGCGGTGGAGCGCTATGTTCAGGCGGCCCCGCTCGCGGTGGCCCCGGAGATCCCCGGCCGAGTCTTGGCTGGGAGCTACGGCGGCACGCAGGCCACCGATGAGGCTCGGCGAGCCACGGCTGGAGGTGTGGCGCCCAGCCCTCAGGCCCCTGACCCTCCGGCGCAGATGCGGCGGAGCCGGATGACCAGGCAGAGTTCTCCCCGGCGGTTCTGCTGGTGGACGCCCCGCCTAGGGGGCCGGCGCCCGGTGGGGTCGGACACCCGCCGGCGCGGGAGGACCTCATCTACAATGAGAAGGGGGCTAAGGTGCACCGGCCTGACCCGGCGGAAGCCACCACGGAGCAGTTCCTCTGGAGGTCCAGGTGCGGCGCGTGGCCGTACGGCATCCGGCGCTTCTTCAGAGTGTCCGAGAAGCCGGCGTCAGCCGCTTGGTGCGCCCGCTGTTTCCCGGCGCCGGCTCCGGGGGAAGGTGAAGGTTCACCGACCGAGCCGGTGGACTCACCGGTGGCGTCCAGCTCGGCGTCTGAGTCGGACAGCTCGTCCTCGTGAGAAAACAGACGGCGAAAGCGGTCCTTAGTGAGCGGCTGTGGTGTGCCTCTCTTGCTGGCGGTTGTGTGCTAGATCGCGGCGGTAGCTCTCTGGCTCTCTGCTGTCGCCCGCCCTCGGCGTGCTCCCGCTTAGGTCTTCCTTCCTCGGCTGCTGCGGCTATCATGGCGGCTCCGGGCTTTCCTCCGGCTCCTGCGGCTCCCGCGGCGCCCCCGGCCGCGCCCGCGCTGGCGGCGACCATCATGACGCCGTTCGCGGATCTGGCGGCGGCGGCGGGGGCCGGCCCTCAGCTCACGGCCTACCTGGCGGCCCGCAACCTGAACCGCACGGCGACGCTGGCCCTCATCGCCCACTCCTGGCCGGAGTTTGAGGACCGCGTCGTCCGGCCTTTCCTGGACGGGGTGGACATCGCCGGCACTGTGCACAAGGCGCCGGAGGCGGAGCAGGCGGTCGTCGAGGCCATCCTGCACCACATGTGGGCCGAGGCGCACAAGCAGTGGGCCACCCACATCGCGGTCCCGGCACCGGCGGCGGCGCCAGCCCCGGCCGCGGCGGCCCCTGGAACGGTGGTGCCGGCCCTTCCCGGCGACAAGCCACCGAAGACGTTCCCGGAGTGGGGGCCGCTGGTCAAGCGGTACAACGAGGTGACGGTCGCCGGCGAGCCCCGGGATTTCCCTACGACCCTCCTCCTCGGCGCGGAGGAGGTGCTGGCGCGCATGTACTTCGAGCACACAAAGTCGAAGGAGTACACGGCGGTCGGCCTGGGTGAGATCTTGCAGCGGCGCACCTTCACGGCGGCCATGGAGGTAAATCCGCTGGCGATCCGGCGCCACAAGGAGAGGGGCCAGGCGATCCGGCTGGTGGACGGCGCACTGGTCCATGACCGGGAGGACCCCTGGACCCCGAGGGGGGTCCTCGGCGTCATCGACGGCATCGAGGCGGTGCGCTGGGCTTGGACCCTCACCGGCGTGGCCACAGAGAAGGGGGCGGCGGAGTACGCCCAGTGGTGGACGTCGAAGGCCCGGCAGCGCCCGTCCCAGCTCGAGGCGATCACGGAGTACTGGGACGCGTCCTCCCGGCGCTTGGCCATGCAAATGCGCCTTCGCCGGACGTTTGAGGAGGTCACGGCGGAGATCATGAAGGACCAGGCGGCGTTCCTGGATGTCCTCTCCCGCCCTCGGCCCCCGGCGAGGAACAAGGTCAGCGAGGGCTCCAATCCGCCGGACCCGGAGACTGACGGCCCGCCAGGCGCCGCGGCGTACCAGGGTTACCAGCCCGGGCCCGCGCCGCAGAAGGTGAAGAAGAACAGGCGGCGCCGCAACAACCCCCGCCAGGCGCAACAGCAGCACCAGCACCGCGGCGACGAGGGGGGCTCGGACAGCCGCGGTGGCGGCGGCGGTGGCTGGCGGCAGAACTGGCGCCCTCGCGGCGATTCCAACCAGCAGCCTGGCCGCCAGGACTGGCATGACGATCGGCGGTGGGCCAATGCCGACCGGGCCCAGTCGTGGCAGGACCGCGGCGGGAAGAGAGACTCCCAGGCGCAGGACGGCGACCGCCCGCAGAAGCACAGGCGCTAGGGACAGCACGGGGCCCCGCCCGGCGCTTCGGCCTCGGGTGGGGTACCCGACCGGAGCCAGGCGGCACAGGCGGTGGTGCTGAAGCCGGCTAGACCGGCGCGCCGGGATGGCAAGTACATCCTGCTCTCCCTCTTTGACGGCGTCGGGGCGGCGCCGGCCATCCTCGAGGACCTCTTCGGCACGCCGTGGGCGGCCATGGCGTGGGAGACAGACAAGACTTGCCGGCGATTGACGTCCACCCGGCTGCCCTGGCTCCGGCAGAGGGGTGACTTCACCGCGGACTCGGTGGAGAAGGTGGCGGCGGAGGTCAAGCGCCTTGACCCGTCCGGCGAGTGCGCGATCCTCCTCGTCGCGGCGCCCCCCTGCCAAGATTTCTCCCAGATCGGCGCGGAGGCGGGCCACAGTGGCGCCCGCGGCAGCCTGTTCTTGCGCTCGGCGGAGTTCGTCTTGGAGCTGAGGGCGGCGCTCCTGGCGGGTTGGCTTCATGTTCGAGAACGTTGTCATGCAGCCGGCGTCGGCCAAGGAGGTGTCCGACTGCCTTGGGGTGGAACCGGCGCTGGTCTGTGCCTCCGATTTCGGGTGGATCTCGAGGCCGAGGCTCTGGTGGCTCTCGGCGGACCTCCGGCAGCACACGGAGGACCCGGCCACCGGCGCACCCCTGGTCTGGACCAAGAAGGGGCCGTTCCACCGTCTCCGGCTGGAGGAAGCCAGGGCGGCGGCCAGCACTCTGCTACCGGTGGGCATGGCCTTTCACCCGGCGGTGGCGTCGAGCAGGTTGCTCCTGCCATGCGCCACCACGCCGGCGGAGGACGAGAACGGCCGCCCGGCGCCGAAGAGAGCTCGGGGCAAGATCCCGGAGCCGGCGAGAGCCAGGTGGCTGGCGGACTCCCGGCAGTTCGCCCCCTGGCATTACACAGAGGAGGCGATGATCCACGACGAGGCCGGCCGGCTCCACAACATCCCCGTCGGCGTCAAGGAGGCTCTCCACCACATACCGGCGGGGTACACGGACCTCGGCGACGGAGATGACAGGACCCGGCATCGGATGGTGGCCAACGGCTGGCATTGGGGAGTGGCCCGGCGCCTCTTGGCAATGCTCATGGCCTTTACGGTGGCACAGCCGGCGGAGGCATCGGTGCCGGCAGCACCGAGGACCACCACGGTGGCGTGGATGGCCTCACAGTTCGGCGCAGGCCCCCTGGACATGAGCCCCCCGCCTCGCCTGGCGTCGCGGCTGGACTTGCCGGATGACGACCCCGACGAGCACTGGCGGCTGGCTCTCCAACTGAGCCACTGCACGGTCACCCGGCGGCCGGACCTGGAGCCGGCGGTGGAACGCGTCTTGGTGCTCGCGGCTGCCTGGCGCCACGATGTGGTGAGGATCCGCGGCGAGGTGCTGCAGGAGATCAGAGACATGGTGGCGGACCGCGCGGAGGAGACGGCGGCCTGGCTGGCCCAGCGCCCGGCCCCGGTGCGCAGCACCTACTCCACGGCGGACAAGGACCGGCCCACGCAGATCCCGGTCCTCTTGGAGCTCCTCGGCGTGGTGGGCTACCCCGACATCGAGGGCCTCACGGCGGACCTCACCCAGGGCTTCGACATGCTCGGCGAGGTGCGGCGTGGCCCCGGCTGGAAGGAGCGGACGGACGGCCGTTACCAGAACCCGGTGTCCCTGGACCAGCTGGCGGCGACCAACTGGGAATACGTCCGGAAGCGCGCCTCGGCGGCGCAGCCCGGCAAGCACTGGGAGACCCTCCTCACGGAACTTGTGGCGGAGGCCCGGCTTGGCAGGGTGGTTGGTCCGGCGGCGCCGCCGGCTGGATGGAACATTGTCACCGTGCCGGTGCTGAACACGCCCGGCGCCGATCGGCTGGTGCCGCCGCCCCCCGGCCGCCACTTTGCCGCGGCGTCCTTCGCCATAGTGCAGGAGGACGGCGAGGGGAACACGAAAGTGCGTCGAGGGGAGGACTGGCGGCGTTCGGGCCACAACTCAACGGTCCTGGCGCGGGACATCCCCACCCACCATTTCGTGGATGACGTGGTGGACTTCATCCGGCGCGTGGTGGAACTGGCAGGGAATCGTGGGGTCCCGGCGGCCAGGCTGTTCGGGCACGACCTGCTCAATGCCTACCGGCAGTGGGCAGTCCGGCACCCGGCCCACTCCGGCACTTTCCTGGCGACGCCGGCTGGGCTGACACTCTGGTTTCACCTGGCCATGTGCTTTGGGGCCGCGGCGTCGGTTTGGAATTTTAACAGGGCCGCGGACGCGATGCAGGCGCTGACCCGCGTCCTGCTTTGGCTGGTCGGCGGCCATTTCGTGGACGACTTTAACGGCGTCGACCTCCCGGAGCTCGCGGAGTCGGCCTTCCACTCCCTGGCGGACCTCTTCCTGGAACTCGGCCTGCAGACCAAGCCGTCGAAGGCCCAGGAGCCGGCGGCCCGGCACGTGGTCCAAGGAGTGGAAATGACGATCGAGGCGGACGGCGTGTCCCTGCGACCCACCCCCTCGAGGGTGGCCAAGCTCCTCCGGGCCATCGAGGCGGCGCTGGAGACGAATGCCCTTCAGCCTCACGCGGCGCAGAAGCTGGCGGGTAAGCTGAGCTTCGCGTCCCAGTCCACCTTCGGCTGCCTCGGCAAGGCGGCGTTGAAGCCGCTTTACGCCAGAGCCCACGACGCGGCGGCGGAGTCATCACCAGAGCTGTCGGTGGGGCTGGCGGCTGCCCTCCGGGCGCTTCGGCAGCTACTCAAGAACATCCGGCCCCGGTTTGTGCCGTTCGTCGACGACGGCGCCCCGCAGGCCCTGGTGTACGCGGACGCGTTCTTCCAGCCAGGCGAGGTCAAGCACAAGGCGGGCTTCTTGCCGGCGGACCTGCCCACACCAAAGGGGGCACGCGGCAAGAACGGCTGGGGATATGTGGTCAGAGTCGGCGGCGAGACCTACTATGACTACGGCCAGGCGCCATCCTCCTTCCTGGTGGCGTTCGGCTCCAGGCGAGCCTTCATCTACGTGCTCGAGATCGTCGCCCAGGTCCTGGCGTTGACAACGCTGGCGCGGCGGTTACCGGAACGCTGGCTGGCGTTCATTGACAACGTCGCCGGCCAGTGGGCCCTCACCAAGGGCTACGGGAGGGACCCCGCGGTCAACGGCGTCCTGGCGGCGTTCTGGTCCCAGGCAGCGGACATGGACTGGCTGCCTGACTTCCGGCGGGTACCCTCGAAGGCCAATGTGGCGGATGCGGTGTCCCGCGGCGACCTAGCTACGGCAGAGGCGATGGGCTGGACCAGAGTACACACACCGGCGGCCAGAATCTGCGCCATCCTGGCCAAGACTGCTGGCGACCTCGAGTTCGCCATCCACGGTGCATCGGCGGAGCTGAGAGCTTGCGCTATTTGATTTTTCCGGTAGTTCGGCTGTGCCGGCGCTGT